TCGAGTCGACCTTGCTCTTCTGTACGCGCTCACGTAAGAGTAGAGCAGGGCATACAGCGGGTCGAGCGAGAAGATGACGTTGGTCGAGTCGACCGAGAGGTTGACGATCGAGCTCATGTTGGCGCCGCCAGACTGGGTAAAGTGGATCATGAACATGGAGGCCGTAGTGCTTGGTGTCGGGGATGATCTCGCGGAACTGAGTCAGTCGGTCGGGTCGAGTGTGGTGGACCGTGAACGACCGCCTAGCGACGTGGGCTTCAATAGACCCGTTAGTGATCATGCGGTACTTGATGCCCCCCCCCCCCCCCCCCCTCACCCGATGCAGCTCGCACACCGCCATGCCCCGCACAAGCTCCACCACCAAGAGCAAGTCCAAGCCCAAGGCCACAGAGCCCGCCGAGCCCGAGGAATGTACGCCCGCTTCTCCCCCTCCTCCCCCTCGTCCGCCACCGAGGTCGCTTGCTCACCCGCCTGCTCGCGCGCGCAGGGGTCGTCGAGGCCATCGTCAAGCACAAGCGCAAGGTGCGTCCTCCCTCCTCCTGTTCCCACCTCGTCCCCGCTCGCTGACCTCGCTTGCGCCGACAGGACGCCGACCTCAAGTACCTCATCAGCTGGGAGGAGTGCGACGAGATGACGTGGGAGACCGAGTCGGACGTCGGGTGCGCCCTCTCTCTCTCCGAGCTCGCCTCCCTCGCCGAACAGCAAGCTGACCCAGCCGCACCCCCGATCGCAGCGAGGGAGAAGCCGTCGAGGAGTACTGGTCCCAGGCCAAGGCGCCCCTCGAGCGCTACACGCTCAACAGCCCCGCCTACCGCGCCCTCGCCAAGCAGCTCAAGCGCGCCGAGTCCAAGAAGCCCAAGAAGCGCGCGTCGAGGAGCAGCTCGGACGGCCCGGGCGGCGACGAGCAGGCGCAGGACGAGGGGCAGGACGAGGGGCAGGACGAGCTCCCGGCGCGCAAGAAGCGCGTGCGCAGGAGCGGCGGCGAGGGCGAGCACGGCGGCGCGGCCGGGGCCGGCCAGGACGAGGTCAAGCCGGCCGTCAAGGACGAGCAGGCGTTCGGCGTCGCTGCCGACGGCAACCAGGAGGGCCTGCCCGGCTACGGACGCGTCGAGTGCGGCGACTGGATGGACGTGTACGGCGGCAAGGCGAGCTGGGAGGTGCGTTCGTGTCTCTCTCTCCCTCTCGCCGAGGATCCTCCAGGTCCCGCAAGACTGCCCCCTCGTCTCCTCCCTCGCACGGTCCACAGGCCGAGGTCAAGGAGATCGACACGCTCGAGCAGCACAAGCCTCACGAGGGCGTGTCGGACATTCGCATCGTCTGGCTCGACGGCACGTTCTCGGTCGTCCCGTTCAAGTTCGCGAGGACTCGCTGCCCGCAGAAGATTCTCGACTTCATGATCGACCACCTCACTTTCAGGGCCAGGAGCGACGCCGTTGTTCAGGAGGACGCGCTGTGAAACGTCGGGTCGTCGTCGGGTCGTCGGTCGCGCAGGAGGAAGAGGAGGACGCGGACGACGACGAGCTTTTGTTCGAGCTACTTGTACTGCAACTCGGCTTCGTTATCGGTCAAGCGGTGCTCTCTGAGAGCTCTGAGAGGTCGCGAGCGGCGTTGGCTTGCGAGAATGCCGAGGTTGCGTCTCTTCGACTTCCTCCTCGCGCGCAAAGGCAAGGTCGCACTCGTCTTTTCCCCTGCGCCGCCCTTGCAGCCACTCGTCCCCTCTCAGATACTGCAGCTCCGTTCGTCGAGAGCCCGCCCTCGAAGACCGGCTGGCTCTCAAGCTCGACCTTCTCAAAGAGAGGCTCGAGCGCTTTCTCCTCGCTGCGGCTCTCGCTCGCGAGGCGACGGCGGACACTCTCGACGGGCTCGAGTGCACAGACGGGGCCTCGCTACGTCTCTCCAAGCTCAGCTCGCTGCCGCCTGTGCCATTCGCAGCTCCAGCTACTTGCTCGCTCGCTCGCTCTCTGCCTTCTCAAATCGTCGAGGGCAGCGGCCGACACGCTCGCCGAGACGACGGCCTGGCCGAAAGTTATCGTAAACACTCTCGCAGGAAGAAAAGAGCCTGAGGAACGACGGGGTACACGATGCAGAGGACTCGTCGGCTGCCGCACGACGGTGAGGTGGACCCAGAGGGAGACACATGAGGGGAGGAAAGAGGAGGGAACGAGAGGGACGAATAGACGGTGTGGCGCTTTTGTGGATCTAGGGAGAGGGAGAGGTGACGGGCGAGGGTATACTGCAGAGGCGAAGGAGAGAGATGAGGGAGGGTCGCTCGCGCGACATCTACTGGGGGCACATGTCGTCGTCTGCGCAGGAGAGCGAGTCAGTGACATAGCGTCGACGACGGGCTCGAGAGGAAGACGAGGGGGACGCACAGAACTCCTTGCCGCTCTTGGTCGCCGAGATGATGCCCTTGCGGATGACAAAGTCGCCAAAGTGCTCGCCGTCGAGGCGCTCCTGGGCGTAGGCCTTGATCATGGGGCGCAGGATGGTGAGGATGTCGTCCTCGCTGACGGCCTCGCGGTAGATCTTGTTCAACCTGCGCGTGCGGGAGAAGAGACGAGGTCAGTCTCGAGGTCGGGGCGCCGAGGAAGAGGAGAAAGAGGATCGAGGAAGGGAGAGACGCACCGCTGACCGTGGTAGCCACCGCCGAGAAGCATGAGGTACGACCCGGGCGCCTTGCCGACGAACGCGATCTCGGCCGCCCAGGGGCGAGCGCAGCCGTTGGGGCAACCCGTCATGCGCATCGTGATCGAGTCGTTGCGCAGGCCCTCCTCCTCCATGATCTGTTCGACCTTCTCGATGAGGAGCGGGAGGTAGCGCTCCGACTCGGCCATGGCGAGGCCGCACGTCGGGAGCGACACGCACGCCGCCGACGACAGGCGCAGGGCCGAAAAGTCGACCGAGTCGAGGTGGTACTTCTCGAGGAGCGACTGGATCGTCTTCTCGTCCTCGGGCGCGACGTCGGCGATGATGAGGTGCTGGTTGGCCGTGAGGCGGAAGACGCCCTTGTGCACCTTGGCGATCTCGCGCAGCGCCGTCTTGAACGGCTTGCCCGGCTCGTCCTGGACGCGGCCGTTCTCGACGAAGGCGGTAAAGTGGCGGCGGCCGTCCTCGCCCGTCTGCCACCCAAAGTGGTCGACGTTGGACGTGAACTCGTACGGGCGCGCCGGTGCGAGCTTGTACCCGAGGCGCTTCTCGACCTCGGCCTTGAAGTTGTCGAGGCCCATGCGGTCGACCGTGTACTTGACGCGGGCGTTCTTGCGGTTGGCGCGGTTGCCGTTGTCGCGCTGCGTCGTCATGACCGCCTTGGCGACCTCGAGGCCCTGGTCGGGCGTGCAGAAGCCGACGACGTCGGCGAGGCGAGGGTAGGTCGACTTCATCGAGCTGCGAGGTGACGGCGCACGACGGCGAGCTCGTCAGGACTCGATCTCGTGTGGCACAGAGAGAGAAAGAGAGGGAGAGGGAGGACAGGGACGCACTGGGTGACGCCCATGCCGCCGCCGACCGTGACGTTGAAGCCGAGGAGCTTCTTCTTGTCGTCGAGGATGGCGATGTAGCCGAGGTCGTGGCAGAAGACGTCGACGTCGTTGTACGGCGGCACGGCGATGGCGATCTTGAACTTGCGCGGCAGGTAGTACTCGCCGTACAGCGGCTCAAAGTCCTTGACGGCGCCGTCGAACACGGGCTTCTGGTCGAGCCAGATCTCGCAGTAGGCCGACGTCTGCGGCTTGAGGTTGTCCGACAGCTCCTTGGCGAACCCGAACACCTGCGAGTGGACCTTGCCGAGCGACGGGTTGGCCGAGCACATCTGCGCGCGGGCGAACGAGGAAAAGAGGAAGAGGAGGACGACGACGACGGGTCAGGACCTTTCGACGAGGGCAGGCGCGCACGAGAGAGAGAGAGAGAGAGGAGGACGCACGACCGTGCGGTTGACGTCGCCGCAGGCCGCGATCGTGTCGAGCATGCACTTGTTGATCTCCTGCATGGCCGGCTTGAGGTTGGCCTTGACGATGCCGTGGAACTGGAACGTCTGGCGCGTCGTGAGCTTGAACGTGTTGTTGCCGCGCTCGTCGGCGATGGCGTCGATGGCGCGCCACTGGTCGGGCGTGCAGACGCCGGCCGGGAGGCGCAGGCGGACCATGAACGAGTAGGCGGGCTCGAGGCCGGCCGCCTTGCGCTCGTCGCGGATGTCGCGGTCGTCCTGCTGGTAGATGCCGTGGAACTTGGTGAGCTGGCCGTCGGCCTCGGACAGGGCGCCGGTCGACTGGTCGGCGAGGCCCTCGGCGATGGTGCCACGCAGGTAGTTGGACGCGATCTTGATGTGCTCGTTGGTGATGGGCTCGAGCTCGGGCTCGGTCGACTCGAAGCTGTCGACGCCGAGCGCCTTCCACATGGCCGGCTCCCACACTTTGTACGCCGTCTGCGGGCCGTCCGGGTCCTGGTCGTCGCCGAGGCCGATCGGGACGAGCTCCTTGGCGTTGAGCGCCGCGAGCGCCTTGTGCAGGTCCTTGCACGCCTTGTTGTAGTAGTGCGCGTCCTCCTTGCGGGGCCAGTAGTGCGAGTCGCCCATGCCGAACACGGACGTGTTGACCTTGCTCATGTCGCCGAGCTTGCCCGCCTGGACGCCCTTCCAGAACTCGCGGCCGTTCTGCGGGAACTCGCCCTGGCCGGCGACCGACGTGAAGAAGGCGACGTTGGTCTCGAGCGGGAGGTCCTCGAGCGGCATGTCGTCGAACGCGAGCGTGCGGGCGGCGACGCCGCGAGTGCGGGCGCGCGTCGCGAACTTCTTGGCGAGCTTCTCGCAGTTGCCGCCGTCGGACGCGTACAGGACGAGGAGCGGCGGGCCCTCGAGCGCGCCCGACAGGGCGTCGAACGCCTGGCGGGCCTTCTTCTTCTGGGCGGCGACGAGCTTGTTGCCCGAGCCGGCCTCGAGCGCCTCGCCGAACGAGGGCAGGCGCGCCGACAGCTCGGTGAGGTGGTTCTGGCGGTCGAGGAAGGTGCGCATGTCGGCCTTGATCTTCTCCGAGTCGAGCTCGAACACGTCCTTGCCGCGCTGCTCGGCCGACGGGTCCCACCGGTACAGGGGCCACGAGCCGACCTCGATCGCCTTCTTGGTCTGCTTGAGGAGCTCGAGGGCGGCCATGTTGTCGTCCTCGCCGCCGGGGAGGTAGGCGAGCACGATCGACGGGCCCTTGTACGCGTCGGCGTCCGACATGGCGCGCAGGGTCTGCGCAAAGTCGCCGTAGACGGCGACCGACGCGACGTAGGCGTTGCCGTACTGCATGGCGTACAGGCCGGCGTCCTTGCGGCGCTGGGCGGGGAGCTGGTCGCTCGGGAGGTGGTACGGCGTCGTGTCGATCATGAGCAGGTTTACGTCGGCGCCGGTCGACAGGGCGTGGTGCAGGCCCGACGCGCCGAGGTCGTGCGACCACGCCTCGGAGCCGATGATCCAGTTCGACTTGGGCGCAAAGTCGGCCGATTTGAGCGACTCGGGGAGCGACGCCGACGAGACGGCCTTGGCCTTCTTGACGTTGCGGTCGTCGTCGAGCCACGCCGAGAGCGCCTTCTTGCTCGCGTCGTCGAGCTTGCCCGAGTCGAGCGCCTCGCGGACCTGCTCGCGGAGGGCCTCGCGCTCCTTGTTGGCACCGAGGACGTGGCCGAGGGCGTACTCGGGCGAGGTCGACGACACGTTGCTCGACGCCGCCTGGGGCTGGAGCGACGACGGCGAGTTGGCGAGCCACAGGCGCTGCCCAAAGACCTCGTCGAGGAGCTTGGTGTAGGTCGTCTCGTGGCGGGGCGTCTTGACGGCCTTGGCGGCAGGTGCGGGCGAGGGCGAAGGGATGGTGCCGACCGTGAACGGGTTCGAGCCGGACGCGACGCCGTCTGCGAGACGATAGAGTATGTCAGGTGCCGCACAAGAGAAGAGAAGGCGTGAACGCGAGGGCGACGCACCCTGGATGGCCTCGATCGAGGGCTTGTCGCCGAGGGTGGCGCTCAGGATGGTCGGCACCCGGGCATCGTCGTCCTCGTCGGCGAACGCGCCGACGACGTCGAGGTACACCGGAGCCCACTTGCTCGCCTTCTTGTACACCTGCTCGAGGACGACAACCGTCTCGACGCCGGCCGGGACGAGGCCGCGGATCTGGGCGGGCGACAGCGGGCGGTACAGGTTGAGCGAGACGAGGGCATAGTCGGCGGGGAGCGTGTTGTCGAGGGCCGACGTGTTGCCGAGCGCGATGAGGAGCGTCTTGGGCGACTCGGCGCCGGCGTAGGCCTGCGAGCTGGCGCCCTGCTGGGCGAACGCCGACGAGAACAGGGTGGCGACGGGTGCCGGGGCGGCCTCGTCGTGGACCTCGCCGTTGCCGTTGATCGCGCCGTTGCCGTTGGTCGCCTGGGCGCCCTTGGCGAGGACAAAGTCGGTGGCGCCGCCGTCGAACCCAAAGTCGACGGCCGAGTCAAACTCGCCGAAGTGGACGACGCCGTGACCCTGGGCGGCGACGCGCGCCGCGACGAGGGCGCTGCGCTTGGCCGCCTCGGCGTCGCGCGAGTAGACGAGCGACAGGCCCGAGCCGCGGAGGGCGAGGACCGGGGCATGGTCGCGAGTGGAGGCGGTCGAGACCTGGAGGACGACCGGGGAGCGGGCGAGCTCCTTGAGCTGCGGCAAGAGCTGCAGGAGCTGCTTGGGCTCGACGGCGAGGAGGACCGGGAGGGCGACGGCCGAGGAAGTCGAGGCGGCGAGTGCGGAGCTGGGGAGGTGAGGTGAGGGGACGAGGACGGCGCCGGCGAGCGGCGCAGTCGAGTAGGCCTTGCTGTAGATGCTCATCGTGGTCCTGCGCTCCTTGTGGCGGCAGCAGGGAGAGCTGGTGGCGGAGGGAGGAGGGAGGAGGTTGAGCCGCCGGAGCACGTCTTCGAGCGGCGAGCGTTTCAGATCTGGACCAACGCGCGCCGGCAGATTCGCCCGGGCACGCTCGCCTCTGAGTATCGACCGCCACGGCAACGGCCACGACCACAGAGCACGCTCGCTTCGCTCCTCTCTAACGACAGCTTCGTGTGGCTGCTCCTCGCTCGAGAACCGGTAAATGTTCGGCTCGGCTCGAGGACGAAAGCGCGAGCAAAGTTGCGACGAGGACCGAGATGTCGCGCACGCGTCAAAGGCGCCTCGCCAAATGCGCCAATGCAGTGCGTCACCGTCTAGCGAGACGACCTGGCTACTTGGCCGAGGCGGCTGGCCCCGTCGTGCCGACGACCGCCTCCTCCTGCTTCGCGCCTTCTCGAGGCGCGACCGACCCTTGCCCCGCTCCTGCTGCCGCCCCGCTCGCACAGTCCACCGAGACCACCTCGGGCGGGCCCATGATCCTGCGCTCCTGCTCCTTCCACCACCGGTCGAGCCTCGTCCTCGTCTCGTCCCGGCCCTCGCCTCGCTCCTTCCACCACCTGCCGACCCGCGCCTTGATGTCCTCGTCCTTGTCCTTGTCGAGCACCTCGACGCACTCGACGCCCTCGCGCCGACACAGCTCGACGGCGCCCTGCGCCGCCATGCGCTGCCGGTACACGAGCCGCGTCACGCCCGCCGCGACGAGCAGCGGCAGGCACGCCTGACACGGCGGGAACGAGACGTAGGCCGTCGCGCCGAGTGTCGGGATGCCCGCGCGTGCGGCGAGGCACAGCGAACGCGCCTCGGCGTGCAGCTCGGGAAAGTTGCTCGCCCGCGCGAGGAACGGCGACTGCTGCGCCTTCTTGCCCGTGCGCGCAGGCTTGACGACACCGTCGAGGCCGACAGCGTCCGATGACGAGGGAGGGACGGTGTGTGGCTCGGGAGTGTTGTTCGAGTGGGCGAGGACGCGGCCGGGGTAGTTGGGGAAGGGGTCGGGCGAGGCCGACGACGACGACGATGGCGAGGAAGCTCGACGACGCTTGACGGGTGGCTCGCCGTCGTTCAAAGCGGTGATCAGGATGTCGTGCAAGGCGGCGGCGGAGGGAGCGCGGGTGCTGCACGGGTCGACGATGATGCAGGCCATGTTGCCGCGCTTGCTCGTCGAGAGTCGGGCATAGATGAGCGTGAGGACCATGTAGTTGTCGTCGATCGAGAGCGTCGGATCAAACGAGTAGTCGGCCGGGAGCGTGTTGCACGAGTAGGCCGCGACGCGCTCGTCGAGAGTCGAGAGGACGGGAGGTGGTGGTCGCGGTGCGGCGGAGGAGGCGCAAGGGAGGGTTGGGTCGGTCATGGCGGTAGACGTCGGGCCGAAGTGAGGATCTCGTCGTGTCGGCGACTCGTCGGAAGACCTGCTGGCTCGATCTGGTCAGTGTCTGGCCGAGGCAGATGAGGGCGCGAGGAGGTCCGAGGTGCAACGGCAACGGCAGCTCCCGCCAGCCCCGTCCCTCCCGCTGATGCCGTACGAGAGAAGGAGTAGTGCGCACATGAAGGCTGTCGTGCGCTCAGGGAGCGACTGAAGAGGCTGCCGGGAGACGGGCGAGAGATGACGGCGACTGGACACGCGCGCTCGATGCGACTGGTCGAGGTGCTTGGGCCGAGCACACGCAAGTGCTGAGCGATCTTCGAGCTCGAGCAGCAGCTCAAGAGCGACGAGTGTGGTGGGAGAAGGAGAGAGCCTCGCAACCCCGCCGTTCGCTTCCTCCAACCGCGCTCACCGCCATGAACGGCACGAGGGGACGCGAGCGGGACGACGACGACGACCAAGGCGCACAAGAGCACGACCAGGGCAAGCGCATCAACCTCGAGCTGCAGCAGGGCCCAAACCACTACGTGCGCCGACTCTCTCTCCCCTCTTCCACCAGCTGCCGAGCGCCTGAGAGATGCCGGTGGGCACAGCGACTGACCACGAGGGCCGCCCACAGGACATCTACGCGCTCCCGTCGTTCCTCCCGCCGTCACCTCTCCTCGCCTCCTCCTCGACGACGCACCAGTCGTGCGACCTCATCGTCGTCAACCGCTCTGCGGGTCTCGCCACCGGGCTCGGCCTGCGTCTCGGCCTGTCCTGTCCGCCCGTCGACGCCGCGTCCGCCGCCCCGACCCACCTCGTGCCCGTCAAGGACCCGGGCTTCTTCCTCCCGCGCGAGCAGGGGTACGACGCCCAGCAGGCCGTGCACCTCGGGTGGGTCGAGGAGGAGCGCCTCCCCGAGCTTGAGCGCATCGTGCTCGGGTCCGAGGTGCCCAAGGTGTACGACCCGCCGCGAGGAGGCGAGGTCCTCGAGTGGTTGCTCGGCGTCGGGAGGGCGCTCGAGTACCAGGGCATCCTCAGCAATCCCGAGCTGCTTCTCGGGCGCCTGCTCAGACCCATGCGCTGACGTTGTCGAGCCCTATAGAAGCGGTGCGTCTCTCGTCCTCGTCCTCGACCTCCTTGCCTCTCCTCGCGCCCCTCGTCGTCCTGACACTTTCGTCTCCTGCAGCCTCTTTTCTCTCGGTCCTGTACTTCTAGCCTCTCGCGGTCGACACGGACATGTTCAAGTTGTTTTGGAATACAGTGCACGTCGTCTCTCGACACTGCTACGGAGAGTTGCTGCCGCGCCCGAGAGCGAACGGAAAGACGCGCCCGCTCGACGAGAGCGGCAAGGCAAGATCGCGAGAGCTGCGGTTGGCAGGATATACGAGACGGACGAGCCTGCGTCGTACATTCGATGGGTCAGCTGGGCCGGCCTGAGGGAGGGAGGTGTAGAGAGAGAGGGAAGACGCACGAGGGCGAGCGAGACCCGGGCGCCTGACTCGGCCTCCCCCAGACGTCCGTCCGGACCCGCCGGCATCTTCCACAGAGAAGCCGACGTCGTGCTCCCTCGCGAGGCTGTTCTCGAGCGAGATGAGCGAGGAAAGGTCTGAAACGCGAGCCGACGCGAGACGGCGCGCCCGCGAGAGGAAGAGGAGGCGCAGCAAGCCGCCGCCAGGGCCGCAGACGGTCACAAGGTCGCTGTACGGGGGAAAGACGCGGTCAGCGGTTCGATTCACGCGAGGGCGAGCTGGGGCGGGAGACGGAGGACGCACGCGTCAGAGGGGGCGGATGCAGCACGAGGCCGGCGGCCAGAGGCGATTCTGGTGGGGGCAGGGCGCGAAGAGTCAGTCCAGGCTGCGCGTGACAGACGCGAATCGCCGGTTGCAGCCGTCGTGGGCGCGTCGGAGCCTCATCAGTTCGGGTAGGTGAGGAGGAGGAGGAGCGGGCTCACCTCGAGGATACGTTGGCGTGCGGACGCGTGTAGATCAGTCGAAGGGCTGCGCTTGTGCCACCGAGAAGCTCGCTGAGCTGTGCAGCTGACGGGTGGGCAAGCAAGCCGTCGTCGACTCGGTCGCCTCGTCGCAGCTCGCCCGCTCACCGCTTCCACCACGTCGCAGGCTGCAATGTGCGCATGCTCTCTTCTCTCTCTTCTCCCTTTATCACGTGTGCGCGGCCTCGGGGCCTGCGCGGCGAGGTGGGACGCGGCGCGTCGAGCTCGCCTCGACGAGGGCTTTGCGCCCTCGGCGCGCCGGTCACAGCCAGGAGGGCACGGCGCTACTTGGAGCAGTGCATGCAGGTGTGCTCGCACGGGACAGTCGCGCGCGTTCGAGCGCTCTCTGAGCGGGTTCGCAGCGCGAGTGACGATCACGTCCATCGTCGTCGCGTCGTCCCGTGTGTGATGAGCCGCGACTCGCTCTCGCTTCTCTCGCTGTCGAGCAAAAGACGACGCCGTCGAGACGGACAGGAACAATCGGCGTTCTGCGGTGCACGAGCAGGAGGACGAGGGCGAGGAGCGGCCGAGGTGGGCGGGCGAGGGCAGTTGTCGCGACCGCGGCGTTTCTGGAGCTGCTACGGGACGTCGACGCTCTACGAGTCGCTCGGCTTTGTCGCGCGTGACAGCGCACATTCCAGGGGCAGCGGCGACCAGAAAAGTCGACTTTTTCTGCCCTCGTCCTCGCTCGCTCTCTCTCTCTCTCTCTCTCTCTCCTTCTCTTCACTCTCCCTCCTCGCAAGGCGCTCGCCAACCTCCTCCGCCCCATTTCGACCACCTCATCCCACCCACCATGTCCAACCTCCTCGCCTACTTCCTCCGCCCCAAGAAGGCCGCCGCCCTTCCCGCCGTCGTCGCCGCCCTCCCGCTCCGAGCCAAGGCCGTCGCCCCCACCATGACCGGCTTCCAGGCCTTCGCCAACGACAACGTCTCGATGGCCGACGAGGTCAAGAAGGTCAGCCGCGACGCGTCGTCGGCGTGGGCCGGCAAGAAGGTCGACGCTGCCACGTCAACCGGGTTCGCCGCCTTCTCGCGGCCGGGAAACTCGGCGTACAACGCCCTCAAGCGGTACCACCCGAGTGCCGGCGTCGCCCTGTTCACCCCTAAGACGAGCGGCGTCGAGGCGCCCAAGCTCGAGCTCAACAAGACCAAGATCGAGGTGCCCACGTTCGTCCCGAGGTGCGCTCTCTTTTCCTCGTTCCTCTGCGACAAGTCGACTTTACCTGACTCATCTCGTTCCACAAACAGCTACCAACTCGGCCACAAGTTCGGAGTGCCCGCCTTCGAGGCCTTCAAGACCACCAAGCCGGGCTCGGGCGAGTTCGTCGTCGACACGCTCGACAAGGCCAAGCCCGCCTTCAAGACGCCGGCCGCCGTCGAGGACGCGGCTGTCGAGGTCAAGAAGGTCGACAAGGTCGACAAGGGCAAGGCGGTCGAGCGGTCGCTCTCGCCCGAGATCGACCTCGAGAAGGTCGACAGCCGGTGCGTCCTCGCTCTCTCTCTCTCTCTTCGCCGGTCTCGTCTTGAGGCCAGAGCTGACCTCGAGCACGCCGCCTGCAGCGCCGACGCCGCCGAGCCGGCCTCGTCAACCGCGCCCGAGGACCGCCCCGTCAAGAACCTCGGCTCGGCGGCCAACGCCAAGGGGCGCATCGCCAGCACGAGCACGTCGAACGCCGACGTCGGCTTCTCGCGCTTCGGCGGCAAGCGCCGCCGCTTCGACGAGGTCGACGCCGACGACGAGTCGGTCACGCTCGCGACCTCGTCGGCCGCCCTCAAGGCGCCCAAGCGCTCGAAGCGCATCGAGGCCGCCAAGGCGGCCAAGGCCGTCGACAGCCCGCTGGCGAGCACCTCGGCGCGCTCGCTCGCCTCGTCCTCGTCCACGTCCTCGCTCAACAAGTGCGTCCTCTCCCTCCCTTTTCCCCTCTCGATCGACGTGAATTGACAGTGGTCCTCCTTGCAGGCACGCGCCGGTCGCGTCGACGAGCAAGATCACCATCGAGGACCTCAAGAAGGACAAGGAGGTCGCCATCTCGGAGCGCCGCCGATCTAAGCTCAAGTACGTCCCTTGCTCGCCCTCTCCTCCTCTTCTCGACCCCGACTGACGCTCGTACTCGATCCTTTACCTGCAGGCGCGCATCGGACGAGCTCGAAGACGTCAAGCCGGCCAAGAAGCGCAAGGCGTCGCTCGAGGGCCTCAAGGAGAAGGCGCGCGAGGTCGTCGTCGCCGGCCCAAGCCGGTCCAAGACCCTCAAGTGCGTCTCTCACTCGCCCACTTCTGTTCACCTCGACCGTTACTGATACTCGCACTCGCCACCTCGCCCGCAGGCGCACCTCGGAGGAGCTCGAGGACCAGGCGCCCGCCAAGAAGCGCAAGACGGCGTCGTCGCCGTCGCCGGCCGACGACGAGGCGCTCGCCACCTCGGTCACCTCGCCGCGCAAGGTCAAGCGCTCGAGGAACGTGGGCGACCTGTACCGCGGCGGCTTCGCTGCCGCCGTCGTCGACCCGATCGGCTCGAGCGGCTGGGGCCGCAGCAGCACCGTCGGCGGCGTCCACCCGGCCTTGGCCATCTGGGGCGAGACGGCGCTCGCTGTCCAGGGCGACGACTCGCACCGCTTCGAGGAGCTCGATTGAGTGATAGAGCCAGGTGCGTCCCTTCTCCCTTTGACCTTCTCAAACGCGAGGGCGGCCCTGACGACCTCTACTGCGCTCGCAGCATCTTATCTTCTTCATCGACATGTACCTATACCCCTATATCCGCCCTTGACTGCCCTCCCTACATCCAAGTACCTGTACCGCCCGTCGCCGTCCCTGTACCCCGACCGACAAACCTCCCTTCGACCTCGCCGACCTTTTTCTCTCTCTCGACCGCCTCAACCTCGCCCCATCGACGACGATGACTACGACCTCTCCTTTCTGCGCCTACCTCACCGCGATCCGACCCCCGTCTAAGCCTCTCTGCACGCACGGCGAATGCCCCATTCTCGCCTGCGTTGCAGCCCGTCCTGCTTGCAGGGGCGGGTCACCAGAGTCGGACGGGTCTACTCGGACCGGGACCCATCTGCGGGGCGCAGCAAGGACTTGGTCGGACATCGTCGTCGTCGCTGGAGCGGGTTCGAGGCGCCGTCGGGAGGAGGAGGAGCAAGGCGGGCGAAAGGGGAGCTCGTCGGCTGTTCTACACTGTGTCGTAACCTTGATAGACGTGCCCTCTCTCTCGTATTGTCATCCCTTTCGCGCCTCTCTTGTTCTCGGTCCTCTCGAGAGCGCTCGGACCTCGGTTTCGCCGTTGCGTCTCTCGAAAGCGCTCGCTTCTCTCGTCTCGCAGGCCTGCTGAGTCGTCGAGTATGTGCATCGCAGAGCTTGTCTAGCTGCTACACGAACACTGGAACCCGAGCATGGTCGAGGGCCCGACCGCACACAGCCTCCTCTTCTCCTGCTCGTCCCTCGTCGTGCACGTCTCGCCCTCGTCTGCAACGCCAACCTCGGCCTCGCCATACGCCTCGAACGGGTGCGTCGCCATGTACAGGACGCGCTCGAGCTGGTCCTTGCCCTCGGTCGCGCGCGTCTCGGGCGACGACAGCTTGGCGATCGTCTCCTCGAGGACCCACTGGCGCAAGGTGAAGCGGGCGTTGGCGCCTTCTATGCGGCTGCGGCGCGTGCTCGACGTGTCCGACGGCTCGAGGGCGAGGCGCTCCTCGTAGGTCGAGAGGAACGAGGTCCAGTCCTCCTTGGCGGTCGGGGCGGACGAGGACGAGGCGCCGGCGAGGAGGGTGTCCAGGAAAGTGGGGAAGGAGGGGTGGCTCGTCGAGGTGAACTGGGCGAGGAGGCGGTGCGTGTTGGTAAAGTCGAGCTCGTGCAGGGCCATGAGGTCGAGGAATCGCGAGAACAGGTCAAAGTCGCCGGTCTGGCTCGTCGTGAACCCGAGACGCTGCGGGTGAGAGAGGGTGTCAGGGACAGTCTTGAGAAGAAGGATGTACACGAGAGCTGATAGGGCGAAGGAGGTGGAGGACAGGGCAGGAGGAGGAGAAGAGGAGGAGGAGGAGTAGTGGAGGAGGTGGGACGAAGGACGAGCCGACGACGAGGCGAGGGGAAAGACGACGATGGGAGGGACACGTCGACGAGAAGAGGGGAACGAGGACGCACCCGACTCATGAGCCGCTCGTACTCGGCGCGGAAGATGCCGACGAAGCGCTCCTTGATCTTGGCGACCTCGCTCATGCCCCGCTCCCTCCACCGCTTCATCTCCTCCGAGCCCTCGCCCTCGCCTGCCCAGCCGTCAGGCGCCGAGACCCACCCGGCACCTTCTCCCTCGCCCTGCTGCTCGGCGAGCTCGACCTCGTGCCCGATGAGCTCGGCGACGGCCTGGCCGAGCTTGTCGACGGCGAACAGCATCATGGACGGCTGGTTCTTGAACGAGTACCGGCCCATGTCGTCCGAGTGGTTGCAGATGTGCGACGGGTCGAAGATGTCCCTGTTCACGAGGGAAGGTGGTCAATACCGGCGCGAAAAAGAGAAGGGAGGAGAGCCGAGGGGTGGGAAGGAGAGACGAGGGGGAGGGACAGGAAGGATGCGCGAGAGAGGAGCGTTGGAGAGAGGGGCAGGAGAGGAAAGAGGGAGGACGAAGAAGGGATTGGACGAGGAGGAAGGGAGAGGCCGGACGTACATCCACGCGTACGGGCCATAGTCGATCGTGCCGCCGTTGACGGCGATGTTGTCCGTGTTCATGACCTGTGTACGCAGGTGTCAGAGCGAGACTCGAGAGCGTGGAAGGGAAAAAGGGGGACGCACACCGTGCATGAAGCCCGTCGCCTGCCACGACGCCACCGTCAACGCGTTCCTCCTCGCGACCTCCTCGACGACAGCGCGCATGAGGCTCCTCCTCCCGGCGCCTCCCTCGTCCGACGGCTTGTCAAGCGCAAACACGTCTCTCGCGACGTGCCGCTCGAGAAGCGCGAGCGAGTCGTACTCGCCGCGGTACGCCTGCTGCTCAAAGTTGCCGATCCGGATCCAGCTCCCGGCGACGCGCGTGACGATGGCCGCCTCCTCGAGCGACTCGCGGCGAACGTGGACCGAGGGGATGTGGACGAGGGCGAGGGCGCGGGAAGTGGGGACGCCGAGCGCGGCGGCGGCCTCGGCGCCGAGGTACTCGCGCACGGACGAGCGCAGGACGGCGAGGCCGTCGGCGAAGCGCGAGTAGGGCGTGCGACCGGCTCCTGCAGATTCAGGGACATGGTGAGCGCCGAACACGAGACGACGACGTCCCAGAGGCCGGGGAGGAGGTCATGGCGCACCTTTGAGCTGCAACTCGATGGCCCGGTGGCCCGTCTTGGCGGCGACCTCCTCGGTCGGCGGTGTCGACACTGTGGGTCGGTCTGAGGTTAGCGCAATTCCGATGAAAGAGCGAGAGAGAGAGAGAGAGAGAGAGAGGGGGCGCACAGATGCTGATGGCCCTCCCGTCGCCGAGCTGCCCGGCAAAGCTCCCAAACTGGTGCCCGGCGTAGCACAGGCTCCACGGCGCAAAGCCCTTGCCCTCCTGTCCCTCGCCCACGCCGCCGTCCTCGACAGGCTCACGCGCGAGCACGACGCGCCCGCTGACGACGTCGACAAACTGCTCGCGCACCTTGTCGCCCTTGGCGTCGGTCCCGACGTCGAGCTGCGGGAGCCACGCGTCCCTCAGGGCGTGGCTCACGCTCAGGAGCTCGCCGCGAGGGAACGACGGCAGGTCTCGGCGCGCGCTCGAGAAGGCGGTCGGGCGCGAGGGCCGAGCCGACTCGGGGAGGGCGGCGTCCCAGACGGGGCGCTGCGGCGAGACCTCGAACGAGGCGAGCTGCGTCTCGATCGTGGTGGGCGTTGCCGTGTTGGTGCGCTCGGTGTCGGCCGGCTCGCGGATGTCGTACGGGAACTCGAGAGGCACTGCGACCGGGTGGGGAGGAGGGTCAGCTCGACGGGTCGCCTGTCGGCCAAGTGGACAAGAGAGAGCAGGGGACGCACAAGGGCTCGTGTAGGTGAACGCGCCGCCTCCTCGGATCTGGCGGCTGCGCCTCAGCATCGACGGCGGCACCGGGTCGCCCTCCTTGAGCGCGACGGGCCCTTTGGCGCCGAGGTCGGGCGGTGCATCGTAGCTCGACAGGGCGAGGAGCGACTTGGGGGTCGGGAAGAGCGGGTCGGGCCGCAGGTGGTACGTCGGCGCGAGGGGCGAGATGGGGAGCGAGAGGAGCGACTGCTTGGTCGAGGTGGACGAGGCGGCGGCCATCGTCGAGGTGCGGCGCGCGGCGAGGTGCGACAGGCGGTGAGCGGTCGCCACTGTTGCGTGCTGGTGCGAGTGCTGGTGTGTGGCTGAGAGAGAGGAAGCGAGCTGGGAGATGACGAATTCCGACGACTCGGAGGCGGTGCGTCGCGCGCCGCCGGCTCATTCGGCTCCAACTCCCGAGTGTGCGCGAGAGGGTCAAAGCGCCACAGGTTCTATTGCTCGTCGAGCTCTACAAGTTCCAGTAGTACACCTCGAGGAGGACCACCGCACACGCGACGCCCTCCAACAGGACCAACATTCCGCCGCCGAGCCACAGGGCAAACTCGCGCTGCGTGACCCGGATCCCCTTCTGCGCGAGGATGCGCACCCACAGGAGGCCGGCGAGCGAGCTCGACACGGTCCAGCTCAGCGCGCCGACGTTGCTCGCGAGCGCGAGCGAGTAGATGGCCCCCTGGAGGATGCGCGGGTCGGCGACGACGCGCGCCGACGACGAAAACGTCGGCGACCGCAGGATCTCGACGGCGAGGATCGTGCCGCCGATGTTGGTGCCGCACAGCGGACACAGGAACAGCGCCGTGATGTACCTGTGGGCGTTCCACCGTCAGTGACCGTGCGCTCGTCGAGAGAAAGAGAGAAAGAGAGAGGGGGGCGCACCCGACGAAGAAGACGGTCGCGGCCGGGTTGACGCAGACCCTGACGAGCCACGTCGCAAAGATGTCGGTCCACCCAGTTGCCGTCAAGGCGCGCGCGAGGACAAAGATGCCGCCGGCGAACGGGAGCAGCGACAGCGGCAAGCGCGACACGGTGCTCGACGTCGTCGGGAACCGGCGACACGTCTGCGCGACGAGGCGCTGCGCCGTCCAGGGCCGAGCAGGGACCGCCTCGTTCGACGAGGCGACGACGGGCGGCGTCGCGACCGGGTGCGTCGGCGCGTCGGCGAGCTCGATCTCGTCCTTGACGCGCGGCGGACGCCTCTCGCTCCACAGGTCGCGCGCGAACGCGAGGACGCCCGCCGGGGCCGTCACCATCCACACCTGGACGAGGTCGTGCCCGACAAAGCTCGTGCCGACGAGCGTGCCGAGCGTGACGAGCATGAGGGTCGCGTGGAAGACGGCGCCGCGCGGGTCGACGAGGGCCGAGCGCGGGTCGACGTCGGGCGGGAGGAGCTGCGCCGGGATGTAGCGCTGGCGGGACGAGGTCGAGGCGTCCGAGGGCGAGGACGATGGGCGGAAAAAGGTGAAGAGGAACAGGAGGAGAGGGTAGGCGACGAGGGCGCTGCAGGAGGACAGGCGTGTACGGCGTCAGAGGTGTACGAGGCGTGGACGAGGAGGAAGGAGAGAGCGCGAGACGCACGTGATGGTGGCGGGCAAGATCGTGTAGGCCGTGAAGCCGGTCAAGAAGTTGAGCCCCCAGGCCTGTAGACGTGCGAGAGAGCGTTAGAGTCGGTCGAGGCGCAAGAGGCGGGTCGAGAGAAGAGAGAGAGAGGGCTCACCCCTGCGATGAGGACGTTGGTCGGGTTGCTCGACACGAGTGCGGCGCTGGCGACGTTGGCGGCGACGAATTGGCTCATCGTCCAAGCCCTCGGGGCCGCGATGCCGGTCGCGCGAGTAAAGTAGCCGAGGAAAGCGGTGCCGCTGAGGACGATCGGGTCGTTGCCGACAAGGACGCCGAAGAAGAACCAGAAGCAGTAGAGGATAGTAAAGAGGCGCAGGCCCGAGGCCGTCTTTGGTGCAGACGGCGGCGAGTTGGGCGGGTGCCGAGCCGACTTTTGCGAGATCCAGAAGGCGAGGGCGCGCAGGCCGCCGGTCGAGTCGAGGGCGGTCGAGATGTAGGCCTGTCCGGGAAGAGAGGGTGAGTCGGCGGATCCTCGTTGAGAAGGTCGAAAGGGGAGGGGCTCACGAGCGAGATGAAGAGGACGAGGACGTCGTAAGGCCTGACGCCGTCCTCGCCGACGATGCCGAGTCGAACGACGCTGCCGTCGATGACCGTGGTGGCGAGGAGGAAGATGCAGCCGACGACGGGCGCGGTGCGCAGGTCGAGGACGAGCGAGAGGCGCTTGTTCCAGACGGGCGTCGGCGCGTCGGTCGACACGAGGCGGGACGATGAGTTGGCGAGCGGTGTGGTGGAAGGTTTTGGGGACGGCGGAGCGCAGTCGTCCGGTTGCGGCGAGGTGGGTTGAGCGAGTGCGGGCGGGTCGAGGATGCGGCAGCGGACTGCGAGCTTGAGGAGCGGGACGGTGATGACGCGGGGCACAGGGATGGTGAAGCCTTTGATGACGAGGCCCACTGTGACGGTGCACGAGAGTGAGCGGTGCTGCGACGCGGAGATAGTAGGGCGAGAGGAGGAGGAGGGGGGACGCACTGACGACGGCGTAGACGACGAGGGCGACCCAGCTTCTCGCAGTGAGGCCAGCCATGGCTGTGCGTGGTGGCAGCCAGTGACCAGGAGCTGCAAGGAGAGAGAGCGACCCAACTTGGTCTTCTCGTCGTTGTCGTCGATCGCTTCCGACCCAAGTCGGTCCTTCGCTCGCCTGCTGCTCCTCCGACACCACCAGCCCAGCTACCGGCCCGCCATGGTACCTGAAGAAGAGCTCCCAGTCCTCGAGTCGCTCGTCCAGTCAGTCCTGCTCCTTCGCCGCACCCACTCTCGTCCTTCCACCGCCATCCCGCCCCCGCTCCGTCATACCTCGTCAATCCCACCCCTCGACACCTCGCATGACCCGTCCCACCACCACGCACGCACTCCAGCACACCATGACGCACCGACCCGATCCCTCGGCGGCCACCGGCGAGCCTCGTCGAGGTGCGAGCCCCCATTCCACCCGGCCTCACCGCCGCGGCACTTTCGCCTCCAGCCTCCCTCGACAGCCCACACCTCGCCGAGGCCACCAAGCATCCCTCAGCACCTCCATGGAGCCACCGAGCCGCCCCCAGGAATCCCACACTGACCCTCGCACACCTCCCCTCCCTTGTGCAGCATCCGCAACCGGCTCACGGCCCTCAAGAAGGACCGCACCGAGTACATCCGCGCAAAGGACGTCCTCGACGTGTTTGCCTCGCTCATGGACATCGTCACCCGCCTCAACGACATTCGCGCCCAGCCCAAACCCTCGACCTCGTCGGCCGCGTCTTCGTCGTCGGCCGCGCCCGACGAGCCCGTCGTCGTCGAGACCGAGGAGAACCGCGTCGACACGATCCTCAACGACGTCTTCCAGGTCCGTCCACTCTTGCCCTCTCTCCCTCTCCCTTGGTCCGAGTCCTGACTCTCGCTCCCCTCACCGCGAATCAGCTCCTGTCGCTCTTCTTCCTCCGCATTGGCAAGTCGCGCGAGAGCCCAGCCACGTTCTGCCAGCTTGGTACCATGAAGCGTCTTCTCACACACCGTGCGTCCCCTCTCTCGCACCCTGCGCATCCCCCTCGAACGTGCCCTCACCCTCTCGACGGCGCACGCAGTCAACGAGAGCGGCATCTACACCGAGGCCGACCTCAAGCCGTACCAGTCGCGCCTTGCCGAGCTCAAGCTCATCATCAACGAGGGTGCGCCCTCGGACGACGACGGCCGCGACGCGACCGACCGCGCGCGCGACACGGCCATGACCAAGCTCCTCCTGTCCAAGTGGGACGCGTGCGACCGCCTCGTGACCAAGCTCGCGTCGTCCCTGTCGCAGCTCGCGCCCGAGCTCTTCCCGCTCCACCAGCGCCTCATCACGCTCCGGCGCACGCTCGCCGGCATCGCCGCGAGGCCACGGCCCTCGGCCGCCGACGTGGCGCCCATCCTCGCCGAGCTGCGCCAGATCGAGGACAAGCGCCAAGAGTGCGGCGGCAAGTTTGCCGTCGAGATCCCCTCGGCGTCGTCGATCGCGGCCTCGGCCGCCGCCGACGAGGCGCAGCGCCTGTCGGGCGAGGTGTTTGCGCCCGACAAGGGCCAGGAGCTCCTCGCCGGCCTCTTGCAGGACAACTTTGACATCTGCGAGGACATCAAGGCGCGCGAGGGCGAGCACGAGGTGGCGAGGGGCCCGCTGCAGCCCATCTACGACCGCCTGAGCGAGATCCGGGCCCAGCTCGAGCGCCTCGTCTTGACGCACCGGTGGACCTTGAGGGAGACGGTGCGTCCCTCTCTTGTTCTACTCTTTGTCATACGGTGCCTGACAGTGAGCCTCACGCGCGCAGGACCTGTACAACTACCAGAACGAGCTCGCGAGGGTCGATGCGCTGCGGGTCGACGGCAAGGTGCGTCGCTCGTCCCTCTCTCTCTCTCTCTCTCGGCGACAGGTACTGACCATGGGCACGCCCCCCTCCGTCCACAGTTCCGTGACGCAGACGGCAACGTGCCGGAAGGACAGCTCGTGGGTCAACCTCTCTCTCAGCCATTCGGCTCGCGGCGGGCCCTGCGCCCGCCTCGCGCCGTAAATGTCGAGCAGCTCCTTGACTGACTCCTCCCGTCGCGTGCAGGTCCTGCTGTACCTCCTGCGGCGATGCTACGGCCTGTGTTACCGGCTCATGGCGTCGTCCGAGCCCGTCTCGGAGGAGCTCATGCCCATCGCCAACGTACGTCCCTCTTTCGCTCCTTCTTTCCTCTCTCTCATCATGTCGCACCACTCACGCTCCTCCTTCTACGCAACTCGCAGAAGCTCAACACGATCAAGCGATGTCTCATCGAGGTGGCCAAGCAGGGCGGCCCGTTCACGACGCGCGACCTGTACCCGTTCCAGCTCGCGCTGTACCAGATCGACTCGCTGCGCAAGGACGGCAAGTTCGAGGGCAGGGACGGGAGCATCCCGGAGGGCCAGGGTGCGTTGCGTTCTTCCTCTCTCTTTCTCTCTCGAGCTTCGTTTCGAGGTGGGTCACTGACACGGCCCCTTTCCGGCGCACGCAGCGATCCTCAACGCGCTCCTGTCTGAAGCGCACGAGATCATCTCGATGATGCAGGAGGAGGGCGTCGAATAGGCGGGCGACGAGCTCGCTGTTTGAGGTGCGCTTGGGTCGAGGTTGGTCGGCGGACGAGGTCGAGCGGGCAGTCCGTACTCTGTAGCCCTGCGAGCGTGCTCGCATTCACTTCTCTCGCATGTCGCTCAGTGCTCGAGAGGAGAGGTCACGAAAGCGCTTCGCTGCATTGCTCCCGCTCAGGCCTCGTCGCTACTCGACGACGACGAGCTCCCGCCGCCTCTCGCCCCCTTGCCCTTCTTCCTCAGCCGCTCGCGCTTCTTCTTGTCGCGCCGCTCCTTCTTCTCGCGCGCCTCGCGCTTGCGGTTGTCGCGCGCAAACGACCCGGCGTTGAACGGAACCTCGGCGAGGTCGTCGTCGACCGACGGGTCGAGCGCGGCCGCGAGACGTGCGAGCTTGGCCTCGTCCTCGGTCGGACGGGTGTCATGGGCGAGGGACGAGGGAGGGAGAGAGGAAGAGGGAGGGAAGAGGCCGAGGGCGGGCGACGAGGCGGGCGACGAGCGGCGAGCCTTCTTGTGCTTCTTGCGCTCGCGCTCGCGGTCGCGGTCGCGGTCCTTGTGCTCCTTGTCCACCTTCTTCTTCTTCTTGTCCTTCTTGCGAGGCGACGGCGCGGGCGGCTGAGGCGAGACGATGAGGAGCTCGTCGTCCGAGTCCGAGTCGTCCCGGACCACCATGCTCTTGCGCGCGCTCGTGACGCTCGGCAGCGCAGCAGCCCTTGGCGTAGCCGACGACGACGACGATGCCGACGACGATGCCGCCGAGGCGGCAGTCGAGCGCGCCTGCCCCTGGGCCTTGGGCACCCGGAAGGCGCGGCCCGTGGCCGGCGCACGGTCCGCCACGGCGACGACGGCCTTGGGCACGCGCGCCGGCGCCCGCTCGACGACCTCGATGCCGTCGCTGTCCTCGCTCGAGCTCGAGACGCGCTTGCGCTTCTTCTTCTTCTTGGCCGGCGACGCCTCGTCCCGCTCGCGCTCGCGCTCGTCCCGGCCCCTCTTCGCCGACGAGCGACCCTGCGCGCCGCCCGCCCCGTCGGCCTTGACCGGCACGACGGCCTGCGAGAGGGCCGGCGCCGCCGCCGCCTCGCGGCGCTCCTCGGCCTCGTTCTCGTGCGGGAACACGGCCCGGCCGTATGCGCGGCTCTCGGCGCGCACGCGCTCAGCCTGGGCGCGCAGCGTCTCGCTGTCGCGGCGCGTGGAAGGAGGCGCCGTCGACGAGGCGAGGTCGAGGCGGATGAGCTCGACGGCGCACTCGGGGACGAGGACGCGGCGCAGGTAGAAGTCGACCGTGAGCGGGGCCGTGCGGCGCGGCGTGATGAGGGGCGACTCGTCGACGAACAGGGCCGTCAGGGTCTGCTTGATGAGTTCGAGACCTCGAGGGCCGTAGCTGTGGCGCAGAGGAACGAGGGACGAGTCAGTGAGGGTCCGTGCACGGGACGGCGAGGGAGGAAGGGAGGAAGGGCCACGACGCACTAGCCGGGCTCCTCAACGTCAAAGCTGCCGTACTCGCTCAGGACGCTCTTCCACTCGCCGGCGTCCCATGCGTCGCGCGCTCGGGCGAGGAACGGGCTCGACACCTGGCCGATGATGACGTCCGACAGGTGCGCGCCGAGCTCTCGGTCGATGCGTCTGCGAGCGCGACATGCGGGTCAGTCTCGGAACTTGTGCGGCGCGAGGACCGAGGGAGAGGAAGGTAGGCGCACCTCGGCAGCTCGTCCCACTTGATGCTCGTCGGGTACCCTCGCGCCCTGCCCTCGGGCACGATCGTGCGCTCATCGACGTGCATCTTGCAGAACGCGGCCGTGCGCACGACGTGCTCGCCCTCGGGGAAGCGCACGGCGTCCTTGTTGCGCAGCGTCGGGCGGCGGTCGTGCGGGTGGCGGAGGAGGGCGGCCCGGGTCGCGAGGAGCTGGGGCGAGGGCGAGTCGGGCAAGGGGGTGTCGCAGAAGGGGCACAGGGTCGACGAGTCGGGCAGGTCGTCTGCAGGGACGAATCGAGGATCAGTAAGGATCCACAAAGTGGGAGAGAAAGGCGGACGCACCGTCGTCCTCGTCGAGCAGGGCGTCGTAGTGGAACGCCTCGTCCCGCGAGCTCCTCTCCCTGCCCTTCTCGACTCGCTCCGAGTCGCGCTCGTCGTCCCGCTCGCTCGTCGCGCGCCCCTTGCCCTTGCGCCGCTTTCGCTCGGCAGCGTGCTCCTCCTTGAGCATGTCCTCGAGCGTCGGCAGCACCTCGGCGACGACCTCGGGCGAGGGCGACTGCGACAGGACAGGAGGCGCCGCCGAGTCGAAGTGGCCGCGCAGGCCGGCGAGCTTGCGCGATGCGGCGGGAGCGCTGTGCGGCTTGCGGCGAGGCGAACGGTCGTCGGCGCTGCAGGGTCGGGACCGTCAGGACGACGAGCCACGCGGTGGACGAACGAGGGAGGGAGAGGCAGGACGCACCTGTCTTCGATGTCGGACTCGAGCGCGACGACGCGCTTCTTGCCCTTGACCTGGTCCTTGTCCCTGCTGCGCCGCTCTTTGGCGCGCTCGACCGCCTCGACGCCCTTGTCCTTGGCCGCAGGCTTGGTCGCCGCCTTCTGCTTGTCGAACAACCGGTCGACGCTCGTCTTGGGGCGCTCCTGCACCGGGTCGGCGGACGAGGTGGCGCCCGCCCTCCTGGCCGCCGCGATCCCTGCGCGCCTAACGCGCTCGAGGCGCTCGGCCGCGTCGAAGCGGTGCTGCAGCGCTTCGGCGTCGGCCTCGGCGGCTTCATGCTCGCGCTTGCGCCGCATCTCGGCGCCGCGCGCGGTCTCGACGCGGGGCGGGGCCTCGACCGGCTCCTCCCACGGATACGCGGAGGTCGCCTGGGCGGGAGCGTGCGGCGCAGGACGCGATGATTGCTGCGCAGGGGCGTGCGACGACCGTGGGGGCTGCATGGTTGACGAGGACGACGACAAAGACGGGCCATGGTCGAGGCTGATGCCGTACGAGTCGAGGAGCGCGTCGGCGCCCTCGTGCGAGCGGCGCGGCGGCGCGTTAAAGCCGTTGCCGCCGGCGCCGTACGGGCCGCGTCGCCCTGCACCGGCTTGCGAGCTGCTGTGCTGCGTGTCGTAGAAGCTGCTGGAGGGGGCCGAGGCGTACTGCTGAGGCGAGCTGCGCCAGTCGGCGGCGGGGGCGGGCGACAGGACGGACGAGCGGTCCTTGTAGATCTGGGCGGCCTTTGGCGGCGCACTGAGGCGAGGAGCCTTGAAAGCCGCGGACGGCCCGCTCATGGCGGTCGTAGGCGAGTCGGACAGGGGAGCGCGGCGGGGCGCGACGATGAGGACGAGGTGGGGGTGGGAGGGACGGCGTTTGAAGGTTTGGTCGCGCGTGTAGTCGGTCCAGACAGAGTCTTGTGAGCAGATGGACACGCGTCTACCCAGCCCAAGCGTAGGCGGCGAGTGGGACGAGGACGACAGCGAGAGCACCGTGAGATGAAGCTGTTCTGGCTCAGTGTGGTCCTCGCGCGCTCAAGGCTGAGCAGTGCTGTGCGCAGACCTACAGTACCGATCCCTCGCAATGCACCCAGCCCCGTCGCCGACCATCCCTCGACCGCCGCTCGTCGTCACTCCTCCTCGCGCCGACCAACCGGCACCGGCGCCTCTCTCGCTCTCCGCGTCGCTCGAGCAGCTCCAGGGCCAGGCCGCCTTTGCTCCACGCACCATCTTCGACCCGCCGCAACTAGCGCAGCCTTACTCGGAGCCACAACCTGGGCCCGGCCCCCCACCTCGAGTCGCCGACTTGGTCGTCGACGGCCTCGACCACCGCAGGCTCTTTGTTCGCCTACCCGAGGTGCGCTGCCTCTCTCTCTACCCACTTAACGCAAGATCGCCGCCCTGACCTGAGCTCCTCTCGCGCAGTCCGACCCGGTCCACCTCCTCCTCGAGCACTACGTCCCGCCCGAGCAACGCCCGCGCCGTGACCTGAGCGGCGACTACCGCGACAGGACCCTCGACGACCTCGTTGTACGTTCGCGCGTCCTCGACCCTCGCAATCCCGCACGTACTCACCCTCTCGCGCGCGCAGAGCACGCACAACTGGCGAGGCGTGGCCCGCTTTGCCTACGATCAGGTCACCCAGTCGCCGCCCAACGACACGGCGCACATCCTCACCGTGCGCACACACTCTCCCTCTCTCTCAGTCTGGTTCGGGCCTGACGCGATCCTGCGTCGGCAGCACTGGGTCCTGCGCTTCCACGCCCTCCTCCGCCTTCGACTCGTCGCCGCCCTCTCTGCAGAGCTCTCGGCCGTCACGTCGCTCCTCCCTCCCGCGCACTTCCCCCCTTCCACCTCGTCTTCCTCGGCACCGCCAGCCTTCCACCCTGACGTCCCCTTCGAGCTGCACCTCCTCTCGGCCTCGCTCCCCTCCCTCGCCCCGGCGCCGCACGACGCGATGCCCGACCAGGCCGCCGCCGTCGAACGGCTAGCGGCGCTTCTACAAGCGGCCAAGGGCGAGATGTGGCACTGCAGGACGGTCGGCGACGAGCAGGGCGAGCGCGAGTGGCGCGAGAGGGTCGAGCGCGTGGGAGAGGTCCTGAGCGGGGTCTTGGGCGACCTCAAGGTGCGCCGCTCTCTCTCTCTCTGAGTCCCGGTGGACGGACGATGATTGACTCGAGACGCCCCTGCAGGCACACGGCGCACAGCGCGCCCTCCTCGCCTCGTCGACGAGCCCGACCGATGCGCTCCTCGCCGCCCTCGCGCGGCACCACTACTCGACGGGCGACCTCGCCTCGCTCGCCACGACCTCGGCCACTTCAACGACCTCGACGTCGCAGGGGCGGGGCGTGCGCAAGGCTCGCGTGCTCGAGCTCGTCGGGCGCGCTCAGTGGGACGAGGCCGAGCGGGAGCTGAGGGGGTTGGTGCGCGACGACGAGGAGGACCTCGAGGTGCGTCCGACTCTCCCTCTTCTTCGCCCGCGACCCTGTCGCTGCACGAGCTCACGCGTGCGAGCGCGCTTGACGTCGTGCAGGCCCAGATCAACCTCGCCGTCGTGCTCCTCTACTCCCCCAAGCTCGATGAGGTGCGTCCTCCCTCTCTCTTTCCTCAGGTCACGCCCTTGCCTCTCCCTGACTCTTCTCGCACCTCGTCGCGACCCACCGCAGGCCATCTCGCACCTCCACACCCTCCTTCGGTCGTCCTCTCCCTCCCTTTCCCTCGCCGCGCACCACTCGCCCACCCTCTTGTTCAACCTGTGCACGCTGTACGAGCTACGCAGCGAGCGCGCGACCGAGGACAAGGTGCGGCTCCTTGTCGCAGCGGCGAGCTGTGGAGGCGGGGCGCAGGGCGTCGAGGCGTCGAGCTTCAAGCTCGCGCTGTAGAACGGGCTCGTCCAGTGCACACGTATACACTCTTCTCCATTTCACGAGCGAGAGCTGTCGTGAGCGGCTCTGTCGAGGACAGTGCGCCGCCGGGCGCAGAGGCTCGGCTTGAGGAATCGAGGCTCGAGCGCTTGAGGTCGAGTCCGAGAGGGAGTACGCCGCCAACAGCGGTCCAGCGCGCCTTCTCTCGCTCAGGAAGCGCTTAGAGAGACCTCACGAGCGCGCCAGCCAGAGAGTGAGCCAGCAGAAAGAGCTCTCTCGGCGTCGCCAACCTCGGACTTGGGAAGGTCCGGGCGAGCCGACGATCTCGCGCTGTACAAGACAAAATAGCTCGGGAAACGCGCTCGATTGCATCGCAGACACCTCGTCGTCCGATCTGGCGCGAGCGGAAGGCCGCAACCCTGCTAGATCAAGAGCTAGCGTTTGAGCGAGGGTGCGCAGGATCCCCGTGTCTTTTGTAGGTGGCCGGGCGCACGGGCGCTCCGCAGGGGTGCGCGCCGTGCGAGCGGCTCACCACAGTGCGCCCGCTGCCCTCAGGGGCACGAGAGGGCGGGCGCGGCCTCGTAAGGACCCGTCCGCGACGGCTCGACTCGCTGAGCCGCCGGGACGAGTGCGACGACGAACAAGAACTCTCTGCGGTCCGGGAACGCTCGACAGAGACGAGGAGAGCTTTCGAAGAGGGAAGGGCGCTGTCGTGCGGCGCAGCAATGGCGCGAGGGGAAGCTTTCGAGGCCGAGAAGGGGGAGGTGCCATCGAGGGCGCGACTAACCTGCGGCGCGAGATCGAGAGGGTCAATGCGCGGCTCGGCGAGGAGCACAGACCCACATGAAGGTCCTGCAAGGGAGAGAGAGAGTGCGCGGGACGTACAAAGGACAAGACGAGCCGCCTCGAAATTGAGAGCCCGCCGCGCGCGGCCCAGAGGACCGCCCTGCTCGCCTTGCGCAGCCGTTTCGCCTGCAAAGGGACCAGGTCAGTTCATCAAAACCCCTGCATCGCGTCGCGAGGTAGCAGAGGGGGCGAGGGGAGAGGGAGAGGGGGGCCAAACACGGGGAGGCAGGGAGCAGGTGGACGCACCAGTCACCCACAGCCCGCGCAGCGCGGCCGTCTGGCCCAGTAGCCTCCTTGATGCTGCGATAGTCCTTGACGACGATGCCCACAGGCCCATGAACCGTTGCCACCAGTCGAGAGAGGTCGGACGACGCGAGTTGCTGATGAAGATGCGACGCGCTCTGCGCCGTCGGGGAGCGGTTTTGGCGGTGCAGCAGCAGGCTGGGGGTGATGTCAAAGTATGCTGGCAGCGGTGCGAGCCGACTCGGGCGAGCCCAGGCGTGAGGGGCGAGGTGGACGGGGTCGACGAGGGAGACGACCTCGCTCGCGCTCGAGTTTCGCAGCCTTCCGGCTCTCTCTCGACGACGTCGCGCACGGATAACTACTTGTTTCATCTCCCTCGCTATCTACTACGCCAAGCCCATCGAGCGCAGGAGCAAGCTCGGCGTGCAGCTCCACGCGTGGCAGAACGACTGACTCGCAAACGCGCCGTAGGGCGAGAAGCGCGGCTGCGACGGCACCCAGCACTCGAAGAAGGACGAGCCGCCGGCCTTGATCATCGAGCTGCGGCGAAGGAAGAGGACATGTCGGTTCGAGGAACGAGGAGAGAGAGGGAGAGAGACGGGACGCACCCCCAGTAATGGAGGATGTGCTCGACGGCCTTCTCGCGCAAACCCGCCTTGATGAACGCCTCGCACAGCTGCAGGGGTGACGAGAGCGTCAGGGCCGGCCGAGATCGAGGGAGAGAAAGGGGAAGAGGTGGACGCACGTAGTGGTGGAGGTAGGGCGTGTTGCCCCCGACCGCGCCCTCGGTCTCGTACGCCGCGAGGAGCGCCTTCTGCGCCTCATCCTGCGAGTCGGTGACGCCCGCGAGGACCGCCCACGCGTTGCTCGCCCACGACAGCTGCTTGTCCGGGCCCGACAGGAACTTAACACCGTCGAACGCGGCCGAGCGGATGGCGCGGCGGAGCTGGTCGGCGAGCTTTGCAGCCGGGACGGGCTTGCCGGCGACGATGACGGTCGGCTCGGGCTTGCCGAGCACCTTGGCGAGGTCGACGAGGGCGCGCAGGCAGAAGATGAAGATGCACTGGATCGCGGTCGACTTCTCGAGCGACTCTTGCCCTGCTCGACGACGACGGCGACGTCAGGTTCGCTCGTGCGGGCGCAGGAAGGAGAGGACGAGAGGGACGCACAGTCGACAAAGTGCCACTCCTCGCCACCGAGCAGGCTCTTGGGCACCGGGACGACGTAAAGCATGTCGTCGCCGATGCGGCGAGCGGCGAGGTCGAACTGCTTGCGGGCGATGTCGAACAGCTCGTCGCCGGTCGCCTTGTCGCCCGTAAAGTTGACGTAGTCGAGCAGGCAGTTGGTGTACAGGAGCGCGTAGTCGACTGCGAGGGGAGCGACAGGGTCAGGTCGAGGCCGAAAGAGGGGGGCGTGCGAGGGAGAGAGGCGGACGGACCGATGCTGTTGCCGCCCGTGTGAGGTTCAGGCTCCTCGTACGCGCACGCACAGAGCAGGCCCTCGTCGTTGAACGGCATGGCGGCGAACAGGTACAGGCACCGCTTGACGAGGTCGCGGTCGCCGAACGTCGCATACGACGCGAGGGCCTGCAGGCGCAAGTCGCCGATCCACAGGCGCTGGTCGCGCCGAGGCCCGTCCTCGTACGTCGTCTGCATGCAGTCTGCGTGCGAGCGCTTGATTGTCAGGCTGGGCCGAGAGGAAGTGGCGCGAGGAGGACGCACTGCGCAAGGTCGTATGAGCGGCGGCGTCGATCTTGAGCAGCATGGCCTTGTCCTCGCTCGAGAGCTTGAGCGACGTCGCCTCGGGGCCGGAAAAGGTGAGCTCGGGCGGGTTCTGGCGCGGCGCAGACGATACGGCGGTCGCGATCACGTTTGAGAACCTGTGAGGGTGGACGAGGAAGGTCAAGAGGCGCTCGCGCCGTCACAGAGGAGAAAGATGGGGGCGCACTGCAAGCCGTAGCGGATGGACGTGGCGATGACCTCGATCTTGACGAAGCGGAACGCGTAGCGGTTCGTGATGCGCATCGTGACGGGCTTGTAGTGCGGCCGCTGGAGGACGACCGTCTCCTCGGGGAGCCACGACTTGGCGAGAAAGCCACTGTGAAGGTGGCAGTCAGTGTCGTCGCTCGCATGTAGGAGCACGAGTCATGAACGAAGACGCACTTGTACGGCTCGAACGGCTCAGCGATATCGTTGAGGACCTCGCCGAACGTCAACTTGATGCGAGCGGGCGCGTCGGCCGGCTCCTTCTCGAACGGGAGGCCCGCGACATCCTGTGGGATTGTGTCGCAAAGTTCAGCAAAGGGCGTTCATGCCGCAAGAGAGGAGGGAGCGGGAGGAGAAGAGGGACGTACGAACTGAAGGTAGCCCGCGACGTGCTCGCCGAGGTCGAGGACGCAGCTCTTGCCCGAGTCGAGCAGTGGCAGGTCCTCGACGACAGGGATGGCGGCGGGAACGGCCTTCCACCCGAGGAGGCTCGACTCGTCTCGCTCGACCTCGACGACGTTGCGGAGCGGAAGACGGGTGCGCGTGAGCTCAGGCTTGAGGCTCTCGGCGACGGCGAGGAGGCGGGCGTCGGGTTCGGGAAAGGCGCTGGTGAAGGTGACGGGCGACATGGTGCTGGGCTTGAGGCTGGTCGAGGGAGGGCGAGTTGGCGAGGGTCGAAGACGAGGAGGTTGGCGGCAGCTCGTGTCGCGGTGGTCGAGTGTGGTGGGAGTACAGCAGTCGTGTGCGCAAAGGGAGAGCCGTCACGATGCTCTGGCCGAGCTGCAGGGTCGGTGCCATCGTGGTAGGTCGCGGACCAAGTTGCGCCGAGCGAGGTGGGGGCTCTCATCTCTCACACGGCCGCCCGCCGGTACTGCTGCGATCTGCGTTCGGCCGACTGTGCACGCGCGCAGGCCGCGGCCCAACCGTGCCCGCTGCGCGGCCCTCGCGCCCACCGTCGCGCCTCGTCGGCCTCGACCTCGTCCTCCTCGGCGCCTCTTTGCTCCTGGCCGCTCGAGGGTCGCTCATGCTCTTGCCTGGAGCCCCTCGTCCTCTCTCCTTCTTGCTCCACACTCTCTCTCGCTCCACACTTTCTCCCTCCCCCAGCTCCCCTCGTCGCCCCTCCTCAACCTGCTCTCCTCCCGCTCCTCCGCCGCCCCGACCTCCCGCACCGCTATGGCCGCTCCCGCCGGATCCGAGTTCAAGGCTGCGATACATCACGAGGAAGACACCAAGGCGCTCGCTCTCGACGAGGCAGGCGAGGGCCTGCGCGCCGAGGCTCGCAACCCGTGGACCGTCCTCAAGGAGAACCGTCGCGCGGCGGCCGTCATTCTCGCAATTCAGGTGCGCTCGTGACCTTCTCGCCTTCAAAGAGACGAGGTCGCCAGGACGCAGTCACTGACAAACATGCGCCCGCCCTCGCCGCCCTCTCCTCCCCATCGCAGGTGAGACTCTCTCGTCGTGCCTCTCTCTTGCCTCTCTTTCTCGCGCACGCACTGACTCGTCAAACTCGCAGTCGAACGCCATCATCGTCGGCATCGAGTTCTCGCTGCCGGGCAACCTCCTCGGCGTGCCCGCCTTCGTCGAGCAGTTCGGCAAGCTGTCCCCGGCGACGGGCACCTACGCCGTCGAGGCCAAGGTCCTCACCATGTGGGCGTCGCTCTTCGCCACCTTCCAGGTCCTGGGCCTCATCGCCGGCGGCTGGGCCATGGACCGCTTCGGCCGTCGCCCGACCCTGTACAGCGTCATCTTCTTCACCTACATCGTGCGTCCCGCTCGTCCTGCGCGCCCTCACGCGCCCTCCCTCGGACCCGAACTGACTCTTTCCTGTTCTCCTTTCGCTCGCAGGGCGTCATGCTCGAGGTCATTGCCAAGGACTGGCAGACGTGGCTCGGGTCCAAGATCGTTATCGGCTTCGGCACCGGCATCATGCAGGCGTCCGTCACGACCGCCGTGTCCGAGTTCGCACCTCGCGAGCTGCGCGGTATCGCCCTCAGTCTGTTCAACATGTGCATGAGTGCGTCCCCCTTCCTCCCTTTCCTCCCTTTCCTCCCTTTCCTGGGCCCTCGACTGACCTTCTCTCTTTCCTTTGTGCGTCGCAGACATCGGCGGTCTCGCCGCGACGATCATCCCGTGGGCCACGAACAACCACTTCGGCCTCGACGACCGCGCTTTCCGGGTCCCTCTCTACGTCGCCCTCGCCTGCCCAACCATCTCGCTCGCCCTCGAGCTCTGGCTCCTCCCCGAGTCGCCCTGGTGGCTCCTCATGAAGGGCAAGAAGGACCAGGCCCGCAAGTCGCTCGACTACTTGTACTCGAGCCAGCCCAACTACGACTCGGACCGCTCGCTCGCCGAGCTCGAGTACACGATCAACAAGGAGCTGGAGATGAAGGAGCTCGTGCGTCCCCTCTCTCTCCTCGCGACGTTCTGCAGAGTCGGCGCAGCGCCCTGACACCTCGTGTGAACGCGCAGGCCAAGTCGACGAGCTACCTCGACTGCTTCAAGGGCACGAACCTGCGCCGCACCTTCGTCGCCGTCTTCCCGCCTTTGACGCAGAACATGTCGGGTCAGAACCTCGCCGGTACCTACGGCACCTACGTGAGCACTCACTCGTCCCCTTTCCTGCTCGTCCGTCGCTGACTTGCCGCCCATCCCGCAGTTCTTCCAACTTGCCGGCCAGAAGGACCCCCTCATCTCGTCCGTCATCACGACCGCCGTCGGCCTCTTCGTCAACTTCTGCAGCTTCTTCCTCCTCGAGCGCAAGCGCGTCGGTCGGTGGCTCCTCCTGTTCGGCGGTCTCCTCGTCATGACGGCGTGCATGCTCGCCATCGGCCTCATCGCCGTCATCGCCGGCGGCGACGGCACCTACAACAAGGCGGCGGGCGCGTGTCTCACGCTCTTCGTCGCGCTCTTCATCGCCGGCTCGACCGTCGGTGCGTCCTCTCTCTCTCTCTCGTCTCGGCCCCTTGCCTCCCCCTCGCTCCTCCTTCCTCCCTCTCCTCCCTCTCCTGCTGTCCGACCGCTTCCCTCCCATCTTGTACATGATCACTGACTCTCTCCTTGACCGCGCACAGGCCCTGGACTCGTCGGCTGGACCTACACGGGCGAGGCGGGTTCGTCCAAGCTGCGCGCCAAGACGGCCACCCTCAGTGTCGCCGGCAACGCCGTCGCCGGCCTCGTCTGGACCTCGGTCTTGCCCTACATCCTCGACGCCGACCAGGCGAACCTCGGTCCCAAGGCTGGTGCGTTCCTCGTCGCTCGTCGCGAGCCTTTTCTCAGCCTCGTTGCGCGAGCACTAACTCTCCCTCTCTCCCCAACAGGCTTCATCTTCTTCGGCCTTGGCGTCTTCTGCTGCCTCGGCGTCTACTTCTACATCCCCGACCTGACCGGCCGCTCGTTCGCCGAGATCGACGAGCTCTTCGCGCGCCGCATCAAGGCTCGCCAGTTTGCCAAGACCGAGACGACGGGCCAGTACGGCCAGGACCTCGGCGAGACGGTCAACCGGGTCGAGTCGTCGGACGCGCAGTCGAAGGAGCGCATGTGAGGGGGCGGTTTGAGCGGTCCGTGCGCGGGCGGTGGATCGGTCGTGGCGCGTCTCGAGGGTTGTCTGGCGTATTCTCCGCTGTTCTATCAAAGTCTTGCAATCTCCTAGCCTCTTACCTGTCTCGTGCGTGTGCGACGACATCGCTGAGACGTTCGTGCGGCTCTCGAGGATGCGAGCACGCTCGCGTCGGTGGAGGAAAGCGCGACAGCGAGAAAGCGAGCAATGCGCTTTTAGCGGCAATACCTGCACCTCGAGGGACGGTTCAAGATGTACGACTGTAAGCTGTGTACAAGAGCCGAGCCCTGTTACGAGCGTCGAAGAGAAAGGACCGAGAACGGGCGACTTGAGAAGGTCGCGGTCACTACTCGATTGCAAAACAGCTCAGCTTCTCGAACAATCGAACCGCTATCTGAGCGGAAACCCAAACCGACAGTGGTGGGGTGGGGGTTTCTATACTGGCAACATCGGCGCTGTATACATGTTGTTACTCAGAAAAGCGTCTCGTAGTCCTCGCCGTCGCACCTGCGCACGAGGAGGAAGGTTCGAGCGTCAGGCAAGGTACCCCGACGAGTCAGAGATCAAGAGAGAGGAGGACGCACCGAGAGTGCGCAGCCCGATCAACGCCGGGGGGCCGAACCGAGGTCCGACTCGACATGAACTCCTCTGCGTCGGTCGAGGACAAGGTCAGCTCGGGCGAGGACGACGAGAAGAGAAAGAGGACGGAAGACGCACCGACGTTCTCCCCGCACGAGATCCTGCAAGTAGAGGCTCTGGTCGTCTCGAACAAGCGCTCCGTCCCTGTAAACCGGATCGAGAACGAGGGTCAGTGGCCTGACGCGAGGAGCCCGACGACAGGCGAAAGAAAAGCGAGCGCACCTTGGCCCTCCTCACTGGCTCCTCACCGCCTCCTCGCTCGCCGCCCGCCTCGTCGCCGTTGCCGTCGACCGCGTGTGTCTGCAGGCGAGGGAGGGAAAGGGGGGCGGGAGGAAAGGTCAGCTCGTCGTTCCGCAAGCCAACGTCGGCCTGCGGCCGACGACAAGTGCGACCATCGGGCGAAGAGGAAAAGCGAAAGGGGGCGCACCTGCGCCGATGTTGAGCAGTCGCGCTCGCGGATTGCCGCTGTAGAGAGGGCTTGCCGAACGACCGCTTCTTCTCGCCCGAGCCGACCTGTGAGAGGAGGCAGGTTAGCTCGTCGAAGAGGAGGAACGAGGGGAAGGGAGGGGGGCGCACCTGCTTGCTGACGCCAACGACCCGGACGACGTAGGCTTGACCGCCTCGAAACCGAGCTTGAGGCGCCGTTCGCCCGGCTCGGACGGGCGGCAACGTCGACGGCGAGAGTGGCGACGTCGACAGGGGAAGGCGACGGCGAGAGGTCGGGAGGGCGATGGAGCGAGTGAGAGAAAGGGAAGCAAGAGAGCCAAGCGGTCCTCGAACCCAGGTCGACTGGGTGACCTCCGCTCCGGCTCGGAGAGGCTGCGCATTGCCTTCCGCCCTCGGAGCTCGCTTGGAGGCGCCGCGCAGCCAGCGGAGATCTCGCCTCTTCGGAGCCCTCGGACGGCTTCTGTAGCACCGGGATCACGCTCGCAGCATGTGCATCTCTGCGAGCGAGTCAGTCCGACCTTGCCCCTGAGCCGAGAGCGTCGCCGAGGCGCCCGCGAGGATTTCGGTGGCAGCAGCAGCGCCGCCCTCGCGCAACCGGCGGCCGTCTCGCGCGGCAGAGCCGCAAGGGCAGCAGGCCATGCAAGGACCTGCAGCAGAGCTTGTCGCGGGGCTCGTCGCAGTCACTGTGCGAGAGAGCAGCTGCAGCGAGCCGCTCTCCTCCTCATCGCCAGCCGTCGCCCCGCGGCCGGCCACCCGAGCGCTCGCTCGCTCGGATGCGAGGACCACCCGCAGGCGACCTCGTACCGGCAGCTCCGTCACCGACAGGCCACCGCAGCGACCGCACCCTCGCCCTTCGCCCCTCGCCGCCTCGCCCCCTCACGTCACCTCGGCCCCGCCTTGCCCGTCCACGCTCCAGCTCGACTGCTTGGTCGACGCCGCAGCCGCACCAAGCCGCGTACTAGCCGTCAGTCGGCGCTTGTGCGACTCGCCTCGTGCGTCTCCTCTTTCCCACCCTCCCCTCCTCGTCCCCCTCCCCGTCCCGGTCGCCGCACGCAGCTGACCGCCCCTTCTTGCCAGCGCAGATCCTTGCCGACCCACGTCCTCCCCCCCCCCCCGCCTCATCACCTCGACCGCCAGCTCGACCTCGACACGGCTACCGCCGCTGCCAGCGACACCTCACCCTTTCACTCACTCTCGACACACCGTCACGCCCGGTCCGCCGCACCTCGACACCCGCCCACCGTCCAACTCTGCTCCCCCGCCTCCTCGTCCTCGCACGCCGCCGCCCCAGCTCGCCGTCGCCTCGCCTCAGTACTCTCCGCAGCGTCGTCCAGCCGGTGCAATACAGATTCAGCGCGGCGCATTCTCGACCGCGAGCAGGCGAGTGGTGGGTCGAGGTGGACGACGTGGTTCCCTCCTCGCGGTGCAGCCACTGCCGACGGCGATTCGACCAAGTTGGCTCTCTCCCCTTTGCTCCGCTTCCACTCGCTCCTCTCGGCATCGCGCTCTTGCTGCTTGCTGCTTGGTCGCATCTGCTCCCCCGCGCCATGCTGGTCCTCCTCGTCGCCGCACGGCTAGCGGGCGGGCGACTGCGACCCGCTTCGCCTCGGCCGACTCCTTGCGCGCCGAGGTCGCTACCCACCCCAGGCCTCGTGGCTCAGCCCCGCGCTGCAGCGTTGCCGCCCTGCGATCGCGCCAAGGGCTGCAGCCGTCGGACCCGCTCGTTCCGCCCTCGCCCTCGTCGAACCGCTGGCCGCGCTCGAGATAAGGTCTTCGCGCACTCGAGCCTGCCCTGGCTCTTCCTCTTCGCTCCCTGCCCTCGCTGCCTTGCCCAAGCCCTCTTCTCTTCCTCTTGCCGACCCTGCCATGCTCGTCAACGTCTCCCTCGCTGTCGCCGTCGCGGCGTCCCTCCTCGGATCCGCCGCTGCGGCTCCTCTCGTCGCCGTGCGTCCTCCTCTCCCTGCCTCGCCAGACCGGTCGGTCGTCGCCGTCGAGCAACCGCAGCCCTTACACGCGTCGAGGCCGTCGCACTCACCTGCATGCCCCCTTCCGCCACAGGTCAAGCAGCTCGTCGAGCGCAAGGTCAACGCCTCTCCCGACTTTAACATCACCTTCTCGAGCAGCCACACCGACGGCCTGCCGCGCACCCTCATCATGGCGACGGGCGGGACCATCGCCGGTTCGAGTGCGTCCGCAACCGATTCCACCAACTATCGCGCGGGCTCTATCGGCGTCGCTGCGCTCGTCGATGCGGTGCCGCAGCTCCTCAAGTGCGTCCCGCTCTCTTTCTGCCGATGGTGCTCCTCGTGTTGGCGAGCCCAGAGAAACGTGAGGGCGTATCGACGAGGGAGGGCGCATCGAGCGCGAGCTGACCCTCTGCCCTCCTCCCCTCGCCCCTCCTCCTCTCGCAGCGTGAGCAACATCGACGGCATGCAGGTCAGCAACGTCGACTCGGGCTCGATCACGGACGACATCGTCCTCCTCATCTCCAAGCTCGCCAACAAGGCGCTCTGTGGATCCGACCCCGAGTACGACGCGGTCGTCGTCACGCACGGCACCGAGACGCTCGAGGAGACGGCCTACACGCTCGACGCGACGCTCATGTGCGACAAGACGGTCGTCGTCGTCGGCGCCATGCGCCCGGCGACCGCCATCTCGGCCGACGGTCCGGTGCGTCCTGACCCTCTCTCGGCGAGAGGACGACGCTCACCGGGCGACTTTCCTGCAGAGCAACCTCCTCGAGGCCGTCACGACGGCTGTATCGCCCGCGTCGCACGGCCGGGGCGTCCTCGTCGTCCTGAACGACCGGATCTGCCAGGTGCGCACGACCCTCTCTTTCTTCCTCGAGAGCTGCCTTCCTCGAGAGCTGCCTTCCTCGAGACCTCCCTTCCTCGTGAGCGTGGCTCGAGTCCCACGCACCCGACTGACTCTTCACGTTCTCAATGACCCAGGCCCTCTACTGCGCCAAGACCAACGCCAACGCGCTCGACACGTTCAAGGCGTACGAGCAGGGCTTTGTCGGCGGACCCCTCTCGACCAAGCCGTTCTTCTACTACCCGCCGTCGCAGCCCACGTTCAAGACCGTGTACGACCTGTCGAACGTCACCTCGCTGCCTCGCGTCGATGTCCTGTACTCGCACCAGATGGCCACGTTCGACGGCGTCAACGCGTCGGTCGCCAACGGCGCCAAGGGCTTCATCGGTGCAGGTGCGTCCCACGTCAAACTTCGAGCTCGTCGTCGTCGGTCGACGGTCGACGTCGAGCTGTACGCGTTTGACGTCGCCGACAGCGACTCGAGCACGACACTGACCTTCCCAAGTTGCCTTGCCTCCTCCCTTCCCTCATTCATTCTTCGCCCTCTCGTCACCTTCCCTCCTGCGCGCCACTACTCGTGTCGCTGTCCCCTCGTCGTATATCCTCCTGTCCTCGTGCTCTCGGCCACCCTTCTCTCGCAGGCACCGGCGCCGGCGGCATCTCGCCTTGGGCAAAGCAGAACCTTGCATACGTCATGAGCCAGGGCATCCCCGTCGTCGCATCGACGAAGATCAACAACGGCGTTGTCGCCCCGGACGAGGATCCGGCGGCGGGCAGCTACATCTCGTCGGCGCTCCTGAACCCGGTCAAGTCTCGCCGCCTTCTCCAGGTGCTTCCTCTCTTCCTCTCCTCCTCTCTCGTCGTCGAGACTTGGTCCGTGGTCACTACTCGAGAGCCTCTGAAACTGAGCGAGCCTGCTATCGAGAGTCACGCAGAAGTGACGCCAATTGCGCGAGAGGCGAGCAAGAAGGCTTTACGAGAAAGTTGGCGGCTGACACGAAAAGCTACGAGCGTGACTTGACCGCGGTGGACGACGGCAAAGCTGCGCTCGCCACGGGTGGAGTGAGCGCAGCACACGCGACCCGTTCTCTCGCTCGACGTGCTCGTCGGCCCTCGTAGACGAAGCAGCCACAGCAAGTGAGAATCGAGCCCGCTTTGATCTCCCAAGCACAGCTTCTCTCGATCCGGCGGAACGAGCGCGACGAGTATTTTACAGGCACGGGCCGCTCTACAGGGCTCGCTCGACTGCAAGAACCTCCTCGAGCGACTCGAGCATCTTCTCGCCGGCCGCCGGGTCCATCGGGAGGAGCGGCCTGCGCGGCTTACCGCCGTAGCCGTTGAGGCGGTCGAGCGCGAACTTGGGGCCGTTGATGCCGCCCTTGATGATGACCCAGTCGGCACGAGAGCACACGAGCTGCTGCTTCTGGAGCGAGGCGAACGTCGACGACGAGATTGAGTCGGCCGAAAGGGCGGCTTGAGCGTCGCGGTACAGCTTGACGCACGTTTTCTGCGCAGCGAGGGGTGGTCAGAGCTGGGTCGGGTGGGCGAGGCGAGGAACGTGGACGCACCGGAACGGTGTTTGCCAAGCCAGTGATGCAGCCCGCCGCCCCGACCGTGAGCGACGGCAGGAGAAAGTCGATGAACCCGCCAAAGACGGCAAAGTCGTCGCGCAAGGCCGTGATACGAGAGAGCCTACACGATCGAGAGTGTCAGTAGGGGCGCGAGGCAGGGGGAAAGGGAGGACCGAGGACGCACTTTCCCACGGCGCCGCAGGTCAGCTTCGTGCCGGCGACGTTTGGCGCAGCGGCGACGACTGTGAGCGACTCGACGTCAGTTCAGAACGTCATAGGAGAGAGAGTAGGGCGACTCACTCTCGGACATGAGCGTTGAGTCGATGTCGATGCCGCTCGAGGCGCCGGGATCTGCGAGACGGCGACTCGAGAAGGTCAGCACGGACCTCTCAGGTCACTCGAGCCGGACGCACAGTTGTAGACGAGGATCTAAAGGGTCGAAGGAAAGTCGTCAGGGACGTGCGCGAGTATGTGGGCGCCTGAGAGGACAGAATTCGACGCACCGGGATCGGGCTCGCGGCAGCCACGTCGAGGTAGAACTGCTTGATGGCATCCCTCGACATGAGCCCGGCGAAGTAGCCTGTAGAGCTGAATGTCAGGCGAATTGAGCCGAACAGATCAGTGAGAGAGGAGCGTACCGGGCGTAATGACCATGGCAAAGTCGGCGCCGAGCCTCGCGGCGTCCTTCGTGAAGTCGATCGTCTCCCTCGTCGAGCCAGCACTCGTCCCGACGATGAGAGGGATGCTCACGAGCGCCGCGTCGGCGTCGAGGACCTGCCTCGTCGCCGCGATGATCTCGTTGCGCTCGTCGCGCGTCAAGTGCGAGGCTGCTCGAAGCAGGAGGTCAGCTCATTTGCTCGCTCTGTCTTCTCAAGGGAAGCTCACCCTCGCCCGAAGAGCCGAGTGCGACGATACCGACTGCAGAAGGAAGACGAGGTCAGCGACGGAGAGCTCAGGTGCGTCGAGACTCGTGAAAACTCACCGCCGGCGGACGCGACAAACTGGACGTGGCGCTTGTGCGCCTCGATGTCGAGCGTCTCGTCGTCATGGAAGTAGGTGTACAGAGGTGCATAGACGCCGCGAGGGACGAACTGGCCGAACTTGGCTGCGTGCGGCGGCGAGTGAGCTCGCCCGGCTTGAGAAGGGGCGAGGGACGAGTCGAGCACTCACAGGGCATGGTGATTCTGGTAGTCCTTGAGCGTGAGGTGGTGCGAGGGCGACGTCGAGGAGAGCACAGAACAGGGGAAACACGCTCGGGGTGCGGCGCGAGCAGAGGTGGGGGGAGAACACGAGCCCAAACGAGGCAGGAAGAGCCGGTGTCGCACTTGTCGAAGGGAATCGGACTGCCTTCGGGCCGCCCGAGCGTGTTCAGCACGCAGGAAGCGACTCCCACGCTGTGCGCTCAAAGTTGAGGCCGCGTAGACCCCACGGCCAGCTGAGGCCGCGGAGGGCGAGGACGAGCCAGCGCAGCACGATGACGGTGACAGCGGGGGCACAAGCTGGACTGCACAGGCCTCGAGCCTGACCGGTCGAGTGCAGCGCGGCACTCGGCAGCGTGAGCGGGTGAGGAGGGGAGGAGAGCGTGGCTGGCGAGGAGGAGGCGCTCGCCCACCACCGACTCGCCTGCTCGGCCAGCATCGCCCAAGACCAGCTGGACGACCGTGCAGCAGCGCAAGACCCGCCACAGATGCCCCAGCTCCAGCCACCGCCCGTCCTCGCCGAGGCCCACCCTCCCTCGTCCTCATCAGCTGTGCGACTCGTCACCCTCCCTTTCTACCCCGTCCTCCCCTCGCCAGGCCTCCCTGCAATGCCAGTCCCGCTTCAATGGCACATGTGGTGGAGCACGACACCCTGAGAGGGACCCGAGAGGCGTGCGGCTTGCTCGCGAGCGCGCCGCCGGTACTTCGGCGCGAGGCCGGTCCAGGCTCCGCGCACAGCAGCGGTGCCAGGAGGGATCGTCCCAGCGTCGGCTCGACTCTGTCGCCGAGTCGCTCCAAGCTCCACGGCGCCCCACCCGCTCACAGTATCGCCTTCTGCAGCTGCCGCACTCCTCCTCGTTCCTCCTCCTCGCCGACCTCGCGCTCACACCTCGCCCGTCCACCCTTCTTCGGTACTCTCTCCCGTCCTTCCTCCGTTCCTCAACTCGCCCGCACCTCCTTCTCGAACGCACGCCGTCCGTTCATCATGCCGACCTCTACCTTCAACAAGTCGTTCCCGACCATCACCAAGATCGAGACGTTCATCCCGGCGGCCGGCGGCGACGGCGGCGACTACCACCGCCAGAAGGACGGTCACTGGATCCTCGACGGCGGCAAGCCGCATGCCGACAAGGCTGGCGTCAAGTGCGTCCACCTCGAGCCCCATCCTCCTTTCCTTGTTCTCGGGCGACAGCTGACCACGTCGCCTTCCTCCTTCAGGTGCGGCATCTCGAACCCAATGTCCGGCTGGGAGCAGTACCGCGAGAACCGCACGTCGTGGGGCATCGACGTCCTCGGGTCGCTTGTCTGCATCATCACGGCGAGCGACGGCACCCAGGGCGTCTCGACCGGCTTCGGCGGGCCGCCGGCGTGCTGGCTCATCGAGCAGCACTTTGCGCGCTTCGTCATCGGGTCGGACCCGCGCGACACGGTGCGTCCCCTCGTCGAGACCGTCAGTCGGCAGGTCGGTCGAGCGCGAATTGACCTCTCGGCTCGTCACGCAGAACCGCATGTGGGACCAGATGTTCAAGGCGTCGACCTTCTACGGCCGCAAGGGTTTGCCCGTCGCCGCCATCAGCGTCGTCGACCTCGCCATCTGGGACCTCCTCGGCAAGATCCGCGGCGAGCCCGTCTACGTGCGTCCTCCGTCCTCCTCTCTCCCCCCTCCCACCTTTCCCCTTTGCCATCAGCGTTCGAGTCTCTGACCGTCAGGGCGCCTCCCGCAGAAAATGATTGGCGGTCGGGCCAAGGACGGCAAGATCCCGTTCTACCTCACCGGCCCCGAGCCGACTCACGCTCGCAAGATGGGCTTCTGGGGGTCCAAGGTCGCCCTCCCGTACTCGCCTCGCGACGGCTTCGATTTTGTGCGCCGCAACCTCGACTTCCTCCAGAAGCATCGCGAGGACCTCGGCGACGACTTCCCCCTCATGGTCGACTGCTACATGTCGCTCGACGTGCACAGCGCGATTCAGCTCGCGCAGGGCGCCATCGACCGCAAGATCGACATCACCTGGTGGGAGGAGGTGCGTCCTCGAGTCCCGCTCTCTGCGAGAACGAGCGGCCCGTGCACGAGCCTGACTCTCCTCGCTTGCGCAGGTCCTGCACCCGGACGACTTTGACGGCCACAAGATCCTCAAGGCCCGCCTCCCGCAGGTCAAGTGGACGACGGGCGAGCACGAGTACTCGCGGTACGGCTTCCGCCAGCTCATCGAGGGCCGCTCGATCGACATGCTCCAGCCCGACGTTATGTGGCTCGGCGGCCTCACCGAGTGTGCGTCCCTTTCTCTCTCCCCTCTTCTCCATCGTCTCGTCTCGAAGCAGGACTGACGATCGACGAGCGCCCGCAGTGCTCAAGGTGTCGGCGATGTGCTCGGCGTACGACATCCCCGTCGTCCCTCACGGCTCGGGCCCCTACTCGTACCACTTTATCCTCTCTCAGCCGCACTCTCCCTTCTGCGAGTGTGCGTCCCCTCTTTCTCTCCCTCTCTCTCGCGTGTCTCTTTCCGCCGCCGTCGCAGAGCTGACCTCGACTCGTCGGACGCACAGACATCGCCAACTCGGCCGACGGCAAGTCGATCGCGCCGGTGTTCGGCAACCTGTTCCTCGACGAGCCCGTTCCTCACGGCGGCTCGATCGACGTCGGCGACGCGCCGGGCTTTGGCCTCGAGCTCAACCCGGCCGCCGTCCTCATCCCGAGCGCCCACTTCCTCGCGCCTAGCCCGGACAAGGGCCTGTCGCGCACCGACGACGAGCAGCGCGTCGCCAAGCTGCAGCAGCTGGCGGCGGTCAAGGCCAACGGCATCAACGGCGTCAACGGCGGCGCGCACTGAGCGCACGTTCCTCTTCTCTCCCAGGTTTCCTCGTTCTCCGTCTCTCTCGGTCGTCGGTAGTTTTGTCTCTCCTGCACTTGTACAGCTCTTCTTCTCTCGCAGAACCTTTGGCAGAGAGGCTATCGCAGCGACGAGGGAGAAACCGTGAAAGGAAAGCGAGTAAACCGCGCGCAGTCGGGCGCTTCGTTTTCTTGCGAGGTGCGGCGAGGGTAGTACAGACAGGGAGGGGGTAGAACGAGTGAGGGCACGGGGGTGGGGAGAGACTACAGGGTACACAGATTAAGCGGGCGTGGGTGCGGCGTGGCGGGCGAGGCGAGGGCGAGGGGACGGTGCGAGGGCGGTCACGTGTCGAACGGCTTGTTGAGGCGGCCGAACCACCAACGCGTCTTGCTCTGGAGCGTCGGCTCGAACGTCGCGAGCATCGCCTCGGTGATGGGGTGGTTGGGCGTGTGCGAGAGGTGGTACGCGAGGCCTGCGGGCGAGGCCAAAGGGTCAGTTTCTCGCTCCCTCGTCGACGGCGACAGTTCGCGCTCGAGCTCGAGAGAGGGAGAGAGGGTTCGCGAGACGCACCTGCGCTCTGCTTGAACCGCTTGGGACACCGCCCGACAGGGCACTTGAGCTCCCTCCCGCTCGGCTTGACCTCCTGCTTGAACTTTTTGGTCGCGCGCTCCTCGCCCGTCGCCGCGTCGCGCTCGAGCTGGACGAAGAAGTGGCCGTTGGCGGACGCGTTCTGGAAGTGGAAGCGCAGACCGGCGAGCGACTCTGCGGGCGAGCGAGGAGGAAAGGGCGAGAGATGCGGGTCAGGGACGAGGTCGAGAGGACGAGGGAGGGAGGGAGGGAGGAAGGGACGACGCACTGAAGGTCTTGCCGCAAGGGTCGAGGGCGCAGCAGAAGGGCATCTCCATCATGACGGCCTCGTCGTCGTCCTGCTTGGCCTTGGCGGCGCGCTCCTTGTGCGCCCGCTGCGCGTGCTCCCTCAGCTCCTTGATCGTCCTCCAGCTCGTCTCGTCGGCGCCGACGTCCTCGTCCTCGTCGTCGGCCTGCTCGTCGTCGGCGGCGACGGCGCGCCGCTTGCCCTTGCGCGCCTCGGCGCGGTCGAGGCGGCACCAGTTGCACCCGTACGGCTTGATGCTCGGGTCGTCCTCGACGGCCGGGATCTCGGTCTGCCGCCTCGGGTAGCCCGTCAACGGGTCGATCGACGCCCCAGGCCCAGACACGGCGCTCGGGACGGCGTCGGCGCCGGGCGAGTGGCGCTTCCTGCTCCCGCTTGCGCCGCCGGCGCCGCTGCCCGACGGACCCGCCGCCGCGCTGCTGCTCGCCGACGCGCTGCGCTGCCCCTGCTGCGCGTACGCGTGCGCGTGCCCGGGCGGCGGGCGCGGCGGCACGAACCCGAGCGCCTGCGCCTGCGCCTGGAGCCCGAGTGCGCCGAGGCCGGCGACGGCCTGCCCCGCTTGGGCCGCCGCGAGCGCCGCCGCCGAGGGCTTGCGGGTGCGGGTGCGGCCGCGCCCGCGCTCGCCCGACCCTGCGGCACCACCTGCACCGGCGGCCGAGCCCTTGGGGCGGCGGCCAAAGTCGCCGTCGGCGCGTCGTCGCTCGCGTACGGGAGCTCGGGCGGCTCGTCGTCGCGGTACGCGATCGACTGGCCGGGCACGAGGCCGCCCATGGCGTCGACGTAGTGCGCGTGGTGCGACGACGACGAGGGCGCACGCGTGCCGGCCGACAGCGAGCGCGACGAGGCCGACGAGAGCGACGACGGGCGCAGGAACGGGATGTAGGGCGCGCCCGGGTCGTACGCCTCGCCGGCACCCGACGCGGCGCTCGGGTAGAACGACATGCCGTTGGTCGTCGCCGTGCTGCCGCCGACCTGGGGCGGCGCGATGCCGTACAGGAGCGGGCCACCGCCGGGCGGCGAGGGGGCCTTCTCGTGGTCCGAGTGGTGGGCCGACGTGGCGGGCGTAAAGTGGTCCTGCACGACGCCCTGGAGGTGGGCGTGCGCGGCGTACGGGACGGGCGCGTCATCGTCCGAGTCGCTGTCGCTGCCGCTCGACGAGCCGGCGTCCGAGTCGGACGTGTCGCTAATCGGGCGGTCGTGGCCGACGCCGGCGTGGCCGTGACGCTGGCCCGACAGCGGGTGCTGGTGCTGCGAGGGGGGAGCGAACGAGGGAGGAGGGGCGAACGACAGGGTGCTGCTGGGCGAGGCGGCGCCGGACGGCGAGTTGTTGAGGTGGATCGAGAGAGGAGGGGCAAAGGGCTGCGGCTGCGGCTGCTGCTGCTGCTGCTGGACGGCGGAAGGGCCGAAGTGGTCCTGGTGCGAGTGGAGCGACATGGGGAGGCCGTACTGGGCTGCCGCCGCGGCGAGCGAGCCGGAAAGGCCGCCCTGCTCTGCGTCGCCGCCCGCCTGGACCGGGCCCGGGGTCGACGCGCCCGAGGGCGGCGCCGAGATGTAGGTCGACGCCGGCGCGAGGGACGCGCTCGTGCCGGCGTCGTCGACAGCGGCGGGCGACGAGTGCGCGGTCGGCGAGCCGAAGAAGCGCGCCTGCTGGAGGAGGTGGGCGTAGGTCGACGCGGGCATGTTGGCGAACGATGAAGAGGCCGGGTTGACGCCGTCGCCGTCACCTCGAGCGTCGCCGTCGTCGAGTGGGCCTCGCGGCACGTCGGCGTCAGGGCCGCCGAGCCCGGGTGCGTCGGCGGGTCGAGGCGACTGGGGCCCGAGGAGCGGGCTCGCGTTCATGAGGGCGCGCAGGGCGGCGCTGCCGTCGTCGTTGTGGTCGGCGTCCGGCTCGAGTTTCGGGACGACGAGGCCCTGGGAGGGTGCTGGGCCGATCGAGAGGTTGGGCAAGGGGAGCGGGCTGAGGAACGACGACGAGCTGGCGGGTTGTTGGCCTGCGGGCTGGCCGCCTGCGGTGCCGGTCGGGTCGGTCGGGTCGCCGTGCGAGACGGACGGCCACGCGGGGACGGCGGCGTCGAGGGCCCAGGGCGCGGTCGACGGCGCGACACCAAACACAGAGCTCGACGGCTCGAGGGCATCTCCCGGGTGGACGGCCTGCAGAGGGGGCGAGGCCTGTTGCGCGAGGGGGGAGGGTGCAACGGTGAGCTCTGGGACTGTGGGCTGCAAGTCTCGGCGACGACGGGTGGGCGGCGACGTCGATGAGGACGCGCGAGAGGGAGGGAGACGACGACGAACCTGTCCCGGGAAGGGCCACGCCTGCGGGTCGAAGGGGAAGGCGTCGTAGTGGGTCATGCCCCTCGGGGGTAGGTGCCCCGTTGGTGGCCTTGGGGGTGCTGGCAGGCGGGCGAGGAGGGCGAGAGAGCGACGAGACGGCCGGCGGTGAGGGCGAGCTCGGGAGAGGACGAGCTCCGCGGCGAGTCCGAGGCTATGGCGCGCGGGCCCAAAGCTAGCACCGCCTCGTCCGAATCTAACCCTCCTTACCAAACTCGCCTTGGTAACCTCGATTAGCGCCTCCCTCTCCCCCCTCCTCCTCCTCCCGACCGACCAACAACCATGGCCCTCGTCGACTACGGCTCAGCGTCCGACTCGGGCTCGCCTCCACCGCAACCTCGCGACAAGGCCGCACCCGCAGCAGCCAAGCGCGCCTTGCCTGCCGTCGCCGCCGACCTCGAACCGGCGAGCGACGACGACAACGACGACGACGACTTCAACCCCACCGACGCGTTCGGCCTGGCGCGCATCGGTACCACGAGCTCGACTACCGACGCTGCAGCAGCACCTCAGCAGCAGCGAGCAGCAGCAGCAGCCGACTCGGCCCCGCAGGTCATCGCCGCCGTGAGTTCACGCCCCGCTCTCTCGCCCTCCCCGTGCCCTCTGGAGGTCAGACGAGTGCGGCATTGCGCAAAGTTGCACTACAGCACCGCCCTGCGCAAGCCCGGAGACCCCTCGAGCAGGCGATGGGACACGCGACTGACCCGCTCCTCCTCCTCCGCCCGCAGGACCTCGCCGCGTCCAACCAGCTCGTCACTCGCCCGACCGACAACGTCATCTTCTACAACGCCTCGTACCAGGACCTGACGCGCCCCGTCCAGGGCCCGGCCAACCCTTGGAACGACGGCAAGCTCGAGCGCCAGAACGCCCTCACGGGCCACGTCGAGCAGCAGCACTTTACCGAGGCCGCCTTCCGCGAGCAGCAGCGCACCTTCCACGTCCTCGGCTACGCCGCCAACCCGTCCATCGCCGCCGGCTCGTCGGCCCCGTCCTTCGTCGGCGACGCCGCCCTCGCCCACACGCACCAGGGCGCGACCGCCGCCCTGGTCAAGCCGAGCCGCCGCGAGGTCCGCGAGACCAAGCGCAAGCGCCAGGCCAAGGGCACGCTCGGCGAGTTTGACGACCCGGACGAGCAGGAGGACGACGCGGCGACGGCGGCGGCGGGCGAGGGTACGGCCGAGGGTGCCGCGGCCGAGGAGGAGGACGACGAGGCGGCGGGCGAGCGTCAGGCCAAGCGGGCCAAGAAGCCGCAGCGCGAGTACGTCGGCCCGTGGGCCGGCTGGGACGGCGAGAGCCTCGCCGTTGCCATCCCGACGGAGGAGGAGTACGAGGAGCAGGAGGCCCAGGGCGGCAAGCTTCTCAACAAGGAGGAGCGGAGGAAGAAGGTTCTCGAGGACGCCAACCGGCGCGAGGTCGGCTTCGGCGAGGAGAAGAGCGTCTTCCACGGTCCGTCCCGCTGTCCCCTCCTCTCTCTCGTCGACCTTCCCTCAAGCCCGCCAACCTGACTTTTCTCGCCCTCTCTCGTCGTGCACAGGCAAGGAGACGCACGACTACCTCGGCCGCACGTACCTGCACGTCCCGACCGACGTCGACGGCGTCAACTTGCGCGGCACGGCCGGCGAGCAGGAGTGCTTCGTCCCCAAGCGCTGCGTCCACACGTGGAGCGGCCACACCAAGGGCGTCAGCCGCATTCAGCTCTTCCCCGGCAGCGGTCACCTCATCCTGTCGGCCAGTCTCGACACGCGCGTCAAGGTGCGTCCTCGCCGCCCTCTCCCTCCCTCCCGTTTCTTCCCCTCCCTCGGCCGTGCGGTACTGACGCCCGCTCCGTGCCGCAGCTGTGGGACGTGTACGGCTCGGGCAAGTGCCTGCGGACGTTCATGGGGCACAGCAAGGCGGTGCACGACGTCACGTTCGACAACTCGGGCGGCCAGTTCCTCTCGGCCGCGTTCGACCGCCAGATGAAGCTGTGGGACACCGAGACGGGTGCGTTCCCTTCTCTCCCCTCTCCATCGCTCGTTGCGAGAGGCGCCCGGCCCTCGAGACGGCGGTGTCGCCCTCGCATGACGTACTGCTTGAACGGGAGAGAACCTGACCGCTCCCTCCTTGCCCTCCTCCTCACTCGTCTACAGGCCAGTGCAAGCAGGCGTTCTCGAACGGCAAGATCCCGTACTGTATCAAGTTCCACCCCGAGCAGCAGTCGACGTTCCTCGCCGGCATGAGCGACAAGAAGGTCATCCAGGTGCGTCGTCCGGCATCCTCTCTCTCTCGAGTCTCGAGGCCTGTCGATGACCTCGTACGACCTCTGGGCAGTCACTGACACGCCCACTCCACACGCAGTACGACATGCGCTCGGGCGAGATCACGCAAGAGTACAACCAGCACCTCGGCCCGGTCAACACGATCACGTTCGTCGACGAGAACCGGCGCTTCGTCACGACGTCGGACGACAAGACGATGCGCGTGTGGGACTTTGACATCCCCGTCCCGATCAAGCTCATCGCCGACCCGACCATGCACTCGATGCCCGCCGTCGGCCTCGACCCCAAGGGCAAGTGGCTCGCCGCGACCAGCCTCGACAACCAGGTCGTGCTGTTCGGCGCCGATACCTTCAAGCAGAACGTGAGCCCTCGTCTCTCTCACTCGTTCGCGGCCTCTCTCTTCCTCGTCGTCGCACCGTACTGACGAACCTCCCGACCTGCAGCGCAAGAAGCGGTTCGCCGGGCACACGATTGCCGGCTACGCGTGCGAGCCGCGCTTCTCTCCCGACGGTCGCTTCCTGTCGTCGGGCGACGGCCAGGGCAACGTCGTCTTCTGGGATTTCAAGAACGGGCGCATCGTCGGTCGGCTGCAGCGCGCGCACAAGCAGGTCGTCCTCAGCCACGCCTGGTTGCCGCACGAGACTGTGCGTCTCCCTCTCTCTCTCTACTTCTGCCTCTCGGCGTCGTCCAGAATACGAGGTCCTGACCCTTCTCGTCGCCGCCCTCGCAGTCCAAGGTCGTCACGTCGTCGTGGGACGGCTTGATCAAGCTGTGGGACTGAGCGTCTCCTCGTCTTTCTCTCTCGCATGTTGTACTCGTGTGCGTTCCTGCATTGACGCTGTCCAAGGTCCACTCGAGCCGAGAGAAGCCTGAGAGAGCGAGCAGTAACTGGACTGCGAGCGGGCGAGCCGTGCCTCGCTCCTCACCACACCACTCGCTCGCATCCGCTGCGCAGCTCGAGCCACGCACGACAGCTGTACGACCAGCTCCGCCAGCCCGCACTCGCCAGAAGAGGCCGTCCGACCGGTCCCGCCTCGAGCCGCGCCTCCCCGCCCGCCAACCTCCACCCGACTTCGGCTCTCGCTCGCCCCCGCCTCTTGCGCTGCCGAGCCGCGCCCAATACTGCCGCACAGCGCTCAAGCGTCCATCGACCATCTGCCGACCCGACCAGGAGGCGTCGTCGCCCATGTCGTCTCGAGCCAGTCTCGATGAGCTGCTCCCCGGCCGACGAGGCGGCGCGGTCGACAGCGGCGACCTCGAGGAGGAGCTCACGGTTCGTCACCTATCTCTCTGTGGCCGCCCTGAGCACGCAATTGATCTTGCGTCCCCCCCCAGGTTCGAGCCGTCGTCGTCGGCCTCGTCATTGGCGTCCTCCTCGCGTGCACCAACTGCTACTTCGGCCTGCAGACGGGCTGGATCAGCATGATGTCGCTCCAGGCGTCCCTCCTCGGCTTCGCCGTCTTCAAGGTCGTCCCGCAGTGCGGCCTGTTCGCCGGCCGCCCCTTGACCGTCCACGAGAACATCGTCCTCCAAACGACGGCCGTCGCGACTGGCACCCTCCCGCTCGCCGCCGGCCTCGTCGGCGTCATCCCTGCCCTCGCGCAACTCGACCCGGCCCTCGACGGCGGCGCGCAGCCCCTCGTCCTCCCCTTCCGCACCCTCCTCGCGTGGTCGTTCGGCGTCGCCTTCTTCGGCGTCTTCCTCGCCGTTCCGCTCCGCAAGCAGGTCATCGTCCGCGAGCAGCTCGTCTTCCCCTCGGGCACGGCGACGGCGCAGGTCATCGGCGTGCTGCACGGCAAGCCGCTCATGAGCGCGAGCGACGGCGCGGCGGGACGGGTGCGCAGGCGGCGGCGGGCTCTGCCCGACGCTCGAGAGGACCACGAGGTCGACATGGAGGGGCTCGACGAGGAGGACGGCATGCGCGGGCTCGGCGGGAGGGGAGGGAAGGCGGTCGAGGCCGAGAAGGTGGTGGACCGGCAGGCATGGACGGCGTTGACGACCAGCTTTGCCATCTCGGGCGTCTATACAGTGCGTCCCACCTCTCGCTCGACCCCTCGCGGCCCGCGCACGAACCGCGAGCTCGTACTGACTCGCCGTCGCACCGACAGCTCGTCAGCCAGGCCTTTCCCGTCATCTATGCCGTGCCGCTCTTCGACGTCGTCGTCCGACACGCGGCACACGACTGGCTCTTCTGGTTCACGCCGTCATTCTCGTACATCGGGCAGGGCATCATCATGGGCTTCCCGACCACGGCAAGCATGAACCTCGTACGCCCCTCTTCCCTCCCCTCCTCTCGCCCGTGCCTTCTCACTCTGACACACACCCGTCGCCGTTCCTCCCTTTCTTCTGCCTCTGGCACATCTGCAGGGCATGCTGTGCAGCTGGGCCTGCTTGTCGCCCCTGTCCAAGGCGATGGGCTGGGCGCCCGGACCTGTCTCGTCCTCGGTCGACGGCGCCCGAGGTTGGGTCCTCTGGCCCGCCCTCGCCATCATGACGGCCGAGTCGATCCTGTCGGTCTCGCTCGTCGCCGCCGACGCCGCCCGACCTTGGCTCGAGCGCACGGCCGAGAAGGCGCGCACTGGCGGCGCTCTCTTCGTTCCGGTCGCGCACAGCGCGCACGACTCGGACGACGACGCGCAGAGCGAGGAGGACGAGGACGAGGAGCATCGGCAGCAGCAGGCGGGCGAGGACATGCGGGCGCGGCGGGCGCGAGCGCGGGCCGAGGACGAGCCGTCGACGAGGGCGGTCCTGCTCGGCGCGGCTCTGAGCTGCATCTCGTGCGTCATCATCGTCGCGTGGGTCTTTGGCGAGGACGGCATCAAGTGGTGGGCGACCGTCGTCGCGCTCCTCCTCGCCTGCGTCTTCTCGGTCCTCGGGTCCGTCCTCTCTCTCTCTGTCTCTCTGCGCTCCTCGCGCCGGCGACGCCTCGCTCACTCTCGTCTCTCTCACAGCGTTCGAGCTCTCGGCACGACCGACTTGAACCCGGTGAGCGCGATCGGCAAGATCTCGCAGCTCGTGTTCGCCGTCGTCCAGCCGGGCAACGTCGTCGCCAACATCGTCGCAGGCGGCATCGCCGAGGCGGGCGCGCAGCAGGCCGGCGACCTCATGCAGGACCTCAAGACGGGCCACCTGTGGGGCAGCAGTCCGCGGGCGCAGTTCCACGGCCAGCTCATCGGCTCGTTCGCGTCCGTCTTCGTCTCGACCGGCGTGTACTGCCTGTACCGCAGTGTTTACCAGTTGCCGAGCACGGCTTTCCCGGTCCCGACGGCAGCAATCTGGTGCGTCTGGATCGCCTTCTCTCGGTCTGTGCGGCTTCGCAGAGAGCCGGCGCTCACCATCTGCCCCGACCCTCCCTTCGCCCTCTTCCCGTCGCTCTCCTTCCCTCGACGTCGCCTTCCACCACCTCCTCGACACGCCCTTCTTCGGCGCAACACCCCTCTCGACTCGCAGGCTCAACCTCGCTCGACTCGTCAACAACGGGCAGCTGCCGCCGCGCTCGCAGGAGGCGATGCTCATCTTTGGGCCGCTCTTCGTCGCGCTCGCGACGCTCAAGGCGATCGGCAAGTCTCGACTCGCCGCCATCGAGAGCGACGGCGTCGTCGGTCAATCGCAAGAGCGAGCCCGATGGGCCTGGACGAGGTGGATCCCTTCTGGGTGCGTCCACTTCGACCTTTCCTCTTCTCGGCCCCGAGCTCATCCCTTCTTGCGCAGCATCGCCTTCGCCGTCGGGTTCATCAACACGCCGTCCTTCTCGATCGCTCGACTCGTCGGCGGCCTCGTCTCGCTCTACTATACGACCCGCACATCGCATCTTTCTCGCGCACGCACCTCCTCGACGTCGTCCTCGGCTTCCTCGTCGTCGGCCCACCTCGAGCACTTTGGCCTTATCGTCGTCGCGTCGGGCTTTGTCCTCGGCGAGGGCCTCGCGAGCGTCGTCGGCTTGGTCGCCAAGAGCGCCGGTGCGACCGTGCCGTTGAGCTGCTGGGGCTGCGGCGTCGGCGGAGGAGGGTACTGTGGAGGCTGTTCATGAGCGAATTGTACTGCGTTGGACACGCAATCTTATTTCCTGCATCCTCTCGAGCTGTCTCTCGTTGCGGCGCGGTCGTCGAGGCGATGTGCGGCGCACTCGCGGCTCGCACATGGCTCCACGCTTGTAGCTAGCGATCGCCAGTCCGAGGAGAGTCCGGCGCAGCACTGTCCGCTGCGCTCGTCCGTCCGTCCAGGCCGGTGACGCGGCGAGCGGACCCAGTTCCGCACGCGCCTCTTCGGTCCAGCTCTTTCTCCTTCTGTTCACTCGCGTCGCCATGCCCGCCCGCACCATCGCCGTCGTCGGAGCCACGGGCAACCAGGGCAGCGGCACCGTGTCGGCCCTCCTCGCCCAGACCGACTTTGCCGTCCGCGCCGTCTCGAGCAACCCGGGCGGCCACAAGGCGCAGGCGCTCCTCGCTCAGCACAAGGACTCGGCGCACCTCGGTCGCCTCACGATGGTCAAGTGCAACCTCGACGACCCGGACGAGCTGCGCGAGGCGCTCAAGGGCGTGTACGGCGTGTTCGCCGCCATGCCCATGGGGACAGAGCTGCGCGGCGGCGAGCCGGTCGAGGTCACCCAGGGCAAGGCTCTCATCGACGCGTGCAAGGTGCATCTGCTCGTCTCTCTCGTCCTTTTCACCCTCCCCCGGCCGAGCAGGAACTGACGGCCGCGCGCTCGCAGACCGACGGCGTCGAGCACCTCGTCTACTCGAGCTTGCCGAGCGTCGACAAGATCAGCCGCGGCAAGTACAAGCACGTCACGCACGCCGAGTCGAAGGCGACCGTGTCCGAGTACGCCCAGAGCCAGCTCCCGAACGTCACGCTCCTGTACCCGGGTGCGCTCAGACCGTCCTTTCTCCTCTCTCTCTCCTAGTCCTCGGCCTGACCGTCCTTTCCCTTTCCCTTTCTCTCTTCCCTCTCTCGCAGGCATGTTCTACAGCAACTTTTACTGGCCAACGTTCGCGCAGCGTGAGCGTGCGTCTGAGCGTACCTTTCCCTCACGTCACGCAGCTGACCTGGTCCTCCCTCGAAACAGAGGACAACTCGGTGCGCTTCTGCGCCCCGCTTAGGCCCGATACGCCGATCCAGTGCGTCGACGACCGCTACGACGTCGGCTACTTTGCTGCAGGTGCGTCTCGCCCCTTTCCTCGGTCCTGCGCTCGCACCTCCTGATCCTCTTGCCGAGCGCGCAGCCGTCTTCTCTGCCGGCCCGGCCGCCACGAGCGGCAAGACGTACGCGGTACAGGCGCCCGTCACGACGCCCGAGAAGCTCGCCTACGAGTACCACCTCGCGACGGGCGAGCCGACCCGCTTTGACCCGCTCCCGCTCGACGAGGCGGTCGCGATGATGGTGCGCGGTCAGGAGGACGGCGAGGGACGCGAGGAGTTCACGCAGATGTTCCAGTGCGTCCTCGTCTCTCCCCGCATCTCTCGAAGAGCGTCCCTGAGGGTCGGGCGAGCAGGTTCATCGACGACGGCGTCGACGGCAAGGCGAGCTTCTCGGCCGGCCTCGACCACGACGCGAGCCTCGAGGACCTCGGCGTGCGTGCGTCGGACCTGCAGTCGTTCCTCGAGCGCTCGGGCTTCCGCGTCGGGCAGAAGGGCTGAGCGACGAGGAGAGCGGGAGGAGGTCCGAGTGCAGACGAGGAGAGAGGACGATGTGGAGGACGCGCTTTAGCCTGCTGCAGTGGACTGTGACTCGGTTCTGTGCCATCGAGCGTTGCACGAGAGAGCGAGCGAGCGACGTGCTCGAACCCTTCGAGGAGCCGAGAGCGCGAAGGGAAGCTGAGCACAGGCTCTCGCCGGCTCTCTCTCGCGCATGCTCGAGAGGAAGAGGAGAACGCGTTGCACGGGAGGAGACGCTAACAAAGAGAGAGAGAGGGCGCCCGGGTCAGGAGTCGGGGCGAGCCGCCAAGTGGGCTCGCTGCAAAGTCCCCGCCCTCGCTCGCTCCTGGCGGTCCCGCAGGAGCACGACACGCCGAGCAGCGCAGCGAGGGGCATCGTCATTCCCGTTAAAGGCGCCCTCTCGAGAAAGAGTAGAGAAGTCCAGCGCCAAGAGTAGTCCGAATCGAGTTGCGCGACCTTGAGTCGCGCACTGCGAATTGCACTCAAGCGGGCCCGCCTCGTCGTGCGCCAACCCGACCCGGTCTCCCTGCGAGCGCACACGAGTGCGCCCGGCGAAGGAAGAACCGGCCGAGGGAGCGAGACAGGACAGGGCACCGCACCCTCCTCGCGCACTTCCCAACTTGAAGCCGCCCCGACTGCCGCCGCAACCGGCCCTCGCTGCGCTGCAAACGAGCCGCTCCCTCGAGAGAGAAGCAGCCCTCGCTCTGACCCTGCCCTCTTCCCCCTTGAGGGGCGTCTCTGGGCGGCGGGCCCGCTGGTCGAAACCGGCGTGGTCGAGCATGCGGCGGTCCTCGCGCAGGGTCGGCGAGCGAGCGGCGGCGGTCGTGGGGATGGCGCAAGTGGCCTCTCGAAGGAGGCTCGTCGTGTCTGGTGGTGCGCGCCGTCGACTGAGCGACTTGCCCGGCTGGGGCGAGCTCGGAGGGAGGGTGGAAGACTCGGACCTTGACCCCGTCGCGAACAGCGAGCGAGAGCACGAGAGAGAGAGCAGCGCTCCTCCCCCCGAGTCTGGCCGTGTGCAGCGACGAATCGCAGTCTTTGTCGCTGGACTCTGAGCAGTCGCCGAGGGGCGAGTGAGGCGAAGGAAGCAGAGAGAGGCGACAGGCGGTCGACGCGATTTGGCGCATTGCAGGCGCCTCGCAGGAATGCTCTACGGCTGTCAGTAGGTGTACAATACTCTCAGGAACGGCTCAGTTGCTGCATTACTGCGCCTCGAGGTCGAGCGAGCGAGACGAAGACACCGAATTCCCTCCTCGCGGCCGTCCTCCCTCTCCTCTCACCCGTATCACCGCAAGCCGCGACTGACGCGCCAGACGAGGTCAGCCAGGTGCGTCACCTGCCCTGCCTTGCAGCCGCAAGCCCAACCACTGACTCAGTCGTCTCGCAGCGTCGTCGTTCAACCTCGTCCGCCGTCCGCCCACTCGCTCCACCTCGCCTCTCGCCAACTGGGACACGGGCCGAGCCACGACACGCGCCCTTACGATGCACGCACCACCCGCTGCTCCCTCCTCCCCGTCCAAGCGCGCGGGCATCCTCCGCCAGCTCGTCACCGGCGTGCAGCCCACCGACCGCGAGACGCACGCTCAGCGGTGGCAGCGGCCTCTGCTCGGGCCACGGTCGCCGAGCCAGACCAAGGACGTCGGGCCAGAGCCGCAGAACAAGGGCGGGCACCGCGTGTCGGCCCTCGTCCAGGGCTACGAGGCGAGCCTCACGGCCAACTCGCGGCGGTACGAGGCCCTCCCTCCCGGTCCGCCGTCGCCGCACAAGGGCACATTCGCTCTCGACATTCCGACGAGCTCGCCACGCGCTTTCGGCGACCGCCAGCCGCACGCACCTGCGTCCCCTACTTCCCCCGCTCGCCAGCCCAGCACCTCGCCGACCGTCCCTGCCGCCTTCTTCCAGCGCCAGCAGTACCGCAACGCGCCCGCCGAGACCCTCATCAAGTTTACCCCCACCCCGATCGGCAAGGAGAACCAGCCTCGTCCCGCGCAGGCGCGCGCTCCCTCCGTCCCTCGTCCACAAATCGGCGCCCACCCTACCTCCCTCACCCCGTCCGCCCCGTCAGCGCCGTCCACCCGCTCGCCTACGTCGAGCGCCACGTTCAGCTCGGGCACGGACGTCTCGTGCGTCACGAGCGCGATGACGGACCTGACGATGGCCACGAGGTCGAGCGACTCGACGCACGCGAGCAGCCTCGTCACCAACTCGGCCGAGGGCGCCTACGTCGGCGTCGCCTCCGTCGTGCGCGTCGTCCAGGACCCGTCGCCTCGCAAGGCGCCGTCGCCGCGACCGCCGCAAATCGTCGAGACGGCCGCGACGCCGGCGCGCTCGGCGGGCATGCCGCGCAGCGCTCGGCCCCTGTCGCCCGCCTACATCACGTCGCACCCGTCGTTCCAGTCGGCTGCTACCGCCACCGAGCGCGACCAGTACCCGGTGCGCCCAGACGGGCCGGTCCCCTTTGAGCGCCCGCTCCTCGCGCAGCGCTCGACGTCGTCGTTCGTCGAGGCGTTGCCGGCGTCGTACCCGCGCGGTGCGCTGAGCCCGTCCTCGTCGCAGTACCAGCCGCTCCCGCTCGACGCGTCGCCCAGGCTCGGCAGCCTCGAGGACGAAAAGGCGCCGTCCGCGACTCGTCAGCAGGCGCGTCGCACGAGGCCGAGGGCGTCGAGTCTCGGCGCAGGCCTCAAGGCGCCGTACGTCGAGCACAAGATGCAGGAGTCGGCCGAGGACAAGGCGTCGAGGGTCGAGCGCGACTTTGAGCGTCTACTCGTGCGTCCCGCTCCGCCCTCTCCCGCTCGCGCCCCTTCCCCAGACTGACTCTGCCGCACTCGCAGAATATGATGCAGCTCCCCGACCTCACCGTCCGCACGCGCATGCTCGGGCTCGCCCGCCCCCTCAAGGAGGAGATGCTCCGCGCCGCCGCCTCGAACCCTTCCCCCTCGACCTCGACCTCGTCCACCCTCGGCCCGCCCGGCCGCCCGACCCACACCCGCGGTCGCTCGCTCAACCTGTCGGCCTCGCAGTCGTCGAGTGAGAGCGGCGACGCGTCGGGCCGCAAGGCCAAGAAGGACGGCGGCGGCGCCTTCCGGTCGTTCCTCCGCAAGGCCAAGTCGGGCGGCTCCCTGCGCGCTCAAGCCGCCGCTCAGCAAAAGAGCCAGGACAAGGACGCCGCCCTTACCATGGCGCGCCCCTCGTCCCGTACCCGATCGCGCTCGCACTCGCGTTCGGCGAGCGGGGCGAGCATCGGCGGCGGCGGCGGGCTCTTCCGCAGCCTCGGTCGGTCAGGCGGCGCCGTCGCAGCTGGGCAGCATGTCGGCGGTGGCGCGCAGGAGGGCGAGGACGCGCCGTACTGGGCGGCGAGGTTGCGGAGCGCGACGTGTGCAGCGCTCGAGGCCAAGGAGCTGGGGCGGCTGAGGGCGAGGCTGCGGAACGAGGCGCCAACGTGCGTCTCTCACCTCTCTCTCGTCCTTTCCTCTCCTCCTTGAGCACGAGTCCTGACTACTCTCGTCGCTACAGCTGGGTCGACGAGTTCATCAAGAGCGGCGGCTACATCGGCCTTCTCGAGCGGCTCAAGGAGTTGCTCGACATGGAGTGGCGGTGCGTCGAGCGTCCTCGGCATCTCTCGTACTGCACCGACTGACATCTCCCTCGACATGCGCGCAGCGAGGAGCAACACGACGACCAGGTCCTGCACGAGCTCCTGCGCTCCTTCAAGGCGCTCACGATGACGGCGGTGCGCCTCCTCTCCCTCGATCCCTCGTCTCTACTAGTCCGAGTCTGACTCTACGACGCACACAGTGCGGCAAGCGTGCCCTCGCCTCTCACTCGCCAACGCCGTTCCTGCCGATGGCCGCCCTCCTCTTCTCCGAGAAGCGCCCGGGCGACCTCCCCTCGCGCCAGATCCTCGTCGAGCTCCTCCTCGCCCTGTACGACATCTGCCCGCCCAACGCCGACTCGGTGCTCAAGTCGGCGTGGGCCAACTCGTCCGTCTCGCTCGAGCCGGCCGCGCTCTCGCCGGTCGCGCCCTCGTCGTCGACCCTCGACTCGAGCGTCGGCAGCGGCGGCGTGCGACGCTACACGCGCAAAGCCAAGTCGGGCGACGACCAGTCGAACGGCGTCGTCGAGCGCGACGAGGTGCTCACGGCCGAGCGGGTCCAGCAGGCGCACCGTCTCGTGCTTAGCCTGCTCGAGGGCCCGCCGAGCGAGGACGAGGAGCGCAAGGTCGACTTTATCCTCGCGGCGCGCAAGCCGAGGCTGTACAAGACGTGGGTCAAGGAGATGAGCGACACGGTCCGCGACTATTTCTGGTGCGTCGTTGCGTTCCTCCCCTCCTCCCTCCCCCCCATCCTCGGCACGTCTGACGTCCTCGCCTGCCGCCTGCAGGATCTTCTGCCACTCGGACAACCTGTACTGGACGCTCGAGCAGATCAACGCCGACGAGATCGAGGCGCCCAAGGTGCCGAGCGGCATGACGGGCGGTGTCGAGCACGAGGCCATGACCTACTGCGTCCGTCCTCCTTCCTCCTCTCCTGTGAGCGCCAGTGACTGACGACGCGCCTTTCATTCGTCACCCAGGCTACGCACTTCCGCCTCATCAACGCTATCGCGCGAGCGTGCCCGACGCAGCAAGCCGCGTTCGACTTTCACGACCAACTCTTCCTCAGCGGCTTCGAGCGCGTCCTCTTTGTGCGTCGCTCGTCCCTCTCCTCTCTCGCATCGGCCCAGACGCAGCACTGACTCGCCCGCCGACCCGTTGCAGACGCTGCGCCGCGCGAGCCTCGTCTACTACCAGACGCTCCATCTCGAGATGAGCCGGTACATCGCGCTCGCGCGCTCGGCCCATTTCAACCTCGGCCCGCGCATCCTCGCGTGCGTCGACCGCCGGTTCCTGAGCGCCGAGGAGCGTCTCGTCTTGCGCCAGGCCGCCGAGCGGCGTGCGGGGGCGTCTCGGTCGGGCGACAAGGCGTTCACGTCGAGTCACGGCGCGCCGCAGATCGGCAACATCTTCTAGACGTCCTTATTCGCCTTCTCGATGTGACGTGCACTCGGTCAGGCCGCTGGCGGTCGTGCGCCGAGCGTTCCTCCTTCTTCCCCCCCTTCCTCGTCGTCGGATCTCTTCCCTCCTCTTCGTCTCTTCCTCCTCGCCCTCTCTTTCGCCTACCTTATCCGTCATTCCCCTGTGTACTACCCTTCGCCTTTCTTTCGAGCAACGCGCCTCCTTTGGACCGGCCGCGGGACTTTGGTCGTGCCGAGAGGAGAGACGTTGAGCAGGAGAGCGAGCGCGCCCTCGACTTTTCGGAGTTGGTCTTGTTCTCGATGGCATCCACGTACATGCCGCGTACAGGATCCGAGCAGCAAAACCTCCACGAGAGCCGGCAGCGAGCGTGGACTGTCGACCCCACGTGCGAGTTCGAGCTGCTCCTCGTCTCTCGCTCCCAGCTCTCCGTGCACACCAAGGCGGGCTTAAGTTCTGCGCTCAGCACCACCTGCTGCATCTCTACAGTGAGTCCCATCGTCCTCCTCCCGCATCCGTGGCCTTTGCGCCTGTCCCCGTGCCCTCATCAGCCAGTCGGCCTTGGACCACGAGGGGCAGACGAGGACTCCTCGCAAGGGCAGGACGGGTGGGGACAGCGGGTCCTGCAAGGCTGGAGGCCAGGCCAGGAGCGCTCTCGAGCAGCAGTCGCTGACCCTCGTCTCGTTCTCCCCGCAGACCTCCTCGCCCGACCGTCATGCCCTCGTCCAAGTTGACCCGGGAGCTGCACGGCCGCCTCCTGCACCGCTTCCCGGCCCTCTTTACCGACCTCGACGCCAGTGCATCGGTGCGTCGCCCCTTCCTCTCTCTCTCTCTGCGTCCTCCCTCTCCCCGCAGGTCGAGCCGCGAAACAAGCTGACTCTCCCGCCTCGCACATGCAGGGCAGCGCCGCAGGCCCGAGCAGCTACGGCGCGACCGACGGTGCACCGGCGCCTGCCGACGATGGCCTGCAGAAGCTCGGCGCCGACCCGAGCAAGATCGAGCCCAAGGTCCGTCCTCTCGTTTCGCTTGGTCGCCCTCGTCCGCGCGTCCTCGCCGGGCGGACTCGTTCCGCTCGCAGAGGTGCAGCTGTTTGGGCGGACCGGTGACTGACATCTACATGACGCGCACGCAGGTCTGGCTCGCCTCGGAGCGCACCCTCCTGTCGTGGTTCCGCGTGTCGCTCCTCCTGTCGTCGTTCGCGCTCGCCCTGTTCAACTCGGCCGGGCCGCGCGACTACGCGTCCAAGTCGATGGGCGTCTGCTACGCCGTCATCGCCTGCGGCATGCTCGCGTACGCGTGGGTCATGCACCGCATCCGGCGGTACCGCATCGTCATGCGGTACCCGGGCCACCACGACGAGCCGTACGGGCCCGTCGTCGTGTGCGGCCTCATCTTTGTCGCCGTCCTCGTCAACTTTGTACTGCGCGTCCGGCACCGGTGCGTCCCTGCTCTCGCCGCGTTCCCTCGTCCGTGCGTCCACGAGACGGGCTCGACTGATGCGCCCTGGCGCTGCACGCACGCAGTGAGGACCTTCGCGACACGCCGTCGCCCAAGAACCCGTGGGTGACAACGATGGAGCTCGTTTGGGTCGGGCTCAACCTTCAGGCGCCGTCGTCGCCTCTCTAGATCGCGATCTCTGCCTTTTTTCGTAGCCGCGCTGCAGCGTCGTCCCTCTTTCCCGGTCTCTCGTATCGTTCCTGCCGCTCCTTGTGCTGCAGAGAGAACGGTACGTCGATCGAGAGCGCGGCAGCGAGAAAGGAGAGCGCACGAGCCTCGAGAAGCCGGTTGACCTTGCACCGGAGCGCGCTCGCGCCTTTCTCTCGCTCATCCTCTCGAGAGCGGCCGACGCACGACACGTCTAGGCACAGCAGACTGCATTGCGGCACAAGATACACGTCCTCCCTGGTCCTCTTCGAGCGCCCGGCGCTCGTTCAGCCCTGGATCATCTCGAGGAGCTCTCCCGCCTCCTCCATCTCCTTGACGACGTCGAGGCCGCCGACGAACTCGCCCTTGATGACGAGCTGCGGGAACGTCGGCCACTCGTTGATCTCCTTGAGCTCTGCGGGCGCGGGCGGCGAGGGCGGCGCGACGAGTCAGTTTGGGATCGGAGGGTGCGAGGAGTGGAAAGGGGGTAGGGCGCACTCTGCCGGACGCCCTCGTCGTTGAGGATGTCGAACGTCGTGTAGTCGACCTTGTGGCCCTCGAGGATACCGACGATCTTTTGCGAGAAGCCGCATCTGCGAGAGAGTCCAGAGCGTGAGTACCACTCGCCTGATTAGACTCGCGCTCGGCCCGACGCTAAACGAGGTCCAGGCGAGAAGAGGGAGAGCGCGTGACGCACCGAGGCGTGTTGCGGTCGCCCTTCATGAAGAGGACGACGTCGCTCTGGGTCATGAGCGCCTCGCACCGCTTCTGAAGCTCCTCGTCGCTCTCCTCATCGACGTCGTCCTCGTCGTCGTCGTCCTGCGCACCACCTGCGACGGTCCCGCGTGCCTCGGGCGCGCCCGAGGCCTGCTCGCCCGGCTGGTAGACCGTCTTTGCGGCGACGGGCTGGTGCGACGACGAGGCGAGGGTCGAGGGCTTGGAGGCGTGCGACTTGAGGGCGGCCGACAGGACGGCGGGTTGAGCGCCCGAGAGGCGCGTCAGGAGCGTGTGTCCCTGCGGGCGTGGCGAGGTGGGTCAGCTCGTCGGGCGGGAGGAGGGGAGGCCGGAAGAGAGGAGGGCGCACCCGCAAGAGGATGAAGTAAGGGACGGCGTCGACCTCGAACGATTCCGAGATGTCGGGGAGGGCCTCTGCCTCGATCTGTGGTGGTCGTGGGCGAGAGAGAGTGAGTCGAGGTCGAGCGAGGCGCCACCCCGAGGAGGAGGAGGAAGGGGAGGACTGACCGAGAGGAACAGGACCTGGTCCCAACGAGTTGCGAGTTCGGTGGTGACGTTGTCCATAGTCTTGCAGGGCTCTGCCCAGTCTGCGCGGAAGTAGAGGACCGAGACGCGGTGCAGGTCGGCAGAGAGGAGCTGCTGGAGGTGGGCGGGCGTCTCGACGCGGTGGTAGTTGGACGGGGTGGCCATGGTGTGGGCAGTGCGGTGGCGAGTGTCGTCGGTAGAGCTGGACCGAGAGTGCGACGAGCGACGAAGAGCGACGAAGAGATGGGCCTGCTCTCATCAGCTCGCCCCGACCCCGACCCTGCCCACGACGGCCCAGCCTGGACTCTGGTCGACCTGGACGAGTGCAGCGGTACCCCTGATCATGTACGCCCCCCTCTCACTCAGCGCCGAGCTGTCGTCGCGGTTCCTCTCGTCGTCGTCGCCTCGGGCACATCCGAGCGATGACGGTCCTCGCTGCCTCGACCACGAGCTAACTCGGTTGAGCCCCGCACTGCAGCATGTACCTCCTGGCAGCACGTTCAGCCCACAACGAGTCCCCCTGAGCGAGACGTGGCTCAGCGCCATTGTTCCCTCGCCTCCCCACTTTCCGACACCTCGCCCTCCCTCTTCGCCCTCGCACGCCCAAGCTCCACCTCCGCCTCACCATGTCGACCGCCGTCCACGCCGTCCCGCGCACCGACCGCCCCGCCGAGCTCGACACGCCCGGCCTCGTCGTCCTCTTCGCCCACTCGCCCAACGGCTGGAAGGTCACCTACCTCCTCGAGCACCTCAAGCACCACGGCCTCATTCCGAGCTACACCGTCCTCGAGGTTCAGCTTCAAGGGCCCGACGGCGACCAGTTCAAGCCCTGGTTCAAGAGTATCAACCCCAACTGTGCGTCCCTCTCCTCCTCCTCGGCCGAGCGCGAGCGACGTTCGTCGGCCGGGCTCTTGCGCGATGAGCCGGAGTGAGAGACCTGACCCGATCCACCCTCCTGCAGCCAAGATGCCCGCCCTCATCCACAACCGCCCCGACAAGCCGCCGCTCGCCGTCTTCGAGTCGGCGTCGATCCTCCTGTACCTTGCGCGCACGTTCGACCGCGACGGCCTGTTCCACTTTACCGGCGCCAACGACGACGACGACCTCGAGCAGGAGATGCTCGACTGGTGCTTCTGGCAGATGGCCAACCTCGGGCCGGCGCAGGGCAATGTGCGTCGTCGAGTGTTCCCTGTCTCCCTCTCTTCCTCGTTTCTCGCCGGCACACGACTGACTCGTCTGTCCCTACACCTCCACAGGCCAACTTCTGGTACCGCTACCGCGACGACGACCACCAGAGCGACTTTGCCAAGGAGCGGTCCGTCGTCGATTCCCTGCGTCCTCTTGTCGCCGTACCATCACTGACGGCCCGCATCCTGCGCAGCTACCTCGACGAGACCAAGCGGTGCTACAAGGTCCTCGACGACCACCTCACCGGCAAGGACTACCTCGTCGGCAACAAGCTCTCGCTCGCCGACATGTGCTCGCAGCCCTGGTCCGTCTCTCTCGCCGTCTCTCCTCCTCCTCCCCCTCCTCTCACTCCAAGACTGACATGCCCATTACCGCCAGGATCCGCTGCCACTTTTGGTGCGGCATCTCGCTCGACCCGTACCCGCACCTCGCCGCGTGGTCGGCGCGCGTCGAGCACCTGCCCGTCGTCCAGGCGGCGCTTAAGGTCCCGAGCCAGGACCTCGTGACGCGCATAAGGGAGGACCCGGCGCACGAGGGGAGGATCATGGACGCGATGAAGCGCCGCAAGGAGGAAGAGAGGGAGAAGCAGGCGCGCGAGGTCGAGGGACCTGAGAGGGTGCGCAGGCAGGTTTGAGCAGCCGAGTCGGGGCGCTGTATCTCGCCCTCTGCGTGCAAGACTCTGTCAGCATGCTCCCAGTGCGTCCTCTCGCGTACGAGAGAGCGAGCCGCGCCCAAGGACCCAGAATTCCCACAAAACAGGTCGCGAGCGGGACCTTCTCAAACGCACAGACCCCTCTTTCTGGGCCGTCTTCCGTCGGCCCTCTCGCCCTCGCTTCTGTGCGACTCGTCGCGTTTCAAAGCTGGCGACGCTTCGGAGAAGATGACGCATCGATCCCCACATCGGTTGCACTCGCCGGGGTCCGGACTCGGACTCGCGCTGACCGTTCCCCTCTCTCGCTCCTCCCTCCCTCCACCCTCGCATGCTGCGCCGCCTCTCTGCGCTCACGTCCCAGCTCCAGCCTCAAGCTACTCAGCAGACTACGCGCACCATGTCGATGAACGCCGACGTGCTCAAGACGGGCCCCAAGGAGCTCGAGAACCCGGGCGTTGTCCTCCTCCTCGCCCAGACGCCCAACGCGGGCAAGGTCACGTACCTCACCGAGGAGCTCAAAGGTGCGTCCTCTAGCATCACTGTCGGCCTGGACGAGACCGGTCCTGACGGCTTGCACACCGCGCAGCTCTCGGCAAGCTCGACTCGTACACCGTGATCCCGATCTCCTTCGCCAAGAACGAGCAGAAGTCGGCGTGGTTTGAACAGCTTAATGCAAACGGAAGGATGCCTGTTAGTGGCGTTCTCGCGCTCAACTTGTCCCCTCGCCCTCAACGAGCGGCAGGTCCTAACCTCGTTCCGTCGTCCCGCAGGCTCTTCTCGACAACCGGCCGACCAAGGGCCCGATCCGCGTCTTCGAGTCCGTGTCCATCCTCCTCTACCTCGCCAAGACGTACGACACGGACGGCGCCTTCTGGTTCAAGGACGACGACGACCTCCAGACCGAGCTCGTCTCGTGGTGCGCCTTTACGCATGGCGGCGTGGGACCAATGCAAGGTCAATGTAATTTCTTCTACAGATACTCGCCAGAGAAGATCCCGCTCGCCATCAAGCGGTGCGTCCCTGCCCGGTCATTTTCGTCGTTTTGAGAAGGTCGACATGCCGCCGACGCGTCCTGACCTGGCTCTGCGCCTTATCTTCTCGCGCACAGCTACCAGGACGAGACGAAGCGCCTGTACGGCGTGCTCGAGGCGCACCTCGCGGGCAAGCACGACGGGCAGGAGAAGGAGTGGCTCGTGGGCGGTAAGTACTCGATCGCCGACATGGTCCGTTCCCGCTCTCTACTCTTCTCCTGCCTCGCACCTGTACTGACTCGGCCCTCTTACACCCTCTCAGAACGCCCAGCCGTGGGTCCGCATGGCCGTGTGGGCCGGCGTCGAGCTCGACGAGTTCCCGCGCCTGTCGGCTTGGGTCGACCGCATCGAGCAGAGGCCGGCGACGCAGGAGGCGCTCAAGATCCCCGAGCAGGACAAGCTCAGCCAGTGCGTCTCGCCTTCTTCCCCTTCCTCCCTCAAAGGCGCTGTGGCGGCGTGTCGAGCGCAGCGAGCCCTGACTCTTCCTCCTCGTCGCGCGCGCAGGATGAAGGCCGACCCCGAGGCGGCCGACCGCATGGCCAAGGCGGCGAGCAAGTGGATCATGCAGGGCCAGGACAAGAAGGAGGACAAGTAGAGTCTCGAGGAGAAACGCTGTGCAAAAGCAACTACGTCGTGCGCTCGACCCTCGACTCGTCGCGAGAGCTGCTCTCCGCCGGCAGCTGCGCCGTTCGGCTCTCGCCGGCTGCGTATGTGTCCAGAGAGCTCTTCCCTTCCAGCAGAGCGCTCGCAACTGCGCCGTCTGGCGCGCTGGCGGACCAAGTCGCCAGCTGCGTCTCATCGTCCAATCAGATGCGAGGGCGGATTGCCGGCCGGCCGGCGCGCCCTTGCTCGCTCTCGCTCTCACACGACGAGCCTCGCCATGGCTACAACGCCAACACTGCAGCAGCCTGCAGCGGCCAAGCTCGCCGTCGCCAGCCTGCCCTCGCCGCCCCTGACGCCGTCGTCGAGTCGACCTCCCTCACCATCTCTCGCTCGCGACAGCGCCTACTACACGCCCGCTGTGGCTTTCTCGCAGCTGCCAGATGCATCCAGGAACTTGAACAAGTGGAACCTGCGCATCAAAGAGCTTGCGTGTGCGTCCACCGCCTCTGGAAATCTCCCCGGTCGTCGTGCTCACCCTTTGTCTCCGCGTCAACAGGCCACATCTCGCTCGTGAGTCCTTCGTGCCCTTGCGAGCCTGGTCGGAGCCTCGAGCAGGGCGCCCTGAAGATGTTCGAGCCGTTGCTCGAGCGAGCAGCCAGCGCTTGTCGAGCTCCACCCGCGCCGCTCGGCGCATTCCTTGAGCGACCTGCTCACCCTTTCGCCCCTCGTCCGACTCACAGGTCGTCGCTGGCTGGGCAGACGCCTCGAGCGGGCCTCTGATCCCGTACATCCAGGGTGAGCCCGCGACTCGTCCCCTTCCCTTCCCTCTCCTCGTCCCTCTCCTCTTTATCCTCCTCGAGCTCACAGACTTTCCTCCTCCCGCAGCGCACTACAAGATCAGCTACACGGTCGTCTCAATGATGTTCGTGGGGCAGATGGTCGGCTTCATCGCGGCGGGCTTGATGAGCTCGTGGCTCTCGACTCGTTTCGGCCTCGTGCGTCCTCCTCTGCCTCTCTCGCCCCGACCCGAGCCCTCACTGACAGTCGGCTCTCTACAGGGCAAGGTCATCGCTCTCGGTGCAGCCGTCCAGGCACTCGGCCTCGTCTTCCTCATCCCGGCGCTCCCTTTCCCGGCCAACCCACTGGCCTTCGCCGTTAGCGGCTGGGGCATGGCGCTCCAGGACGCGCAGGCCAACGTCTACGTCGCGACGCTCCCGAATGCCGAGCGCAAGCTGTCGTGGCTGCACGCGTCGTGCGTCCACCTTCTCCTCGTCGTCGCTCGAGCCGCGTCCTGACCCGTCTTTTCGTTGACCAGGTACGGACTCGGCGCCGCCGTCTGCCCGCTCGCCGCCACCGCCTTTGCGTCGTCGGGCATCCTGTTCGCCCGGTTCTACTCGGTCTCGCTCGGCCTCGCCCTGTCCAACACGGCGTTCCTCTCGTACGCGTTCCGCCTCAACTACGTCGTCGACTCGTCCGACCCGGTCGAGCGCACGGTCGACGTGCCCGGCGCACCCCCCATCACGGTCAACGGCGCACACGACATCGAGCTGCCCGAGCGACGCTCCTCGACGACGGCGGCATCGTTGGCGGGCGAGAAGGTCGACCTCGCCGACGAGAACGAGGTCGGCATCGTCGAGCCGGTCGAGCTCGACACGCGCTTTACACGGCGCAACAAGGTCATCAAGCAGAGTGTGCTCCTTCAAGCCCTCACGCAGCGCGCGACCTACCTCTCGTCCCTCTTCTTGCTCCTCTAGTGCGTCCGACGCTCAGGCCTCCTTTCCTTCTCGAAGCCCTCACTGACTCGCTTTCTCCCGCAGCGTCGGCGCCGAGGTCTCGATGGGCGGGTCCGTCGTTCGACACTCTCGCATGACCCTCTCGCCGGCACTGACGGATCTGTGCGCGCAGCTGGGTCGTCACGTTCCTGCTCGAGAATCGCGACGCCGGCGCAGAGTGCGTCCCGCCTCTCTCTCTCTCTCGCTCTCACTGTTGCCGTCACTGATAGGTCTTCGTCACGCAGTGCGGGCTACGTCGCGACTGGTGCGTCCGACCTCCTCGCCCTCTCAGTCCAGCAGAGCCAGCCCGACTGACCTCGAGTCCTCGCGCAGGGTTCTGGTTCGGCCTCGCTTTAGGCCGCCTTCTTCTCGCGCCGCTCAACACCTTCATCGGCGAGAAGCGTGCGGTGTACGGCTACCTCGCCACGGCCATGGGCCTCGAGTTCGTCATCTGGTTCCGCGACGACTTGATCTCGAACGCCGTTGTCGGTCCGTCCTCTTCTCCCTCTCACCCCAGCACCCTCAAACTGAGTGCCTCGCCCTCTCTCCCACCAGTCGGCCTCATCGGCGTCCTCCTCGGGCCCCTTTACCCCGTCTCGATCAGCATACTCAGCCGCGTGCTCCCTCGTCGCCTGCACGCGCCCTCGATAGCTGCCTGTGCAGCGTTTGGCCAGACTGGCAGCGCTCTCTTCCCGTTCATCACCGGCGCCCTCGCTCAACGGCACTCGCCGGCGGTTCTGCAGCCCGTCATGGTCGCGCTCATGGCCGGCATGCTCATCCTGTGGACTCTCGTCCCGTCGCCGGCACGCAAGCGCGACTAGAAGGCGACGTCGACGCTCTCAGCCGTCGATACTCTCGGTCGGTCGGCGATGCTCTCGAGCGGGTCGTTGAGGCGGCGAGCAGAGGCAGAGTTGCCGAGAAGGAGGAAGGCCAGACGAGGTTTGTAGTACAACAACGCGAACAGACATTCAGACCCAGTCGTACAGCTCCTCACAAGCTCAAGTCTCGTGCGGCTCGTCCTCCTCCTCGATCCCGACCTGCTCGCGCCCGTTCTCCTCGAGCCGCTGCGGGTCCGAGAAGAGCTGCGTGAGGACGAAAGTGCTGAAACGCGCATCTTGCCAGTACGAGCCGTGCGCCGTAATGGCGTCGATGCTGCGCGTGAGAAAGCGTGTCAGGACAGATAGGGAGAGATTGAGAGAGAGAGTGGGAGAGAGAGAGAGAGAGGAAGAGAGGGAGAGAGGGAGAGAGGGAGAGAGGGAGACGCACTACGCGTTCAAGCCCTCGGCCGGGAGGTAATAGTCGACGCTGCTGCCCGGGTTGAGCGCACGCATGCGCTTCTCGGCCCGACCCACCCACTCGAACTCGTCGCGGCCCATGCCGAACCGAGGCCGCTCGGACGGCATGCGCTTCATGCCCTGCGGCCGGCCCTTGGGCCTCGGCTTGGCCGATGCCGCCGCCGCCGCCGCCGCATCTGCCTCGCCTGGAGCGTCTGCGGCGGCCTTGCCCTGCGCCGCGTTGTGCGCCTGCGCCTCGCTCGTCTTGTCGGCCTGGGCCTTAGCGTCCTTCTCGTCGGGCTCGGCCGTCTTTGCCGCCGACGCCGCCGCCGTGCCGCCCCACAGGCTCGAGACGTCAAACATCTTGCCGAGGCGGTGGTACGCGTTCGAGACGTTGGTGAGGAGCGACTGGGTCGAGGACGGGATCGGGACCGGCTTGATGAGCTTGGCGTACCGAGCGTCGACGGCGGCGTTGAGGCAGAAGGCGACAGGGTCGGCCTCGTGGTAGACTGTGGACACGCAATGAGTCAGTGGGCGAGCTCCTTGGCCATCGAGAGGGGAGAGAGAAGGAGGGGAAAAGGAGAGAGAGAGAAAGGGAAGGAGGAAGGCGGGGAGAGGACGTAGGGAGAGGGCGAGAGAGGCGAGAGTACAGAGAGAGGAGGACGCACCGTTGTAGACCGTGTCGCACGACAAGCAGCCGTAGCGACCGCTGCGGTCGAGCGCAATGTCGCGCCCGACGCCCTTGGTGCGCGCTCGACCCGCTCGCGCGATGAGCTGGCCCTTTCCGAGCTGGAGGAAGAAGCCGAGAGGGCTTCCGACGAGGATGAGGGTGCTCGTGTCGAACGCGAACGTGTACTCCTCGCCCTGGCCCTGGAGGAGGCCTGGCGGCGCCGACGAGCGAGGGCCCGGCGTGCGAGGCGCGTACGACGCCGTCGGGTCGGCGACGCGCGTCGGCTGCGACGACAGGATGTCGGCGGCAAGGCACGAGCCGAGCGAGTGGGCGATGATGCTGACTTTGCCGCCGCGCTCCTCAAACTCGGGGTTGCGGCGGACGAACAGGCGGTAGATGCGGTTGGCCTCCTTCTGCAGGGCGCGAACGATGCGTGAGTGACCGGCCCGGCGAGACGAGGGAGAGAGAGAGAAGAGGGAAAGGAGGACGCACGACGACCGACTTGATCATTTGGTCCTTGTGTCGGGGCGACAGGTACATGGGGACGTCGAGGACCAAGCCCGACACGACCTGGCGCAGGAACGGCACCGAGCCCTTGACCTCGATGTCCGAGAGCGTAAAGTTGTTGGCGAGGTGCTCGTCGACCGAGTCTTGCGAGTCGTCGACCTCGTCAAAGTTGATGTCGCCTCGCCACAGGACGGGGCAGAACTGGGCGCGCTTGCCGCCCAGGATGGGTGACAGCGTGTCGGACTGCGACAGGCTCGTACAGGCTGTGAGGCGGAGGGAAGGAGGGAGTCAGGTCGGATCGCTCGAGAAGGCGGGGGAAGAGGGCCGTGCGCGCACAGGATCGGAACGCGTTGACGGCGTGCACGAACGAGAAGCTGTCGTACTCCTTGGCGAGGTGCTGCCCGATGCCATGAATGACGAGCACGAGCTCGTCGGGTACGCCGATCTGCTCCTCGCTGAGCCGAAGCGCCTCCTGCGTCTCGTTCGGCGCCTTGGCGCCCGCCGTCGACTCGCCGTCGATGCTGGTACGGGCCGACGTCGGCGCGGAAGTCGCCGTCGCCGTCGTCGTCGCCTCGGCGCCGTCAGTCGGTGCCGGCGCGCCGATGATGCGGCTGCGCAGGCTCGCGAACAGGCCTCGGGCGGGCGACTCGTCGCGCTTGGGCGTGCTCGTCGAGTCGGCGATCGACGACGAGTTGGACCCGGCGCGCTCGCGACCTTTGCGAGGTGTCGCAGGCGCGGTTGAGTCGGTCGTCGCCGACGACGAGGAGGCTTGTGCGGCGTCGACAGGTGGCGGCGGAGCAGGCTTGGCGGCCGTCTTCTTGGCGGCGCTCTTCTCCCTGAGGTAGTCCTTCATGGCGTCCCAGCCTGCGACGGGAGCGAGAGTCAGTGCGCTGGCCGAGCAGGAAGAGGGACGAAGGAGAGGAGACGAGGACGCACCTCGTAGAACGACCTGGCCACCTCCGAGCGACTTGCCACTGCTCAAGAAGCTCTTGCTCATGCTGCCCATCATGCCCCTCGAGTAGACCCTGCCCCTCGCCGCACCCTCAAAGATGACCTCGATCCCGCCGCTCGAGTCGTCCGAGCCCGACTCGTTGGCGATGCCGAGCGCGACCGCGAGACGCTGCTGCGCCTCCTTGCCGCCCTTGAGCGCGCTCGCGAGCTCGGCCTCGTAGGCGGCGTCCCACGGCCGGATCTGGGCGAACGCGCGGTCGAGCGAGGCCGACAGCGACGGGTCGACCGGGTACGGCTTGATCTTGTGCGACGGGAGCGAGCCCGCGTGGGCGGCGATGGACGGCGGCGCGTAGAACCAGTGCGACAGGTGAACGCGGACGGCCGTGCCGTGCCAGAAGGCCGGGTACAGGATGCGCGAGTAGAGCGACACGGTGAACAAGTTGTCGAGGCCGACGGGCACGAGGTACGGGCTGTCCTCTGGGTCGGCGTCGTCCTCGGATGCGCGCTTGAGCGAGCCCTGGCCCTTGGTGACGCCCTTGTCCTTCTTGGCGCTCGCGTCGCGCTCGCGCTCGGCCTTCTCGCGGTTGGCGTGCTCTTCTCTGAACCGCCGCATGGCCTGCTGGTCCCCCTGCAGGCGGTCCCACCCCTTCTGGAGCCGGTCCTCCTCCTCGTCGGTGAAGGCGCGCCACTCGGAATTTGCGATGGGCTTGTGCCGCCGCTCCGAGTTGGGCAGGACGGCGCTCGGCGCCTCGAGGTCGCTCAGCGGCGGGCCACCGTGGAGGAAGCGCGCCTCGGCCGGCGGGGGCGGGTCGGGCGCCTGCGACAGGACCGTGCTGAGCTGCGACGGCGTCAACGTCGCGCCCTTGCCGCCGCCGCCGGTGCCGGTGCTCGTGCTGCCCTCGGGCGCTGCGTCGGCGTCGCGGCTGTCGCGCTCGGCGGCGAGGGTGGCGAGGACGGCGCGCTCGGCGTCGTTGGCGAGCGGGATCGAGGCGGCCTCGCGGATCTGCTGCGCCACGTCGGGCGAGGTGGGCGAGTCGAGCGGCGACAGGTAGCCGATGTGTTCGGCGGGCGTGAGGAGGCCGTCGCCGAGGCCGTGCAGCTCGTCTGAGCGGCCCTCGCCCATGCTGAAGTAGTCGTCCATGCTGGTCTGGCGGTCGTGCGCTCGCGCTAGACGTCTGTAGCAGGAGGGGGAGAAGGCTGGTCAACGGGTGGGGCTCGTCTGAGGGCAAAGAGTGCTGCGGCGGCCCTGGGAGCCGCACACCGCCTGCTTCGCAGTCTTGGACAGGTCACAGTGCGGCTTCGAGGGCGTACAAGTGGCTGGAGGAGCTCACCGGCGAGAGTTGAGGCGGTGACGGAGGATCGACGGCGAGCTGATGAGGCGTACGTTTGAAGCGGCGAGGCTGTCGGGCAGTCGTGCGGGACGAGTGTGCGGTCGAGAGAGCGCAAGGCTCGCAGGTCCAGCAGGTGGAGCGCGGTGCCGAGATGCACGTGAAGCGCGAGCGAACAGAGGCGGCGAGCTCTCGCCAGCGAGCGACCTGGTCCGAACGAGCTCCCCTCGAGCCGGGCGGACGTTGCACGGGCTCGAATCACGGAAGTTGCACGGCGAAGTAGTACAACAAGCACGGCGGAACAAGTACACGGCGTCGACGAGGAAAGACCGGCCCGCCAACACTTCCACCTCGACCCTCCCTCTCGACCTCGCCCGTGACCACCCTAACGCGCCCTGCTCGTCGCACCGAGACCGAGGGACGGCGCTGATCTGGCGCCGTTGGGGCGAGGGCGGCGAGGCGGCGTGAGCGCCGTCGGCTCGCGACGGGCGAGCGGTTCGACCGGCAACGACGGCCTGGCTGACCGTGTCGTCGGGCTTGTTGGGCTCGTCGCCGAGCTCAGGCTTTGCTGTCGTCGTCGGGAAGCTGGAACGCGGTGCGGAGCGTCTTGACGACCTGTGTCGGGCGGACAAGAGAAGGTCAGGCCGCGTGCGGGACGAGGGACAGGTCGTCGCGGCGGGCTCACCATGTCGTGCTCCTTCTCGAGGCGTGCGACGTGCTCGTCGAGGGTCTTGAGCTTCTCTGTGGCGCAATGGTAGGGGTCAGCGACGGGCGGGACGGGTGAGAGGGCGGCGAGAGGACGGACGGTTAAGGATGCTGGTGCGCTTGTCGACGAACACGAGGGCGTGCTCGAGTTCGAGGTCGAGGAAGAGGTCGTCGAGCCCTGCGGCGACGATGACACGGCTCGTGTCGGGACTGCGAGAGCGGTGGCAGAAGGTGAGCTGAGGATTCGAGAGGGAAAGGGAGGAGGAGGAGGAGGAGGTTGGACGCACACGACGCCCTCTGCCTCAAAGTTGACGCCGAGCGGTACGGCGACGTCCATGCGCGTGTTGCCGTCCTTGTGTGCGGCGTGCACCTGGGCCAAGCGAGCTGCGAGGTCGCGGTGCTGGTCGACGAGCGCGCGCGTTTGGTCGCGGCGGAGGTGGAGCTGGCGCCGGTCGTGGGGCGGTTGGGCGAGTGCGTCCATGCTGGGGAGCTGTGTGCTGTGCGCTCCTGCTGTATGCGGGCGTGAGAGGGCGAGGAGAGACGACGATGGACCTCTCCGACGTCGGAGAGTTCCAGGCCCTCGTCCCGCTCCACCCTCCCTCCGACGAGCAAGCTCTGCTCTGCGTCGCACAGGCCCACGCCACCACTAGCTCACGTGCCACCTACCTGCGCCGACCGCCTCGAGCCCGAGCCGCCGTCGCCAGAGCCCGGCTCGCTCATCTGTCGTCCGGCGCCGTTCGTCGCACCGCGACCGCTACCGCGCGTGCACTGGACGAGGCGGCACACCTGCGTCACCAGACTCTCCTCGAGGTGAGCTCTTGGTCCTCGCCCCTTCTCGAGACGACCCGTTCCCGCTCGACCGTCGTGGGCAGCACACCGCGCCGGCACGCGGGATGGGCGGCAACGAGTGCGCTTGAGCACACAGCAGTTACGCACAGCGTCCAGCGAGCCTGACCACTGACCCACGCCTTGCCACGCAGGTCCTCGCACCACCCTTTCCCCTCCCCCTCCCCCTCGCTCAACCATCATGCCGCCAGCCGCTCGCCTCAGCTTCCCCGCCGTCCATGTCGGCACGCGCACGCCCAGCATGTCGGTCACGACCAACGCCGCACCACAGCGCTTCCGCGTACAGGGCTGGGACCCGGTCCTCATCCTCTCCCAGGTCCGTCCCCCCTGCCCTCGTCCCCTTTCCCTCGCCCGGCCGGCCTCTCGCTCACGCTCCCCCTCCGACAGATCATCTCGCTCCAAGCGCTGCACTACCTCGTCCTGTCGCTCGTCCTCCCCGCCCTCCTCAGCATCCTCTCGAACCGCGACCTGCTCGAGTACGAGGGCGGCGCCACGTCCATCTCGATGGCCATGAACTGGCGCTCGTTCACGGGCGCGACCGCGTCCGGCTTCAGCGCGTCGCGGCAACTCGCGCCCGGGTTGACCAACCTCGCGAGCGCCGAGGCGGGCGTGGCGGTCGGCAAGCTCGATGCGGCAGAGCTCGCGAGGGGCGTCGTGCGCGTCGTCGGGCGGGACGCGTTTCGAGGGTGGGCGGTCGCGCTTGGGTGGCTCGCGGCGAGCATGGCCGAGTGCGTCTCTCCCTTTCTCTCTCTCTCCTCTCTGGTACCTCGACGTGCCCTCACTGACCCCTTGTCCCCGTCGCAGCATCGTCTTCCTGTACCACATCGTCCGCCGGCCGACCCACATCCTCGACTTTTCCCTCACGCTCCTGTTCAACCACCTCATCCTGACGACCTACTACTCGTCGTCGTTCCCGTCGTCCCTCTTCTTCTGGTTCGTCGTCGGCTCGAGCGCCGTCGCCCAGATCGTCCTCGCCGAGCAGCTGTGCGTCCAGCGCGAGATGCGCGACGGCTTCTCGGTCGCCGACATGACGCCGAGGATCGGCGGACCGGGCGACATGACGCCGCACATTCCCGACCTCGAGCTCGGCGCCATCGGTGGCAGCGGCAAGGGAGGAGCAGGAAGAGGGTACGAGCGCGTGCGGGCCGACGAGCGGGCCTGAGCGGCGAGCGAGCGAGCGACTTGTTGTACTTTCTGTGCTCTCTAGACGGCATCGATGGCATTCGCTGCATTACTCGACACAAAGAGAACTCGTAGTGTTGGCAACAAGAGAGAGAGAGAGAGAGAGCGCTACAGCGAGGGACGACCTTTACGACGACCCGGCAGACGGGCCAGATTCGGTGGGCGAGGGCTGCCGTCGACGTGAGAGTGAGAGTCAGTCTCGAGAACGCGAGTCTGCGGCCAAAGAGTGAGAGGGAAGCAGGGACGCACCTCGCCCTTGTCGTCGCCCTCAACGAGCGCACCGCCTCCTCCCGGCTGGTCCTGGCTCCACCGCCGCCGCATCGTCGTCCCTGCGTCCCTCGTCTGCAAGTGCCCGACCGCCGCACCCGCCGGAGCGCTCGCCGCCTCGTCCGCCGCACGAGCCGGCCGCTCGTCCATTTCCTCGACCGGCGCCTCTCCCTCGCCCGCTCCTCGCACCTCGTCGGCCTGCAGGCCCGGCTCGAACGTCGTCGTCGGTCCGCCCCTCGCCACACTGCGCAAGAACGTCGGCGTGAGGACGTCGCCCCTCGTCGCGTCGTCGGCTGCCCCTCCTCCTCCTCCTCCTCTCGGGCCAGGTCCGAGTCCGCCGTCGCCCGGCGCCCGAATCGTGGCGCGCCAGTTGAGCGTAAAGAGGACGATGATGGCGGCGAGGACGGTGTAGATGCAGGCGCTGCGAGAGAGAGAGAGAGGGGGGACGCGCGAGGCGAGGGTCAGTGCGTGCGCGAGGGAGGGAGGCAGGAGCGCGGGACGAACGCGAACTCGACCTCGATCTGCGCCGTGAGAAATGATGTCAGTGTGAGACGAGGAACTGGAGAGATAGAGAGGGTGAGACGCACGAGGAGGGCTCGTCGAGGCTGGGACTGGATCGTGACGGCGATGGCGACGATGAGCTCAAAGACGACGAGGATCCTGTGCGCGAGGGACGAGGGACAGTCAGTCACCGCCGGTCGACTGGACACATGAAAGAGGAGGCGAGTGCGCACCCAGAAGTGCGCATGGCGAGGCTGAAGAGCCTGCCGACGGCCGTCGACTTGCGGTTGCGCTTGATGATCTTGCGGTCCTCGGCGAACTGCAGCTCGTACAGCAGGCAAAGTGCGACGAACGTGCCCTCGGCGAAGGTGCCCTGCGCGGCCGGACAAGGCGTCAGGGTCGGGGCGCGAGGAAAGAGAGAGGAGAGGGTCGGGGCGCACCCAGAAGCTCGTGATGACGGCGACGAGTTGCTGCGAGCGAGGGACTCGGTCAGTGCTGGACCTGCAGGAGAAGTGACGATCTAGCTCACGTCGGCGTCGTCGACGATGTTGGACCGTCCCGCCGCGCCGGCCTTGCCGACCCAGACGGCGTGCGCGACAAACGAGAAGGCCCACAGGAAGACCGAGATGTAGCGCATCCACCACTTCTTGGTGACGGTCCACAGGCGCCACACGAAGAAGCCCTCGACGGTCGCCTCGATGAGGGTGGCTGCGCGAGAGGGAAGAGTGAGCGCTGCCGCGAGGCGAGGGGAAAGGGGGAGCTCGTCGACGCACTGACGACGGTACTCCATATCGTCAAGAAGCCGGGGCGTTCTCCTGCGCCTCCGAGGACGGCGTCCGAGGTCGTGATCCAGGTCGCGGCGAACCGGATGGCGAAGAACATGGCCTCGAGGAAGGCGAGCCAGGCGGCGAGGAGCTTGAAGCGGACGTGGTCGTTGGGGAAGCGCGTCCAGTAGCGCTGCTGCTCGACGATGAAGTAACCCTGCGTGCGCGCGAGCGAGTCAGTGTCTTGTGCGAGGAGGCGTCGTGCCCGGGGGGGAGAGGCGGCCGAGTCGGCGAGAGGAGGGCGCACCAGGAGGATAGAGATGACGGCGAGGAGGACGAGGTCGGACTGGAGGGTCGGCAGGCGCTCCTGGGCGGCGATGCGGTCGACGACCTTCTGGAGCTCGCCCTCGACGACGGACGCCTCGTCGGCGGCCATGACCGTGAGGAGGACGAGGGCGGCGGCGACGTCGTTCGCCACGGCGGTGGGAGCGTGCGAGTTGAGGCTGGGGGTCAGAGCAGCGGGCTCGACGAGCAGCGAAGCATGCTACTGCTGTCGCGGGTGGGAGCAGACAGAAGGCGAGAGCAAAGTGGGACGAGCACTTCGATCGTCGCAGCCCCGCACAGGAAGCTCTCCCGCGATCAAGTGTGTCTTGCCCGCAATGCCAAGCGAGTGGGTCTGCACACCTGGAGCGAAAGCCCATGCTGGTAACCAGAGCCGAGCGGAACAAGCCGGCGCGCGACGAGGAGGAGGAGGAGGAGAGGGTCGCCCTCGCCGCTCCGGTCAGGCCACCGCTCTTACACGGCTACAGTAGAGCTCGGAAGACCGGCACACACAGCCCGCAGAGCGCTGCGGGAGGAGGGCTCGCCGAGGGAGCGAGCAGACGATGTCAACCAGAGAGCCAGCTCCTCACCCTCCCACCAGCTCTGCACCGACACCCGGCCCCGCCAGAGCCAGCGCAGGGCACCTCAGTGCCCCCAGGGCCAGCCCCTCCGCCGCCCCCAGAGCCCACCCGACGCGCGCCGACACCTCCCCTCCCTCCTCCACCGCGCCCTCCCTCCCTCGCTCAACCCGCCCGCCAACACCCGGCCATGACGCACCCGGCACCGCCAGCGCCACAGCCAGGGCCCAGCCAGCCCAAGCAGAGCATGCTCAAGCGCATGGGCGGGCCGAGCGACCTCAAGGCCGGCGTCGGTCGTGGAGGAGCGCGCACCGCCGACGAGATCGCTCAAATCACCTACGACGAGTCCAAGGTGCGCCTGCAGTTCGCTCGCCTGGTCCAGTCTCTCCAACACGCGTCCTAACCTCTCTCGCGCTGCGCAGGATTCCACATTCTTCAGTGCGTCGAACCCCTCCTCAGTCGCCTGTGCTCGCGGCCAGCCGTCGTCGCACCTGCGGTCGACGCGAAACTGACTCGCCCTTGTTCGCCCGACGCAGAGGACCAGAAGCGCCGCGACGATGCCGTGCAGGTCAAGGTCGAGCGGCTCCAGGGCCACCTCGAGCGCGAGCTCCTCACGGCGAGCGGCGACGAGGAGGCCAGGGTCGACGCCATCATTGCCGAGCTCGAGCAGAAGCGCGACCTGTCGCGCGTCATTGCCCTCATCGACGCCGACATGTTCTACGGCGCGTGCCACGTCCGCAAGGACCCGTCGCTCAAGGGCAAGGCGTTCGGCGTCGGCGGCGGCATGCTCACGACGGCGAGCTACGAGGCCCGCGCCTACGGGTGCAGGTCGGCAATGCCGCTGTTTATCGCCAAGAAGCTCTGCCCGCACATCATCTCGCTCACCCTCGAGCCCGACCTGTACGTCCAGGCGTCGCGCGAGATCTTTGCCGTCCTCGCCAAGTACGGCACGATCGCGCCTGCGAGCCTCGACGAAGCCTGTGCGTCCCTCTTCTCCCTCCCTCTCTTCGAGCCGGCGCGTACCTCGAGCTCACCCTGTCGACCCACGCGCGCAGACGTCGACCTCACCAACTACTGCGCCAACGAGCGCGTCACGCCGACCGAGGCCATCACGCGCCTGCGCGCCGAGGTCGAGACGACGACGGGCCTGACCGTGTCAGCCGGCGTCTCGCCCAACAAGGCGCTGTCGAAAATCGCGGCCGACGTCAACAAGCCCGACGGGCAGTTCGTCATCGACCCGACGCGCGAGGCGTGCATGCAGTTCATCGAGAAGCAGCGCCTGCGCAAGTGCTACGGCATCGGTCGCGTCACCGAGACGCTCCTCAACGGGCTCGGGCTCGAGACGGTCGGCGACATCTTCCGGGACCGCGCCAAGCTGTACCTCGTCGTGCGTCCTCTCGTCCTCGACCTCTTCCCCCACCTCCTCCTTCACGCTCGACAAGGAACTGATTCCTCGCCGTCGCACCCGCAGAGGCACCACCTCGGCCAGTCGGCGACGTTCCGCTTCCTGTTGAGCCTGTGGCTCGGCCTCGGCTCGAACCGGGTCAAGCGCGCCAAGCGCGGCGACCGCAAGACGTACGGCGTCGAGAAGACGTTCCACGCGAGCTCCAACCCCGACAAGCTCGACGACATCGTGCGTCCCCTCGCCGCTTCCCTCTTTCTCTCTCTCCGTCGTGGCCGCGCCAGGACCCGCATCCTGACTCGCTCGTTTCCAGATCCGCCACGTCGCCAAGTCGCTCCACAAGGACCTCAAGCGCTCGGGCTTCTCGGGCCGCACCGTCACGCTCCGCATCAAGCACGCCAACTTCGAGTCGGTCACGCGCGCCAAGACGCAGGGCAAGAACATCTACGTGCACGAGTACAAGGACCTCGTCGAGCTCGGAATCGGGCTCCTCCACAAGGAGCGCGCCGACCGCGCCAAGGCGATCAAGGAGGGCCGGCCGGTCAAGGGCGGCAACAACCCGGTCCTCAACGTCCGCCTGCTCGGCCTGCGGGTTGGCAACCTGCGCGACGAGAGGGCGCTCGCCAAGACCAAGAAGCTCGACGGTGTGCGTCCCCTCTCTTTTGCTCTGTACGCCGTTGTCCTTCCGGCCTCGACACTGACCCGCTCTCCTCGTGCAGTACTTCACGCGCTCGCCCCGCCGCACGCCCGACAACGACCTCCAGAGCGACTCGGACGACGCAGACGTCAACCGCGAGGACGAGTTCGAGTCCGAGGACGACTACGACGACGACGACCCCGAGGCCGACCCGGGCAAGCGTGCGCTCAACGCCGTCATCCGCGAGGCGGCGCTCGACCCATTCGCCAACGAGGGCGAGGGCGAGGGCCAGGGCGGCGACAACAAGAAGGACAAGGGCGACGGCGCGGCGTTCGGCGGCGCGAGCGGCAGCAACAGCGGCAGCTGGATGTGCCTCGACGAGTACGACGAGGACGCCGACGACGAGGCGGGCGAGGTGCGCGGTCGGTTCGGCGTGCACCGCAAGGCGACTGCGAGCACCTCGTCAACGCGCCGCCGCCCGTCGCCGTCGAGCTCGTCGACGGTCAAGCAGGGCGCGTCGTCGCCGTCGTCGAACAAGCGCCGCTCGCCGTCGGTCGAGGACTTTGTCGGGCTCGGCGGCGACGCGCACACGGGCAAGAACAAGAAGGTCAAGCGCGAGCAGGACGAGGACGTCAAGCACTCGAGCGGCAGCAACGAGATGACCTGCCGTCCGTCCCTCTCTCTCTCTCTTTCTGTCCCCCTGAGTGCGCCGACTACGACGTCTGACTCCTCTCATTCGCTCCTCCGCATGCAGCCGTGTGCGACAAAGTCTATACGGGCAGCGTGGCGGCCATGACGGGCCATGTCGCGCAGCACCTGGTCGCCGAGGACGAGGTCGAGGTCAGGACCAAGGCCAAGGCCAAGGTCAAGAAGGAGCGGTCGCCGGTCAACATCTTCAGCGTCGCCGCCGGGAGCGGCAGCAGGAGGACCAAGGCGGCGGTCAAGGGCGAGAAGGGCCGCAAGGGGAAGAAGAAGTGAGGCGGGCTCGAGGAGGAGGAGGAGGTGCGGGCGAGGTCGCCTTTTTTCTGTGTCGTCTGTGTTGCTGTAGAACCGCTTGCCGCTTTGTCATGCTTCTTCGAGTCTCTCTCTTCGCTGCGGCAGTCGAGGGTGCGGCAAAGAGCACGCGCGAGAGTGGCCGAGGTGCGAAGTCGCCGTCGGCCGGACTTCGCCTTGGTCGCCCGAGTCGGCCAACCTCTCTTTCCTCCTCCACCTCACCTCGCGACTACCTACCACGCCCAGCACCATGTCGATCGCCGTGTCCGAGATCCCGTCCACCAAGGTGCGCACTCGCTCGCGCTCTCCCCTCGTCGAACGCGCTCGCTCACCGGCCTCCTCGTCCTCGCCGCGCAGCTCTTCGACCTCATCAAGGAGGGCCTCGAGGGGGTGCGTCCCACTCTCTCCTACTGTCCTACCCTCCACGACAGCGGCGCACAGCGACAGGGCGCTGACCGCAGCCGTTTCACGCCCATCCCGCCCCCACCTCGCCCGCCTCCTCGTCACGCCCGCGCTCCCCCTCGCCCACACTCGCCGGCCGCCAGATGAGCGACAAGGAGAAGAAGGACAACATCAAGAAGGTCAACGGCATCTTCGAGATGAACGTCAAGAGCGGCAGCAACGAGGCGACCTACACCATCGACCTGAAGAAGGTGCGCCCTCCTCCTCCTCGCCCAGTTTCCCCGTCGTTCCCGGCTAACCTCCCTACCGACACGCAGGAGGGCAAGGTGTACAAGGGCTCGGCCAAGCCCAAGGCGGATGGTGCGCCCGACTGCCTCGCCCCCCTCTCGCCCACGGAATCGTCGAACTAACCTTTGTCGCCCGTGCAGTCACCATCTCGCTCCAGGACGACGTCTTCCAGCAGCTCGCCGACGGCAAGATCAACGGGCAGAAGGTACGTCCCCCTCCCGTTCCCTCTTCTTGCGCATCATCGAAGCGCACACACTGACGCTCTCGCCGTTCGACAGGCCTTCATGGTGCGTCCTGCCCACCCGAAACCTCGCGCCGGCACACATCTTGCGTGCGAGGCGATAGTCGACTCGAGTTCTCGTCCTGACCCTTTTCTCGCGCTCGCAGTCCGGCAAGCTCAAGGTTCGCGGCAACAGTGCGTCCTCCCTCCCTCCCTGTCTTTGCCTCGCCGAGCATCACTGACTCGTTCTCTCTTCAACTTCGCAGTCATGCTCGCGACCAAGCTCGACACGGTCCTCAAGGGCGCGCAGAAGAAGGCCAACCTCTGAGCGCGTCGCTGTCGTCGACGGACTTTCGAACGAGAAGCCCTTCCTCCTCTGTCGGGCTCAAGCTGTGCAATGTACTCTTGTCTTTAGTACCCCGTTCTCCTGCTGTCCTGCCAGTCAAGAGAGTTGTCCGTCGCGAGAAGCTGCGAGCAGGCCACCGAGCGTGGCACGGTCCTCTCGGCTCGGCAGCCCTCGTCTCACGCTGCTCGCTCGACAGCGTTGAGCTCTAGCTGCATGGCTCTCCGAGGGCGCACGACCGAGAGAGAAAGGACGAAGGATGAGTGCAAGGGGGCGCTGAACGAGCGACAAAGACGAGGACGGGCGAGGGGGGGGGGGGTAACGAGGAGGCACAACGGCAGCCGCACGCGGCGCGCACGGCAGGGGGGAATAGGAGAGGGGATGCAGTCTACACGAGCCACCTCACGCAGCCGCTCAGCTACTTGCGTGCCCGCAGGCCCTCCCGCCTCGGTCGTGCCGCCGCACCCGTCGTCGCCGCCACCGCCGGGACCGCCTCCTTCTTCTCGCTCGCGGCCGGCGCCGGCTCGGCACCCTCGTCGCCCGACGAGCTCGCGCTCGACGACGATCCGCCGCTGCTGCTGCGCGCGCCGGCGAGGCCGAGCTCAGTCTCGCTTCCGAGGCCCGAGTCGACCCGCTTCATTTCGGGCGCGGCGACGCGTGCTGCCGCCGCGCGCAGCGACGACGACGGCGCGACGAGCGTCGGCGAGGGCGAGGGTGAGGGCGTCGCGATGTCGAGCTTGGGCGGTGCCGGGCCCGTCGCGAGCGGTGCGGGCGCCGACACGGTCGCGTGGTTGTTGGTGCGGCCCGAGAGGATGGCGACGAGCGGGTCGTCGTCCTTTTCCGGGACGCGGAACGAGCTGAACGCCTTGTCGGCCCACGTGAAGTACTGGCCGTACTGCGAGGTGAACGAGGAGGAGGGTCAGAGCGTGCTCGAGGAAGGAGAGAGGGAGGGACGAGCGACGACGCACGTTGCAGGTGAAATAGAGGTGGTGGAGCGTGTGGTGCGCCGGCCCGTTGATGTAGTGCTCGAGCGGGTGGCCGCACAGCATGTCCGAGTCGTGAATCTGCGCGGCAAGACGAGGGTCAGGGAGTCGCCCGAGGGAGGGGAGAGGAGGGCAGGGCCGAGAGACGCACAAAGATGGACCACAGGTTGACGAACGAGAACAGGCCGATGAACATGTACTTGTGGATCGGGAACATGTAGCACGCCATGTGGTACGGCACCGACTGGAAGTAGCCGTCGACCGGGTGGAACGCGTGCGAGGCGAACGGCGTCGGGACTGTGTGCGCGAGCCATGTCAGGGACCGCGCTCCTCGCCGCGCAAAGGAAAGAGAGAGAGAGAGGACGCACTGATCCACTTGTGGTGGGGCTTGTGCAGGCGCTTGTACAGGAACGGGAGGTGGAGCCACCGGTGGACCCAGTAGATGGCAAAGTCGGTGAACCACAGGAAGAGGGCGGCACTGAAGGCCATGTACAGCCACGGGAGGACGCCGCCCTTGTCGCCGAACGGGCCGTCGGCGATCGAGTCGTACAGCTGGCTGTGGCCGCGCACGTCGCCGACGAACCAGGGGAGGGTGAGGAGGTCGAGCATGGGGAACGCCTCGAGCGAGAAGGCGATCTCCTTGGCGACCTGGTTCTTGAGGAAGCGCGGGTGCTGCTCCATGCGCTTGTCGAAGATGAGGTAGTACGACCCGGTCGCGACCGAGAAGTACAGGACGAAGATGCCGACGTAGGTGATGCCGTACAGCGAGATGGCCTGCCGCAACATGTTGTCTCGCGGCAAGGACGACAGGCCGGGTACGGCGGCGAGGTAAGCCGTCACCGACGCGACGGCGTTGTGCGCCGACGACAGGTCGAGCGACGAGAGGGTCGGGGCCGAGGCGTTGAGCGCCGCCGAGATGCCGAGTTGCGGGGCGAACTTGGCGAGCGGGTTGTCGAGGTACGAGTAGAGCTTGTCGCCGACGTGCTCGTCGAAGAAGTCGAGGGCGATGTCCATGGCGCGAGGTCGAAGGGTTTGAGAAGGTGCCGACGAGCTGTGGACAGAGAACGTGAGCTCGCTGTGCTCGACTGGCCCGCACACATGCTCCCGAGTCTGGCGTCCCGACGTGCCATCCGATCCCGTCTGCAGGGGGCCCGCACGAAGGATGCCGAAGCTGGCGGTCCCTCTTCGCGAGGAGGGTCGAACGACGTCCACCTCGAGCCCGCCACCGCATGATCCGACTCGAGACACGGCCAGTCACTGCTGATCTGCTCGAAAGGGTGGCTCACCTGGTGAAGGAGCCGCTGGGAGGGCCGTGTGGCGAGGGCAGCGAGGCGCGTGCCGGTGAAAGATGGGGCGGCGGCGAGTGCGCCTGGCGGAGTGGAGCGAGTGGCCTGGGTCGGTTTGTGCGGATAGCGAGGTCGAGGGCCGGTGTGTGGGTGTGCAGGCGAGCGTACAGGGACGCTCTGCTGTGGTGAGAGAGAGAGAGCGGCGGGCAGTCCGACGCTCCTCCTCCGGGATGGTTCGACCGCACAACACCGCGCGACGTGGCTCTCGCTTCGCCTCTTTCCGGCCTCTGCCTCGAGCCCGTTGCAAGCCCGCCACCCGCCTTGGTCCTCGTCCCCCCGTCTCCCGCACAGCGCCCGTCTGAGAGCCACGGCCGCTCCTTCCGGCGCTCGCGTTCGAGCTCGCGCTTCCCGCTCGGCCCGCACACTGGCTCGAATCCGGGTCGAGAGCGTGCGTGTGCCCGCTTCAGCCGACCTGGGCGTTTGCTCTGTCCGTCGCCGGGCTCGAGACGAGAGTGAGAGCGCGCCGCGGACAAGCCGGCGGCACGAGCCGACCTCGCCCCCGCTCTGTCGGTGTCGCTCAGCAGCGCACAAATCCAGTGAAGAGATCGCGAGTACGAAACACGAAAGCAAAGCAGCGCGCAGTGGCAGGGTGGAGAGTCGAGAGGACACCGCCCGCGGCGAGCAACAGCTGCCTCATCTCTCGCCTCGTCCACCCGCTCGAGCTCGCGTTGCGATGGCCGACTCGCTGCCGTCGATCGACCACCTCGTCAAGACGAGCGCCAAGCGCGCCCACAGCCTGTTTGCCGCCGAGCAGGCCTTCGTCGTGACGGACGACGCCCAGTCGAGGAGGTGAGCCAGCACGCCCCGCCCCTCTGTGTGCAGCAGGGACAGCTAGTGACTCGAGTGGTTCCCACACAGCACCAAGATCCGTCTCGCGAGCAAGATCGACGCAGAGTACCGCAACGCCAAGGTCCTCCCCGCCGCCCTCCTCGCACAGCAGAAGGGCGGTGCCGGCCCTGCTCGCCCGGGCCCTGCGCCGGCAGCACCTGGCATGAAGATGATTGCAGGTGCGTCCCCTCCCCACTCCCTCACTGCCGCGCAGGCGAGCCGTCGCTCACCTCTCTCGTTGGTGGTGCTCGCAGGCCCGATGGCGCAGACGGTCGAGCAGCTCAGGTGCGCCTTGCCTGTTCCCCCATCCTCAGACTGCGCATCAGCTGACACTGGAGCTCTCGTCACGCACAGCTCTCAAGCCCTCACGACCACCGGCTCGGCGCCTGCCCCCGTCTCGCACGCCCAGCCGACCCTCCTCTCCCAATCCCTCATCCGCCGCCGCGAGGCCCGCCAGGTCAAGCCCGACTACCACGCCAACTGGAAGCTCACTCGCGTCATCTCGGGCCACCTCGGCTGGGTGCGGGCAGTCGCTGTCGAGCCGGGCAACAAGTGGTTCGCGACGGGTGCGGGCGACCGGGTCATCAAGGTGCGCCCGTCTCGCGCCCTCTCTTTCCCCTGCCCACGCACGCGCACAGCGACCTGACTCGACGTGACCCGCAGATCTGGGACTTGGCGTCGGGCGAGCTCAAGCTGTCGCTCACGGGCCACATCTCGACCGTGCGCGGCCTCGCCGTCTCGTCGCGGCATCCCTACCTCTTCTCGTGTGGCGAGGACAAAGTGCGTCTTCGCTCCCTTGTCTCCCTCTCTCTCTGGTCGACTGTGCGACTGACTTTGACGAGTGCGCCCGCAGATGGTCAAGTGCTGGGACTTGGAGACGAACAAGGTCATTCGGCATTACCACGGCCACCTTTCGGGCGTCTACTCTCTCGCGTGCGTCCCTATCTGTCCCTCTCTCTCCCTCATCCATGAACAGACCAACTCCTTCTCGAGCAGGCTGCACCCGACGCTCGACGTCCTCGTCACGGCCGGTCGCGACGCGTCGGCGCGAGTGTGGGACATGCGGACAAAGTCGCAGGTGCACATCCTCACGGGCCACACGGCCACCATCTCGGACGTCCAGTGCCAGGAGAGCGACCCGCAGGTCATCACGGGCTCGATGGACTCGACCGTTCGGTGCGTCCTCGCGCTCCCTCCCCTCTCCCTCGAGCCGGTCCTGACTCTCGCCCGCCTCGGCCGTCTCCCTACAGCCTGTGGGACCTCGCCGCCGGCAAGACGATGACGACCCTGACGCACCACCACAAGTCGGTGCGCTCGATCGCGATCCACCCGACCGAGTACTCGTTCGCGTCGGCGTCGGCCGGCGGGAACAACATCAAGAAGTGGGCCTGCCCGAACGGCACGTTCGTCCACAACTTCAGCGGCCACGACGCCATCATCAACAGCGTGTCGGTCAACCACGACGGCGTCTTCTTCTCTGGCGGTCCGTCCCTCGTTCCTCCTCCTTCTCTCCTGCTCTCGTCCGCCGACGACAGGAGCTGACTCGCTTTCTTTCCCCTGCAGGCGACAATGGCTCGATGACGTGGTGGGACTACAAGACGGGCCTGCCGTTCCAGACCGAGCAGGACAAGCCGCAGCCGGGCTCGCTCGACGCCGAGAGCGGCATCTTCTGCTCGACGTTCGACCAGACGGGCACCCGTCTGATCGTCGGGAATGCGGACAAGACGATCAAGGTACGTCAATCCTGTCCCTGGCGGTCTCTCGGGCGTTCAGGGGACTCACCGTACCTCTCGGCACGCAGGTCTACTCGGAGCAGTCGTGAGGAGGAGCAGGAGGGGGCGTCCCTCGCCGACTCGGGCTCGAGCGGGGCTGTACTTTGAGGTGAATGTGCGCAGGTGTCCATGCAGTGTACGCTGTGCCAGTTCTGCGTCGTCGTCGTCGTTGCGAGGAGAGGGACTGCGAGAGGAGCGAGAAGCGCTCTGTGCAGCGGCTCTTTCCTGTTTTGCTTTTCTCGCGCCGCTCTCACTTTCTACCGATGTTTCGAGAGCACATGAACGACGGCGAAGAGCGGCGGAACGGTAGCCTGCGCGAGGAGAGCAAGTCGGGCGAGAGCGGAGAGCGCGAGGAGGAGAAGCGAAATGCGACCCTCTCCTTGCGGTGCCCGACTGGCTAGATTGCGGCAGCTACGTACTGAGAAGCTCGGAATGGCTCAGGAACCAGAACGAAGCGCTGGTGAGAGCGAGAGGCGCTGCTGCTCCGGTTGGCCGCGGCGGCGTGGACGCTCGCGCTCCTCCCACCACCCGCACCCGCTCTTCTTCTCCCTCTTAGCCTCGCCAAGGGCTGTCGTGGGCTTAGTTGCAGTATCTGTGCCCTCCCTACCGCCTTCCGCCGCCTCTAGCAGCTCTGTGAGTCTCCCGCTCCTCATCAGTCCACAAACCCAACACCCTCGTACCTCGTCGACCACCCGCTCGGGAGGCCTATCGCAGCAGGGATAGGCTCCTGCATGGTGAAGGACCACCCTGCGCATGCGCGCGACGTCCCGGGACGAGGACTGACTCTGCTCGCGCCCCCTCCCCGTCGCACAGCCCCGCTCAACCTCTTCCTCCCGCCCACCACCTTCCCCCGAGTACACCACCCACCATGGCGGCCGACCTTCCGCTCGCGCTGAGCATCAGCTTCGCGCCCGAGTCGTCGACCATCTCGATGACGCTCTTCAACCAGCCCGAGGCGTCCAAGCCGGCCCTCCCGCTCGAGTTCAAGTACCAGTACAACCCGTCGACGCCGTACGCGCCCATCCACGAGGTCACCGACGACCGCAATGCCCGCATCAAGCAGGTACGCCGCCGCCTTTCACTGCACCCGCGCCCAAGTCTGAACCTCGAGGGCTAACCTCCCCACCCCATCCTCTTGCCTCTTCCCGCAGCACTACTGGGACCTGTGGAACCTGTCGGACGACAAGACGCAGGCGTTCAACCAGCTCAAGGTGTCGGACTCGTTCGAGGGCGAGCTCGTCGAGATCAACGCCGACGACATCGAGTCGTTCTGCCGCGTCGTCGGCATCGACGGCGAGGCGTACAAGCAGACGTACAAGGCCGGCATGGAGGTCCCGCTCGACTTTGCCATCAAGCTCAGCTGGAAGGTGCGTCGCCGCTGTCTCCTCGTCGCCGTGCCCAAGCCGAGCCCGTCCTGACCCTTCCCTCTTCCCCAACCCGCAGAGCATCATGAAGCCGATCTTCCCGTCCGAGGTCGACGGCGACCTGCTCAAGCTCGTCCACCTGTCGAACGGCTTCCGCGTCCTCCCCGGCGCGCCGACGCTCAAGGTCGGCGACGTCGTCACGACCTCGTCGCGCATCGACTCGATCACCAACTCGGACACGGGCAAGACGGTGTCGGTCCGCGGTACGGTCTACCTGTGCTCGACGGCCGACGCCAAGGGCAAGGACAACGCGACGGCCGACCGCGTCCCGATCATCGAGGTCTCGTCGTCGTTCTTCTACCGCGGCAAGTTCAACGACTTTGCCCAGACGTTCTCGCGCATCGAGCACCCGACCTACGCCGTCCCGCTCAAGACGCCCGAGAGCATCGCCGTCCTCATCTCGAAGGAGTGGTTCCAGTGGGACGACGACTCGAAGCCGCCCAAGGCCGGTACGACGCTCGAGTTCCGCGTCGAGTCCAACTACGTGTGGGCCGACAAGACGTCGTACGCGACGGCGACGTGCACCGGCGGCGCCTACATCATCACGCCCGAGCTCAAGCTCGCCGTCAAGGTGGCCACGATCGACTTCTCGTCCGAGGGCGAGGGCGTCATCAAGGGCAACCCGGTCCTCGAGTACCTCAAGCGCCACGGCACCCCGCTCGAGCAGCCCATCATGCTCGAGAACGGCGGCTACTCGCTCACGGCGCCCGGCCAGTGCGTCTTCACGACGCCGGCGTCCAACCTCGACTACTCGTTGACCTCGGGCGACACGAACCCGATCCACACGAACCCGTACTTTGCGTCGCTCGCGTCGCTCCCGGGCACCATCACGCACGGCATGCACTCGTCGGCGCGCACGCGCAAGTACGTCGAGCAGGTCGTCGCCGACAACGTCGGCGCGCGCGTGCGCAAGTACGAGGTCGGCTTCACGGCCATGTGCCTCCCGTCGCGCAAGATGGAGGTCCGCCTCAAGCACATCGGCATGACGACCGGCGGCGAGCGCCTCATCAAGGTCGAGACGGTCGACGTCGAGGCCGGCAACGTCGTCCTGTCGGGCACGGCCGAGGTCGCCCAGGCGCCGACCGCGTACGTGTTCACCGGCCAGGGCTCGCAGGAGCCCGGCATGGGCATGGAGCTGTACAACTCGTCGCCCGTCGCGCGCGCCGTCTGGGACGAGGCCGACCGCCACCTCGGCGAGGTGTACGGCTTCTCGATCCTCGAGATCGTGCGCACCAACCCCAAGGAGAAGACGGTCCACTTCGGCGGCCTCAAGGGCCAGGCGACGCGCCAGAAGTACATGGACATGACCTACACGACGACCGACACGGACGGCAACGTCAAGACGCTCCCCCTCTTTGGCGACATCGACCTGCGCACGTCGCGCTACACGTTTTCGTCGCCGACCGGCCTCCTGTACGCGACCCAGTTCGCCCAGATCGCGCTCGTCGTCACCGAGAAGGCGGCGTTCGAGGACATGCGCGCCAAGGGCCTCGTCCAGCACGATTGCGCGTTCGCCGGCCACTCGCTCGGCGAGTACTCGGCCCTCGCGTCCATCGCCGACATCCTGCCCATCTCGGCCCTCGTCGACGTCGTCTTCTACCGCGGCATCACGATGCAGCGCGCCGTCGAGCGCGACTCGCTCAACCGTTCGAGCTACGGCATGGTCGCCGTCAACCCGAGCCGCATCGGCAAGTCGTTCGGCGATGCCGCCCTGCGCGAGGTCGTCGACACGATCGCGCGCCGCGGCAACATCCTCATCGAGGTCGTCAACTACAACGTCGAGGGTCAGCAATACGTCGTCGCCGGCCACCTCGTCGCGCTCCAGTCGCTCACCAACGTCCTCAACTTCCTCAAGATCCAGAAGATCGACCTCGTCAAGCTCACCGAGACCATGTCGCTCGAGCAGGTCAAGGAGCACCTGTGCGACATCGTCGACGAGTGCGTCGAGAAGGCGCGCGAGCTCCAGGCCAAGACGGGCTTCATCACGCTCGAGCGCGGGTTCGCCACGATCCCGCTCCCCGGCATCGACGTGCCGTTCCACTCGCGCTACCTGTGGGCCGGCGTCATGCCTTTCCGCACCTACCTGTCGAAGAAGGTCAACCCGGCCCACTTCAACGCCGACCTCCTCGTCGGGCGCTACATCCCCAACCTGACGGCCGTCCCGTACGAGGTCTCCAAGGAGTACGCCGAGCGCATCCACGCCCAGACGAGCTCGCCCCGCCTCAACAAGATCCTCAAGGCGTGGGACGAGGAGAGCTGGGGCGCGCCCGAGAACCGCAACAAGCTCGGCTACGCCATGTGCGTCCCCTCTTCCTCCCTCTCCCCCTCCCTCTTCCTCCTCTCTCAGTTGTCGATGAGCTTGTGCGTCAGTGAGCGTGTCCCTGACCCCTCTCGTGCTCGTGCGCAGCCTCATCGAGCTCCTGTCGTACCAATTCGCGTCGCCGGTCCGCTGGATCGAGACGCAGGACATTCTCTTCAAGGAGTTCAAGTTCGAGCGTCTCGTCGAGCTCGGCCCGTCGCCGACCCTCACGGGCATGGCCACCCGCACCCAGAAGTGCGTCGCGCCTCTCCCTCTCTCTCCCTCCCTCCCTGCCTCGCACGGACCCTCTCTTTCTCTCGAGCACGTCGCTGACTGTCTCCTCGCCCACCGCCTCGCAGGCTCAAGTACGACGCCCACGACTCGGCCCTCGGCGTCAAGCGCGTCATCTACTGCATCGCCAAGAACCAGAAGGAGATCTACTACCTCCACGACGACGTCGCCGGCGGTGACGACGCTCCCGCTCCCGCCGCCGCCGCGCCGGCTGCGCCCGCCCCGAGGGCCGCCCCGGTCGCCGCTGCGCCTCCTCCGCCTGCGCCTGTCGCCGCCGCCGCCGGCCCGGCCGCGTCGGTCGCCGACGAGCCGCTCAAGGCCGTCGACACGCTGCGCCTCATCATCGCGCAGAAGCTCAAGAAGCAGATTCCGGACGTCCCGCTCGGCAAGTCGATCAAGGACCTCGTCGGCGGCAAGTCGACGCTCCAGAACGAGATCCTCGGCGACCTCCAGGGCGAGTTCGCCTCGGCGCCCGAGAAGGGCGAGGAGATGCCGCTCGCCGAGCTCGGTGCGGCGCTCCAGCAGGGCTACCCGGGCAAGCTCGGCAAGTACACGACGGGCCTCGTGTCGCGCATGGTCGGCTCCAAGATGCCCGGCGGGTTCGGCCTGTCGGCGGTCCAGGGCCACCTCGCCAAGTCGTTCGGTCTCGGCGCCGGCCGCATCGACGGCGTCCTCCTGTTCGCGACGACGCAGGAGCCCGCCAAGCGCCTCGGCAACGAGGGCGAGGCCAAGGGCTGGGTCGACACGGTCGCCCAGGGCTACGCCTCGTTCGCCGGCATCTCGCTCTCGTCGGGCGGTGGCGCCGCCGCCGCGCCGCAGATGTCGTTCGCCGCCCCTGTCGGCGGTGGCGGCGGCGGAGGAGCGCCCGCCGCCGTCCCCGACGAGCCGCTCAAGGCCGTCGACACGCTCCGGGCCATCATCGCGCAGAAGCTCAAGAAGCAGATTCCGGACGTCCCGCTCGGCAAGTCGATCAAGGACCTCGTCGGCGGCAAGTCGACGCTCCAGAACGAGATCCTCGGCGACCTCCAGGGCGAGTTCTCGTCGGCCCCGGAGAAGGGCGAGGAGCTCCCGCTCTCCGAGCTCGGCGCCGCGCTCAACCAGGGCTACCCCGGCACGCTCGGCAAGTACACGACGGGCCTCGTGTCGCGCATGGTCGGCGCCAAGATGCCCGGCGGGTTCGGCCTCGCCGCCGTCAAGGGCCACCTCAACAAGGCGCACGGCCTCGGGCCCGGCCGCACCGACGGCGCGCTCCTCGTCGCGCTCACCAAGGAGCCCGAGAAGCGTCTCGGCAGCGAGGCCGAGGCCAAGACGTGGCTCGACGGCGTCGCGGCGGCGTACGCCTCGCAGGCCGGCGTGTCGCTCGGCGCGGCCGGCGGCGGCGGCGGCGGCGGCGGCATGATGGGCGGCATGATGGTCGACACCGAGGCGCTCGACAAGCTCCAGGCCAAGCAGGACACGTTCGTCGAGCAGCAGGTCGAGGTCTTCCTGCGCTACCTCGGCAAGGACTCGCGCGACGGCCACCGCCTCGCCGACCTCCAGAAGGCCGAGGTCGCCGCGCTCCAGAGCCAGCTCGACGCCATCTCGCGCGAGCACGGCGAGGCGTACGTCCAGGGCATCCAGCCCGTCTTTACGCCGCTCAAGGCGCGCCACTTCAACTCGTCGTGGAACTGGGTCCGCCAAGACGCCCTCACCATGTGGATGGACATCCTCTTTGGCCGCCTCACGACCGTCGACCGCGACATCACGGCGCGCTGCCTCGTCATCATGAACCGCGCCGACCCGGCCCTGGTGCGTCCCTCTCTCCCCCTTTCCGACGCCGCCTTTCTTTCGACGTCGACTGACCTTCTCTCGCCTCGTCTCTCTCTCGCAGATCGACTACATGCAGTACACGATCGACAACTGCCCGACTGAGCGCGGCGAGAAGTACGTCCTCGCCAAGCAGTTCGGCCAGACGCTCCTCGACAACTGCCGCGAGATGATCGGCCAGGCGCCGCTGTACAAGGACGGTGCGTCTCTCTCTCCTTTTCACTCGTCGAGCGGCGGTGCGTCTCGCAGCGACGAGGCACTGACTCTGGCCCCTCCCTCGCGGACAGTCACCTTCCCGACCGCGCCCAAGACGAGCATCTCGGCCAAGGGCGACATCATCGTCGAGGAGGTCAACCGCGAGGGCGTGTCGCGCCTCGAGAAGTACGTCGCCGAGATGGCGGCCGGCTCCAAGGTGACGGTCCAGAGCGTCAACCTCGACAAGGTCCAGGAGCAGGTCGAGAAGCTGTACAAGCTCGTCAAGTCGCAGCCGCAGATCTCGAAGCAGCACATGACGTCGATCAAGTCGTTGTACGCCGAGGTCGTCCGTGGTCTCGGCAAGGACGCGCCGCCGCCGTCGGCGCACAAGATTGGCGGCCGCACCCGTCGCCCGTCGAGCCAGTTCCTGCGCCCGGCCGCCGTCCCCGACGCGACCTTCCTCCCCGAGGACAAGCTGCCGCTCCTGCACCTCAAGCGCAAGATCGGCCACGAGTGGCAGTACTCGAGCAAGCTCACGTCGCTGTACCTCGACATCCTCAAGGAGATCGCGACGTCGGGCGTCACGTTCGAGCACAAGAACGCCCTCATGACGGGCGTCGGCAAGGGCTCGATCGGCATCGAGATCGTCAAGGGCCTGCTCGCTGGCGGTGCGCGCGTCGTGATCACGACCTCGCGCTACTCGCGCTCGACGTGCGTCCCGCTCCCTCTCCCTCTCTCTCTTTCTCTCTCCCTCGCACGGACCTTCCCTCCGGTCCGAACCCTCTCCTGACCCTCCCTCTCTCATGCGCCCACAGCGTCGAGTACTACCAGGCCATCTACCAGGAGTGCGGCTCCAAGGGCTCGTCCCTCACGGTCGTCCCGTTCAACCAGGGCTCGAAGCAGGACGTCGAGGCCCTCATCGACTACATCTACAGCAAGGACAAAGGTCTCGGCATGGACCTCGACTACATCCTCCCGTTCGCCGCCCTGCCCGAGAACGGTCGCGAGATCGACGGCATCGACGACCGCTCCGAGCTCGCGCACCGCATCATGCTCACCAACCTGCTGCGCCTCCTCGGCGCCGTCAAGAGCAAGAAGGCGGCCCTCAAGCTCACGACGCGCCCGACCGAGGTCGTCCTCCCGCTGTCGCCCAACCACGGCTTGTTCGGCAACGACGGCCTGTACTCCGAGTCCAAGATCTCGCTCGAGACGCTCTTCAACCGCTGGAGCTCCGAGTCGTGGGGCGAGTACCTGTGCATCGCCGGCGCCGTCATCGGTGCGTCCTCGTCCCCCCTTTCCACTCTCCCTCGAGGTCGTCCCCTCGCCGTCGTCCGAACCTGAACCTGACCACGTGGTCTTCCTCTCGTCCTCGTCCACAGGTTGGACTCGCGGCACGGGCCTCATGAACGCGACCAACTCGGTCGCCGAGGGCATCGAGGCGCAGGGCTGCCGCACGTTCTCGGCCAAGGAGATGGCGTTCAACATCCTCGGCCTCATGCACCCGCTCGTGTTCGACGTCGCGCAGATTGAGCCCGTCTGGGCAGACGTGCGTCCCGCTCTCTCGCTCTCTCTCTCTGTGTCCCTCTGTCACGGACACGTCACTTACGTCGCCCCCCTGTGCGCCCGCAGCTCAACGGCGGCATGGACCGGCTCCCGGACCTCGCCAACCTCACGACCGACATCCGCACCAAGCTCAACCTCACGGCCTCGACCCGTCGCGCCATCGCCAAGGACAACGCGATCGACTACAAGGTGCAGCACGGCCCCCAGGCCGAGCAGATCCACCAGCAGATCACGGTCGCGCCGCGCGCCAACTTCTCGCTCCCGTTCCCCGAGCTCAAGCCGGTCGACGCCTCGTCCGAGCTGGCCAAGCTGCGCGGCCTGATCGACCTCGACAAGGTCGTCGTCATGACGGGCTACGCCGAGGTCGGCCCGTTCGGCTCGTCGCGCACGCGGTGGGAGATGGAGGCGAACGGCACCTTCTCGATCCAGGGCACGCTCGAGCTCGCGTACGTCATGGGCCTTATCAAGCACTTCGACGGGCGCCTCAAGAGCGGCGCGCTGTACGTCGGCTGGGTCGACGCCAAGACGAACGAGCCGCTCGACGACAAGGACGTCAAGGCCGCCTACGAGAAGCACATCCTCGCCCACACGGGCATCCGCCTCATCGAGCCCGAGCTGTTCGGCGGCTACGACCCCAAGAAGAAGGGTTTCACGCAGGAGATCGAGATCCAGCACGACCTCGAGGCGATCGAGGCGAGCGAGGAGGACGCGGCACGGTTCAAGCGCGAGCACGGCGCCATGGTCGACGTGTACGAGGACGAGGGCAAGTCGTTCGTCAAGTTCAAGAAGGGCGCCAAGCTCCACATCCCCAAGGCCGTCGTCTTTGACCGCGTCGTCGCAGGCCAGAGTGCGTCCCTCGCTCTCTCTCTCTCCCTCCCTCTCTTTCTGCGGCCCCTCGTCAGACTCGTTACTGACGTGCTCCTCGTCGTCGTCGTCTGCTCGCAGTCCCGACCGGCTGGTCGCACAAGGCGTTCGGCATCCCGGACGACATCGCGTCGCAGGTCGACCGCACCGCTCTCTGGGCCCTCGTCTCGGTGTCCGAGGCGCTCGTCATGGCCGGCATCACCGACCCGTACGAGCTGTACAAGTACGTGCACCCGAGCGAGGTCGGCTCGTCGCTCGGCTCGGGCATGGGCGGCATCACGTCCATCTCGAAGATGTTCCGCGACCGTCGCGAGGAGAAGGACGTCCAGAAGGACATCCTCCAGGAGACGTGCGTCCACCTCTCTCTCTCTCTTTCCTCGAGACGTGCCGTCGAGGCGAGGGCCCATCCGTTTACTGACTCGCTCGCCCTCGTTGCGCTCGTTCCCCCTCGCAGCTTCATCAACACGGTCGCCGGCTGGGTCAACCTGCTCCTCCTGTCGTCGTCGGGCCCGATCAAGATCCCGGTCGGCGCGTGCGCCACCGCGCTCCAGTCGGTCGAGATCGCGTGCGACACCATCCTGAGCGGCAAGGCCAAGATCATGATCGCTGGCGGCTACGACGACTTCTCCGAGGAGGGCTCGTACGAGTTCGCCAACATGAAGGCGACGTCCAACAGCGAGACCGAGTTCGCCGCCGGCCGCGAGCCGAACGAGATGTCGCGCCCGACGACGAGCACCCGTGCCGGCTTCATGGAGTCGATGGGCTGCGGCGCCCAGGTCCTCATGTCGGCGCAGACCGCCATCTCGATGGGCGCGACCATCTACGGCATCGTCGCCTACACGGCCACCGCGACCGACAAGGCCGGTCGCTCGATCCCTGCGTGCGTCGGCATCGTCTCCCTTCTCTTCCCCTCTCCTCTTCCTCGCCGTCCCTGACTCGCTCTTCCTCTTTGCCTCTCACAGTCCGGGTCGCGGCGTCATGGGCACCGCTCGCGAGGTCAAGTCCAAGTACCCGTCGCCCATCCTCGACGTCACGTACCGCCGCCGCCAGCTCGAGTTCCGCCGTCACCAGATCTCGCAGTGGTTCGAGAACGAGACTCAGCTCCTCAAGATGGAGGTCGACTCTCGCGCCGGCGAGGAGCTCCCCAAGGACTTCGTCGGCGAGCGCTTCGCCGCCATCGAGCGCGAGGCCAAGCGCCAGGAGTCCGAGGCCCTCAACACGTACGGCATGCTCGCCGGCTCGGACCCGTCGATCGCGCCCATGCGCCGCGCTCTCGCCGTCTGGGGCCTCACGATCGACGACGTCGGCGTCGCTTCGGTACGCCCATCTCTCCCTTCTCTCCTCGAGTCGTCGTGGTCGAGCAGCGTCCTGACGTCCTCACCTTCTCGCAGTTCCACGGCACGTCGACTGTCGCCAACGACAAGAACGAGTCGAACGCGTACAACGAGCAGTTCAAGCACCTCGGTCGCGCCAAGGGCAACGCCGTGCCCGTCATCGCGCAAAAGTGGCTCACCGGCCAGTGCGTCGCCTCGTTCTCTCGCTCTCTCCTTCGCCGTGGACGTGTCCCTGACCTCATCTCCCTCTCCTTCCTCTCGCAGCCCCAAGGGTGGCGCCGCCGCCTGGATGCTCAACGGCATCGCGCAGTGCATCCTGAGCGGCCTCGTGCCGGGCAACCGCAACGCCGACAACGTCGGCGAGGAGCTGCGCGCCTTCGAGTACCTCCTGTACCCGTCCAAGTCGATCCAGACCGACGGCATCAAGGCCGGCCTCCTCACGTCGTTCGGCTTCGGCCAGGTCGGCGGCCAGGCGCTCATCATCCACCCGAGCTACCTCATCGGCTCGCTCGAGCCCGAGCAGTTCGCGGCGTACAAGGACAAGAACGACGTCCGCCGCAAGGCCTCGTACCGCCGCTTCAACGACGTAAGTCCCAGCTTCTCTCTCTCTCTCTCTCTCTCTACGAGGTCTCGTGGTCGCAGCCGACTCACGTCCTTCTTTCCTTCCTCGCCTCGCAGTTCATGTCGATCGGCAAGCTCGTCGTCATCAAGGACGGCTCGCCCTTCTCGGCCGAGCAGGAGAACCCGACGCTCCTCAACCCGCTCGTGCGCGCCGTCGAGGACGGCAAGGGCTCGTTCACGATGCCCAAGGTCTTCCCGACCGCGCTCGCGGCGGCCAAGTCGACCAACGCCGACATCGCCCACAAGCTCATCACGACCGCCACCGACGCCGTGCACGGCGTCGGCACCGACGTCGAGCTCATCAGCGCCCTCCCGATGAGCGAGTCGTTCATCTCGCGCAACTTTACCGAGGGCGAGATCGCCTACTGCCAGGCCGCCGCCGACCCTCGCGCGTCGTTCGCCGCTCGCTGGAGCTCGAAGGAGGCCGTCTTCAAGAGCCTCAAGACGCAGAGCAAGGGCGCCGGCGCGTCGCTCAAGGACGTCGAGGTCGTCTCGACGCCGACCGGCCCGCAGGTCGAGCTCCACGGCGAGGTCAAGGCCATCGCCGACAAGGCCGGCATCAAGAGCTTCGAGCTCAGCATGTCGCACAGCGACGACACGGCCGTCGCCGTCGTCATCGCTCGCTCGTAGACGAGAGCAGGAGCGTAGAAGATCGAATAGAGGAGGCGAGAGGAGACGAGGGGGAGGAGGAGGACGAGGGGTTCTGGCTTAGTCGTTCTGGAACCGCAGCTTTCTGTTCGATGCATCGCGCCGCTCTCGCTCTCAGTGTGAGAGAAGAACGAGAGAGAAAGCGACTCTGCTCAATTCTCAAGCGACCCTGTCGACCTTCTCGACCGCGACCTTCTCAAGCCCAGCCTTTTCCTCTCGCGTCACTACTCCTGCTTGAGCGCGTCCTCCCACTCGTCCTCGACCTTGACCGACGCCTTGCCCTTCTTCTGCGCGGGCGCCCACTTGCCCCTCGCCTCGAGCGCCGCCTTGCGCTCGGGCCTCGAGCCCCACGAGGAGGACGACGACGCCGGGGCAGGCGCGCCAAAGTCGAGGACCTTGAGATCGAGCGGCGCGGCGCCGCCGGCGCCGTCGAGCACGTCGTCGTCGCTCTCGCCCTCGTGCGACGACGAGTGAAAGTCCATCTTGGGCGCCTTGCGCTTCTCGGCTTTGCCGCCCTTGAGAGTCGGCGACGACGGGAGCTTGCGCTTCTTGGCCGCCGGACGCTTGACGGGCGGCGTCACGTCGTCGTCGGACGTGCACGGCGTCATCTCGGACGAGCTCGAGCGCTTGACCCTGCTCGAGCTCGAGGCGGCGCCCGCGGCCGTAGTCGCGCTCGGGGTCGAACCAGGCGCGACGACGATGTCGCCGTTCTCGTCGAGCTTGAGCGGCGGCTGCGTGCTGCCCGTCGTGCCGTCGGGGACGTAGACGTAATCGAGGTCGACCGGGACCTCGGGCGGCGGGCGCGACAGCGGCGAGATGTTCGTCGCCGGGCCGTGCGAGATGAAGCGCTCCTTGGCGGCGGTGAGCTCGTCGCGAGTCATGAAGGCTGCGTGAGGAGAGTAGTCAGTGCGTGATCTCGATGTGCGGGACGAGGAGGAAGAAGAAGTGCGAGGACGCACCGAGCGTGCCGTACAAGGACGGAGCGATCTTGGACGCGTGCTGGCCCGTGATTTGCAGAACACTCTGCGACAGGGAAAGGAGCTTATCAGATATCGTCGTACAGCGAGAGAAAGAGAGAGAAGAGGCGCACCATGGCGTCGGTCTGCGCGAGGAAGAGAGGGCGAGTGAGCGACCTGTCTCGAGGCAAATCGCTCGGAAAAGAGAAAGACCCTGAGGCGGACGCACCTTGAACGCGGACGGCGCATAGCCGCAGCACTCGACGAGCACCCTGTCGACCGCCTCGACCACCGTGACATCGTACGCGTCCTCGACGTAGACCGACGGGATCCAGGGCCTGTCCAGACAAAGGTTTTCGTGAGCGACACACGCGCCAGGAAGGCGACGCAGGGAGAAAGGGGAAGACGCACATGTTGTCGTTCTGCCGGTCGGACGTGACGCGAGCGTAGACGGCACCGGCGGCGGCGAGGCGGCCACCACGGCTTGCGAGCTCCTCGACGACGCGGCGCCACGCCGAGTCGATGTCGTCCTCGTCGAGGTAGGCCATCCACGCGCCGCCGACGATGCCGTGCTTGCGCGCGAGGATGGCGAGATAGTGCTTGAACTTGGCGTGCTCCCTCTCGCGGACTGTGAGGGAAGAGGGAGAGGATGAGCCCGTTGGCTCCATGCGATCGAGGCGAGAAAATGAGAGTGGACGCACGCTGCTTCTGCGACGTCGTGCCGTTCTTCTTGCTGCCGCGAATCGGAGCGTGATCCTGCGTCGTGCCGAGGAACAGTGAGCCGCTCGTGTCGCCGGAGAGAGTCGCTCGGCGGCGGTTCTGGAAGGGAGGACGCACGGCGATGATTTTGCACTCCCTGTTCATGGCCGACTCGAAGCGCATGGCGTCGGTCTTGAAGTCGTCAAACTCGCCGCTGAAGACGTCGACGCCGGCGGGCTCGTCGACCTGGTCGTCGCGCTCGCACGAGAAGAAGCGCGGCGAGCGCAGGCCATGGCTCGGCGTGAAGTCGGAGAGGAACTTGTCGACCTCGGCCTGCGTGGATGGCCCGGTGAGCTGTTGCGAGGGGAGAGAGAGAGGTGAGCGATGAGGCGGGGAAAGAGGGAGATGAGGCCGCGAGGTGGCTCACGAGAGCGACTGCAGGGCGTGGGGGCTCGTCAGTAGGGCTACTGAGGGTGTAGAAGTGGGCTGGACGCACCCTTGACCATCTCGAGTGTGTCGCGGCGAGTCGAGGTGAGGACGAGGAGCGAGAAGAGCGACGAGGACGACGAAGGCCCGACGTTCGTCCCGCCGGACTCTCCGCGGACCCGGGCAGCCAGGAGCAAGGTCGCAGCGTGCACCGACACACGCAGTACAAGGACTGGGAGAAGATCCGGCTGCGAGACGGCGCGAGAGATCGAGCGAGGAAGCGACTCGCGCACAGACCGCCGACGCTCGGCTCGCCTCGACAACCTCGCGCTTGCACCTGCACGCCGTGCTACGTGCCGCCACCTCTCTGCCTCGCTCTCCAGCCCTCCTTGCGCCGCTCCTTGCGCCGCCGCAGGTCCTCCCGCCGAGCGCGCGCCGCCTCCTCCCTCAACACCTTGCGCAGGACCCGGCCGAGGTCCTCCCGCCCTCGGTGCTCGAGCCCGCGCGCAAACAGCTTGAGCTCGCGCTCGCGACTTTGACGCCATGCGTCGGGGTCGAGGGTGCGGGTTGCGGGCGAGGCGAGCGCGGCGGCGACGGCCTTGGCGGCGACGGCGTCGTGATCTGGACCGGCGGCGGCGGCGACGAGAACGAGCGGCGCGAGGTCGATGCCGAGTCGGGCACGGACGAGGACGGCGAGCTTGGCCGTGTCGTACTCGCGCCGCCAGCGAACCGCGTCCTTGAGGACGAGGTGGTCGAGCTCGGCCTGCCAGGGCACGACCCGCTCGTCGCCGTCCCGCTTGGCCGCCGCCGCCGCTGCCGCCACCGCCTCGCCATCGCCCGCCGTACACGACGACGCCGCGAGCTTCCTGCTCCACTCGCGCGCCGTGTCCCGCACGCGCCGCATCTGCGCCTTGCCGCCGCCGCGCCTCGCCGTCCGCTCGACGACGACGTCGCGCTCGCCGTGCGCGCCGACGACCTCGACGCGGCGCACCTTGATGTCCTCGCGGCGCATCTCGCGCTCGACGAGGAGCGCCGCCGTGCGCGCGTGCGGCGCGATCCCGTCCTCGCGCTCCATGCGCGAGACGAGCTTGTGCACCATGCCGGTCGGCGCATGCGTCGCGCAGACCGACAGGTAGGCGTGCCACAGGCGGTCGAGGGGCACCTTGGTGGACGACAGGAGGCGGGCGCGGCGGAAGGCGGTGGTCGCGAGGCGGACTCGAGTCGACGAGGTGGCGTCGTCTGTGCTCGGGCGGGCGAGGGCGGCAAAGTACAGCTCGCAAAGGTGGATCGTCGGCTCGAGTATCGGGTGCGCATGCAGGGTGCTCCAGGCGTGGCGTACGAGCGTCGTGTCGGGCGACTTGAGGAGCGCCTCGCAGTGCGCGAGCGAGAGCCCGCTCGACGGGATGGCGTCGAACAGGCGCCGAGCATCGCTCGTGTTGCCGGAGCGCAGGAGGTGCCGCAACGCGCCGATGACCATCGAGCCCTCGAGGAGCTTGTGCTGCGCCGGCGACTGGAGCAGCGCGACGACGACGTCCGTGACGAGCGGCGCGACGAGCGCCGGGTCGACCTTGAACTCGCGCTGCAGCCGCCGTATGGCCACCTCGACGTCGCGCACCTGCTGCAGCGAGACGGTCTCGAGCTGCTCGATGGCGACAACGAGCCTGCTGGCCCACCGCGACACGCGCTCGACGTCGTGCCGGCCGAGGTCGTTCTGGGCGAGGTGCTTGATCGCGTTGAGGACGACTGTGAGGCGCAGCTCGGGGTGAAGGTCCGGGTGAACGACGAGCGCCTCGAGCAGGTCGACGCGGCGTGCGCGGTTAACGGCGCTGGCGAACGCCTTGAGGAGCCCGCGCGTAGGCGTGTAGCCGTCGGCGAGCACGCGCTTCGAGACGAGGTTGAGGATGTGGCGGTCGGTCGTGGACGACAGGTTCGACGGGAAGAAGAAGCGGTTCTCCTCGGTGCGGGTTGGCGGGTACAGGAGGGCCAAGAAGGCGCCGAGGATGCTTGCCTCGAGGCGGTCGGGCGCGGCAGCGGCGTCAGGCTGAAGCCGTGACGCCTCGTACGCCCGCCAGGCCCACAGGCCGAGCACGGGCCGCGCCAGGCTGTACCTCGAGGGCGAGTGCGCCTCGAGGGATCGGGCCTCGGGCTCGACCGGCGCCTCGAAGCCGACAAAATGGAGGACCGACGCGACCGTCTGGGCGCTGACGGGCGCCTGCGCCGTGTCGAGACGGCCGAGCAGCTTCGTCAGGTGACGAAGCTGGCCTTCGCGCCACGCGTGCGGGTCGACGTCGACGCCGGTCGCCTCGGGCACCGTGCACACTGTGACGAGCAGGTCGAGCGCCTGCAGCTCGTCGACGCGGTCCTCGGCATGTTGCCGCTCGCGCTCAGCCGTCTCGTGCGCGGTACTGCGCTGCGCCTGGTCCGGCGCGGGCACCTTGCGGCGCGCGAGGAGGCCGAGGGCACTGGCGCCGAGGAAGAGGGCGTGGAGGAGGAAGGGCGTGAGGAGGCCGTCGCGAGCGGCGCGCGGTTCTGGGTCGAGGCGGATAAGGGGAGGAGGGATGGGCGGGTGCTGGTTGTCGTCGTCTGCGCTCGACGCGGATCGGGCACGAAGGACGATGTCGGCCGCCGAGGAGGACGGGGAGGCGGCGAGGGCGGTGCGGGCACGCCCTAGCGCGAGAGGGAGCTCGCGAGCGACGTCGATGGCGTGTGCGTCTTGCCGAGCGGATGCGGGTCGGGCGTCGAGCGGTGGTCGGGCAGGGAAGGGGTCGTCGAGGCGGACAGCTGTGAGGAAGGAGGATGGGTCAGTCGGACGACGGCGTGAAGAGGCAGAGGGGTGGGCGGACCGCTTGTAGATGCCACTGGAGCATGCACGGGCGCGCTCGACAGCGAACCCTGCCCTCGCCAGCTTCCTCCAACTTGAGCCCGTCTCGACGAGCTGGCCCGGTGCTCGTCTTCCCACGAGACAGGGCGGTCGGCCGGTGCTTCTTGCCGCCTCCTGGGTAGCGCGTGTCGCTCTGGCGTGGTGGACACGGCTCGGCGAGGGGCTGGTGGTCGAGGAGCCGGCGCAAGGCGGAGAGATGGCGCGAGGAAGGGGAGGAGGAGCGACCGTCCCGCGAGCGCATCGAGCGCGGCTCTGCGCGACATCGAGAGGCGTGTAGCAAGCCCGGGTGCTGTCCTCGAGTGCACGCGAGGCGGTGGGGGGCGTTGGTGTGAGCTGCTCCTCCTCGCGCCGAGCCGCTCGCCTCTCTGCTTCCTTCGCCTCACTCGCCCCTCGGCGACTGCTCAGAGTCCAGCGACAAAGACTGCGATTCGTCGCTGCACACGGCCAGACTCGGGGGAGGAGCCGTGCTCTCTCTCTCGTGCTCTCGCTCGCTGTTCGCGACGGGGTCAAGGTCCGAGTCTTCCACCCTCCCTCCGAGCTCGCCCCAGCCGGGCAAGTCGCTCAGTCGACGGCGCGCACCACCAGACACGACGAGCCTCCTTCGAGAGGCCACTTGCGCCATCCCCACGACCGCCGCCGCTCGCTCGCCGACCCTGCGCGAGGACCGCCGCACGCTCGACCACGCCGGTTTCGACCAGCGGGCCCGCCGCCCAGAGACGCCCCTCAAGGGGGAAGAGGGCAGGGTCAGAGCGAGGGCTGCTTCTCTCTCGAGGGAGCGGCTCGTTTGCAGCGCAGCGAGGGCCGGTTGCGGCGGCAGTCGGGGCGGCTTCAAGTTGGGATGTGCGCGAGGAGGGTGCGGTGCCCTGTCCTGTCTCGCTCCCTCGGCCGGTTCTTCCTTCGCCGGGCGCACTCGTGTGCGCTCGCAGGGAGACCGGGTCGGGTTGGCGCACGACGAGGCGGGCCCGCTTGAGTGCAATTCGCAGTGCGCGACTCAAGGTCGCGCAACTCGATTCGGACTACTCTTGGCGCTGGACTTCTCTACTCTTTCTCGAGAGGGCGCCTTTCACGGGAATGACGATGCCCCTCGCTGCGCTCCTCGGCGCGTCGCGCTTCTGCGGGACCGCCAGGAGCGAGCGAGGGCGGGAACTGTGCAGCGAGCCCACTTGGCGGCTCGCCCCGATTCCTGACCCGGGCGCCCTCTCTCTCTCTTTGTTAGCGTCTCCTCCCGTGCAACGCGTTCTCCTCTTCCTCTCAAGCATGCGCGAGAGAGTCGGCGAGAGTCCGTTACTTCCGAGCCAGCCTCGCGAGGAAAGCTCTCTCGCTCGCGCTCGCTCCTCTCGCAGGACGGCTCGCCAGGACGGTCAAGAACAGCATAGAAGCGAAGCGCAAATAGGGAGGGGCAAACTACAGGAGGAGAGAACGAAAGGCGAAGAAGGAAGGGAAGGAAAGGAAGGGAGCGCTCGACTCAGTACTGCAGCTCGCCGAGGACGCCCCTCGCCGCCGAGCGCGTGCTGCGCGTGAGCGGCTTGCTGGCTGCGGCGGGCGTCTGCAGGTCGACCGTGACGACTCGGTTGCGGAGCGACCGCTGCAGCACGCCCGGCGGCGTCGCGCTCCTCACGGCGCCACGTGGCTCGACGTCGACCTCGACGTCGGCGAGCGCGAGCGCCGTGCCCGCCATCGACGACGCCTCGTGCTCCGACTCGGTCTCGTCGTGGAACCGCAGCTGGGTGCGCTCGAGCTCGAAGCACGCGCTCTCGTCGCCGAGGAGCGACATGTCCCACGGGTTCGGGGCGGCGAGGGCGCCCGAGCGCGACGAGGGCGTGCTCGAGACGGGTGCGCCGAAGAAGGAGAAGTCTTGCGTCGTCGACGAGTTGTCGGGAGAGGCGGGCGAGGCGCGGAAGGGGTCCTCGGCCTCGGCCTCGGCGCCGGTGGTCGCGATGGCGGTGCTGCTGCTCGTCGAGGCGGCGACCTCCTCAACCGGCTCCTCGGCAACGCCGCGCTCAGGCGAACGACCCATGCGCGTCGTCTCGGCCGACGCCTGCGCCTCGTCGACGCTGCTGTCGTCGTACTCGGTCTCGCCATCGTCCTCGGCGGCCGGCGACGGCGAGCGCGTGCGCACCGTGTCGTCGAACGCGCTCGCGTCGTGGAGCGGGATGAAGTACAGGCGCGACGACTCGTAGCTCGCGCTGCGGGCGTCGCTGGACGCGGCCGGGGACGGCTCGGCGGCGCGCTCGGTACCGGCGAGCGAAGTTTCGTCGCCGCCGTCCTCCTCCTGCTTCTCCTCCTCCGACGCGTCGGCGTCGACGCTGTCGAGCGACTCGTCCGCCTCGAACGTCGTGTCGACGTCGTCGTGCGGCGACGCCGGCTGGTAGTCGTCGAGGAAGACGGCCTGCGGGCGCTCGGACCTCGGCGCCGGCGACGGCGACGCGACCTTGCGAGCGAGCGGCGACGCCGGGAGCACAGCGTCCTCGCCGACATCGTCGCCGTCGTCGCTCTCCTCGTGCTCGGCGACCGGCGGGGCGACGCCAGGCAGCGCGACTCGTGCGCCTGGAAGCCGAACGACGCCGGGCAGGTCGTCGAGCCTCGGCGGCGTGTCGAGCATGATGGACGCCGTCTGCCACGGCTCGGGCGAGTACTGGAGGGTCGAGGCCGGGAAGCGGACCGAGGGGCGGGCAGGGGTGGCGGTCGCGGGCGTGGGAGGGAGCGCAGGGCGGGTGACGGGTGCAGGGGTCGAGGTTGGGGCGGGAGAAGAGGCGAGGAAGGGCGTGCGAGGTGCCGAGTCGGTCGCAAAGGCGGGCACGAGCGCAGGCTGCGTGGCGTCGGGCCGAGGCGTGCGGGCGCTCGCGGATGAGGGCGTGCGAGCGTGGCGGGACGACGGCGACTCGGCGCTGTTGCCGAGGGCCGAGCTGACCTCGTTCTCGCTCACCTCGTCGTTGTGCTGGACCGAGGCGCTCGCAAGGAGCGGCGACGGCGGGAGCGCGTCGTACGACGGGGCGCGAGCGCGGACGGGCGATGGCGCCGACACGGGTGACTGCTCGACTGCGGGACGAGCCGCCGAGTGCTCGTCCGCTGCGGCTGCATCGTCGACGCTGTCGTGAGACGGCACGACAGCGACGAGCGCCGGCGGGCTGCCGACGTGAGCGGGCTCGTCGTCCTGGGCGACGGCGACGACCGGCGACGACAGCTCGTCCTCGTGCGCGACCTCATCCGGCGCCGGCGCACCCTCGACGACAAGCGAGTCATCGGCAGGCTCGGCCTCGATGATGTTGAGCAGCGACGCAGGCTCCTCGTCCTCGACGACGGACGACTCGACATCGACGGCTTGCTGCGCCGGCGTGTCGGCGCGCTCGACCTGCTCGACAGCGCGCTCGACGATGGGCTCCGACTGCTCGACGTCGGGCGAGACGTCGGGAGCGCCCACGTCGCCGGCGTCGGTCGCCTGCGACTCGGCGAGCACCATCTCGCTGTGCATGCCGCGCTCCTCCTCGACGTCCATCTCGGCGGCGGCGGCGGCGACGACGTCCTCCACGTCCTGCGCGCGCTGCGCGACCTCGATCGGCGCCGCTGCGAGCCGCTCCTCGGCTGCCTCCTGGACGTCCTCCTCGAGCGGGAGCGGTACGGCCCTCGCGCGCTCCTGCTCCCGCTCGGCCCGCTCGCGCTCCTCGCGCTCGACGGCAACGCGGCTCGCCTCCTCGGCCCGCACACGCTGCCGCTCCTCCTCCTCGCGCTCGTGCTCCCTCGCGCGGCGCCGCTCCTCCTTGTCCTTCTCCTCCTCCGCGGCGGCGGCAGCAGCCTCGGCCTTGACAGACTCCTCGTCGGCCCCCGCCGCCCTCGCCGCCTCGCGCGCGGCACGGCGCTCCCGGGACGCGAGCGTCGCTGCGCTCGGAGCCGTGCGGGCGGCGCCGGCGGCGGCCGCGCGCGACGAGGCCGTGCCGGCGGTCGCGGCTGCGGCTGCGCGCGGTGGGCGAGGTGCGGCGAGAGGTGCTGCGGTGGGTGCCGGTGCAGGTGCGGGTGCGGAAGTCGAGGTCGAGGCGGAGAGGGCCGAGCTGGTCGGGACGGCGGGAGGAGGAGGCGCCGGCGCGCGAGCGGGGCGGGGCTTGGCGCTCGTCGCGAGGGGCGTGGCAGCGGCCGCGACGGACGCGTTGAGCTTGGGGCGGAAGGGCTTGTGCTGCGTCGCCGTCGTCGAGCCGGCGAGCGGCGCCGCCGAGGTGCCGCCCGGCCCGGTCGAGCGAGCGAGCGTCTGCGCTCGCGCGGTCGGCGCAGAGGCAGCGGCAGGCTCTGCCGCAGCCGACGGGGCGGCGACGGGCGGCGCAACCCTGCGCGCCTTGCGAGGCTCGACCGCCGCGCTCGTCGTCGACGACGTGGACGGCACCGAGCGAATGGCTGGCCGCGATGCGCCGCCGAGCTGGCCCGACTTGCCCGCGCCCGCCGTCGCGCCCGCCGTCGCCGTCGCTGCGGACGCGCCCGGCGCCGTAGGCTTGAAGCCCGAGCGTGCGGGCGCGCCAACAACGGCTGCGCCCGAGCGGGCCGAGCTCGTCGACGCCGCGAGCGGGTCGCGCTCGTCGCAGCGCGAGGTCGACCGCGACGTCGAGGGCATGGTCGACGCGCTCGCCGAGCGCGAGTGGTCGACGCGCGCGGCGCGCAGCGAGGGCGCCGGGCCGTGCCCGAGCGAGTCGGCGGTCGAGGTCGAGGTCGCGGTCGAGGCGGCGAGGGCGTGCGAGCGCGGTGCGGCGGCGCTCGTCGAGTGCGACACGGTCGAGCGGGATGGTCCGTGCGACGCGGCCATCGAGGGCGGGCCGTGCGACTTGGAGAGGGCGGGCGCGGTTGGCCGGGTCGGGGCGTGGTGCGAGGCGGGGCCGGCCGAGGCGCCGAGCGCAGGCGCAGGCTTGCGGGGTGGTGGGCGCGAGACGGCGCCGTGCGAGGTCGCGCCCGGCATGGCGTCGGTCACCTTGAGGTACTTGCGGATCGTCGGCGTCATGGGCGCGGTGAACCTGCGAGGAGATGAGGTGGGTCAGGACGGCGGTAAGGTAACAGAGAGGAGAGGAAAGAGGACGCACGAGGCGACCCGGTCTGGCCACTCGCGCTTGTAGACCTCCCAGCACTTCTTCATCTCGGAGCGGACGGTCGCCTCCCTGCCCGTCGCGCCCGTCTTGATGAGCCACTCGAGGTCGTCGATGCGGCGCTCGAGGCCGTCCTTGTCGACGCCGAGCGTGTCGCCGTCTGCGCCGAGGGCGATGGCGAGGGCGGCGGCCGCCTGCTCGCGGAAGGTGGCGCTCTTGCCCGGCTCGTTGCGCCACTCGAGGGCGATGAGGCGGACGACGTCGGCGATGCGCGTGTTGCGGATGATGCTCGCGACGCACGAGGCCGACCTGGTGACGTAGACCTTGTTGGGGCGGGCAAAGAGGCGCAGGAGGGTCGGGACGTAGAGCGACACGAGGGCGGCAAAGTGGTGGCCGAGGCGGGTGCACGACGCGACGAGCTCGAGGGCGGTGCCGCTGAGGGCGGTGCGCTCGGTGACGAGGGAGCGGACGAGGCCCTTTACGACGCGCGGGTCGCGCAGGTGGTGGACAAAGTCGTCGGTAAAGCGGCAGGCGCCGCCTCGGACTGCGGCCTGGAAGCGCTTGACGGCGCGGTTGATCTTCTCCCATGTGTCCTCGGTCTCGACGAGCTGTAGGGCGGTGACGAGGGCGTCGACCTCGACGCTGAGGTCGTGGGGCGAGTTGATCTGTGTGCGGCCGAGCGGGTTGTTGTTGAGCGAGGAGGGCGAGGTCAAGGAGAGAGCGGGGACGCACGGGAATCTTGTCAGGCTCTGGTGCTCTGACCATGGCGGCAGACTGGCTGCTCTTTGCGCAGTTTGGCGCTGAGGGCGAGAGTGGAGAGGAGCCAAGGCTCGAGGGAGATGAGGACGGCCGCGTCGTCGGCGCCGCACTCTCACTCACCTCGCTGTGCGCCAGTCTGGCCAGTCCAGAGCTACTCTCAGCTCTCCTCTGAGCTATCCAAGACGCGCCGCTTCCCCTGGCGACCGCTCCTCGTTGTTGCCCCGTCCGCCTTGCCCTCGCCAACTCGTCGCAGACCTTGCCGAGCCTCGAGCACCAGCCGTAGCGCAGCAATCTCTCCAGCAGTGTCTGCGACGCTCCCTAGAGCAGTAACGGTGCGTCCCTGTCTCTCTGTCACAGCGAGAGGCCGGACCTCCTCCTCGTCGCCCACTGACCGCACTTGCGCCGTGCCGCAGCCTCGCGTCGACCGCCAGACTCGCCAAGCTCGCCGTCGTCCATGGCTGAGCCACCTCGCAAGCGCCCTCGCGTCTCGCCGCCACCTACCGGCATGCACCCACGCTCGCCGCCCCCACCGCCTGCCGTCGACCACCCACCCCTCGTCGACACCGCCTCGTCTGCGCAGTCTGCACCTCTTCCAGCAACCGCACCTCATCCTCCCTGCGCCTCGCACGCCGTCCACCCGCCAGCGCACTACCTCGGCGCCTCGACCGCCCTCCCCCAGTTCCAGCAGCCCTTCCACCTCGCGTCCTTCTCCTACTCGCCCGCGCGCGAGCTCCTCCTCGACGACGACCGCAAGGACGACGCCCTCGCCTACTACCACGAGCCGAGGCTCGGCAGCGACCTCAACGTCGGGTTCGAGAGCGCGGTCTGGAGGGACGGCAGCGTCGACGAGGGCTTGGACGCCTTGCTCGACTGGTGCGTCCTCGTTTGTCCATGGTCCGTCTGTCTCGACCCGAATGCGGGACCCTGACGGTCCTTGCGCGGGCATTTGCGCACAGCTTGTCGACCTGGGCTTCGAAGCAGCCGTCGACGGCCGCCGACGAGCTTCTCGGCAAGATCTCGGTCATCACGTGGCGCGGCATGATGACCAAGCTCATGCTCGCCGTCTACGAGGTCGACAACGTCGCGAGTGGACGTCGAGGCGACGGCTGGGAGATGAACGCCATGGTCGTCGACGTGCGTCCACTTCTCCTTTCCCTTCCCTCTCGAAGCGCCTTTCTGACTCGCCTCTCGCGCACGCAGGGCTGCCTCTACCTCGAGGAGTCGAACCCGCCCGCCAAGCTCGCCGCCAAGTCGGCGTCCGAGTCGAGCAACGCCCTGCCGTCCTACTACGGCTACTCGTTCGAGTCGTACTGCACCACGCCGTCGACCGACCCGCCCGCCGCCTTTGCCGTCCCCAACACCAACGTCCAGTGGTGCAGCGTCGTCAAGACCAACCTCGGCGGGTTCCGCACCATCGTCGGCGGCGAGGTCGACTGCGTCCGGCTCGGAGCCGACCCGAGCAGGATCTCGACGGCCGACTTTGTCGAGCTCAAGACCAACATCGCGATCCAGAGCCAGCGCGACGAGGTCAACTTTGAGCGGTGCGCCTGCGTGCTTCCTGACCTCTCGGCAAATCCCTGACTGACTCGCCTTTTCCCCCCTCGAGCAGGCAGAAGCTCCTCAAGCACTACGTCCAGTCCTGTGCGTCCTCTCGCTCTCCTTCCTCCTTCTTCTCGACCCCGTACTGACTCTTCTCGTCGACGTTGCGCAGTCCTTCTCGGCGTACCGACCGTCACCGTCGGGTTCCGCACGCGTCAGGGCCAGCTCACTGCCCTGCAGAGCTTCAACACGCTCGAGCTCCCTCGTCTGTGCGTCCCCATTCCTCCTCTTTATCTTCTCCTCCTTCTCGCCGAGCGTGATCGACCTACTGACGACGTCGATTCGCGCAGCGTTCGCGGCAAGCCGCACGCCTGGACCCCGGCCGCATGCCTCGCCTCGGCCCGGGACCTTCTCGCCTTCTTGCACTCGACCGTCGCGTCGCACCCGTCGACCCTCGCCGCCGAGGCCGACCTGCGCTCACGCTCGCCCGGTGCCGCCACCTCGGGCGAGTGGCCCGTCTTCCGTATCCGGTTCGCGCCGCAGGACGGCGTCTCGGTACGCGAGCTCACGCCGCGCGAGGTCAGCGACGAGGTGCTCGCCGCCAAGCGAGACGTCGTCGACGGCGGCGAGGGCGAGGGTGGCAAGGTCGGGTTCCTCCTCGGGCGGTGGGTGCGCGAGGTGCGCGAGAGGAGGGAGCGGATCGTGCGGGCACAGGCGGAGCAGGGGTGCGTCCTCCTCTTTCCTCTCGACGCCGTCTCACTCTGCCAGTGCGACTGACTCACCTCGACCTTTTGCAGAGCTGCCCAACCCATGCCGACACCCTCCTCGAGCGCGCCTCCTCGCCGACCCGGTCCTCCTCCTCCTCCGCCGCCCGCACCAGCTCCCGCCCCGCCCGCACCCGCACCCGCCCCACAGCCAGTCTCGGCAGAAGCGGAGCTCGCCGGCCCCGGCTCGAATGGTGGGGCGGTCTCGCCGCGCAGGGATGCACAGGCGGCTCGAGCGTTACTTGCCGGGCTGAAACGTTGAGACGTTCGAGGTTCACTCGCCTTATCGAGCACTCTCGAATCCTGTGCGCATGACCGAGAGGAAAGAGAGCCAGAGCGACAGGAAAGAGAGCCGGCGAGGGAGATGAGAGAGCTCAAAGGGTCGAACAGCGAACGGCTCGTTGCACATCCCCTCGCGCACAGCGCCGCATCTACCTCCGCCCGAGTGCCTGCAACGCGAGCGCCTCGAGGTCCACCTTGGCCTTCTTGGCCGACCGCCCACCGTCGCCCTCCTCGTCCCCCTCCCCGTCGTCGTCCTCGAACCGAGCCCTGCGCGAGTTCTTCTTGAGCGGGACCGGTGCGCGCGCCGCCGGCTCGTCGGGCACGTCGTCGCCGTCGTCGTCGTAGCGGTCGTCGTCGGACGAAGCCGAGGCGAGCTCGACGTCCGAGAAGGATGGGTGCACAATCTCGTCCTCGCCCGAGAGCTCGGCGCCGAGGAGAGGAGCGCCGTTGGCCTGCGAGGGGGGTACGAGGGGGAGCGAGTTAGTGCGCGTTCGCGAGAGATTGCGCGAGAAAGAAAGGAGGGGCAGAGGAAGGGGAGGAACAGGGAAGGAACAAGGGGAAAGACGGCGACGCACCTGACGCTCAATGTCCTTGCGCTTGCGCTTCTTGTCCCTCCTCGCCTCGCGCTGCCGCTCCTTGTCGAGCACGTCCTGCTCCTTGAGCTTGCCGCCCTCGCGCTCGACGAACGCGCGCCGCTGCTGCTCTGCGTCGCCGAGCGCCTTGAAGTCGCTCTCGTCGCCGAGCTCGTAGATGGCGTGGCCCTCGCCGTCGTCGTCAAACACGAGCTTGGACGGGTTGCCCTTGGTCGACAGCATGGCCTTCTTCGACTGACCCATCTTGAGCTTGCGCTTCGAGATGAACGACGACGACGGGAGCGAGGCCTCGTCGAGCGTGTGGTCGACGCGCTTGAGCGTGATAAAGTCGTCGTCGTCGCCGCCTGGTGCCGGTGCCGCCGCGCCGACGAGGCTCGACTCGCCCTTGACGCCCTCGCCCTCGCCCTCGCGGTCGTCGTCCGAACCGTGGTCGATGAGCTTGGTGTAGTGGTCCGAGAGCACTGTTTGCGACTTGCGCGCGAACATGCGGTCGTACTTGGTCTTCACCTTGTCGTCCTGTGAGCGAGGGGAGGCAAAGGTCAGTCGGTCGAAGTCGAGGGAGCGGGAGAGAGAGAGAGAGAGGGAGAAACCGAGCAGCGACGCACCTTGTCCTCGTCGTCGTCGCTCCTCGAGCCCGACGGTCCCGCGACCGGCTCGTCGTCGTCGTCGTCGCCGCTCTCGCCCTCGTCCTCGTCGCTCTCGTCCTCCTCTGCGCCCTTGACCTCGATCTCCCTCCTCAGCTCCTCGACGACGCGCGCCTGGTTCTTCTTGTCGCTCGCCTCCTGCTTGGTGCCGAACTTGATCTTGGGCGCGCCGGCGAGTCCGAGCGACGCGGCGTACTCGTCGAGCGGGAGCGCGTCGAGCTTGAAGACCGACTTGTCCTTCTGGAGGTGGATCGACCGGACGTACGAGATGAAGGCCTGTCGCCGATCGAGAGGGAGTCAGTGCCGTCGTGAGGGGGAAGAGAAAGAAGGAGGGAAAGATGGAGGAGGACGCACGCGTTGAGCGAGGAACTTGATCTCGGGGAACTGGAACGCGGCGCTCTGGAGCTGGCTGCGGATGCTCTGCTTCTTCTTGTCGTTGGCCTTGATTTTGTTGACGTCGAGCTTCTTGTGCTCGAGGCGCTTGACGAACCCTTCCTCCTCGCTCGGGAGCAGGAACAGGAGCGCCTTGCCCTTGGCCTGGTACCGCGCCGTGCGCCCGACGCGGTGGATGTACGTCTCGACGTCCTCGGGCGCGTCGAGCTGGACGACCCAGTCGATGGCGGGAAAGTCGAGCCCACGTGCGGCGACGTCGGTCGCGAACAGGACGGCGTGCTTGGACGTGAGGAAGCGCTGGTAGATCTCGAGGCGCTGCATCTGCTTCTGCTTGCCGTGCATGTGCATGAGGGGCACACCGGGCCGCATGTGGCGAAAGTTCTCGTACACGAACCGGACCTGCTTGCCCGACGACAGGAAGACGATCGTCTTGGTGAACAGGTGCGTCTTGATGAAGCTCCACAGGAGGTCGAGCTTGGCGGGGAGGTCGACGACCATGTAGTGCTGCTCGAGGTTTTTGGGCACTTCTTCAACGCCCTCGTCGTCGTCGTGGCCGTCGCCGTCGCCGTTCTCGGCCTTGCCCTTGCCCTTGCTGCCGCCCGGGCCCGACTCGCGCACGGCGACAAACTCGGGGTCCTTGAGCGACAGGCGTGCGAGGTCCTTGACCGACTTGGTCTGGGTCGCGGAGAACAGGAGCGTCTGGCGCGAGCGCGGCAGGTTGGCGATGATGGCGTTGAGCGACGCCGAGAAGCCCATGTCGAGGATGCGGTCCGCCTCGTCGAGAACTGTCGGGTGCGGGCCTTGTGTCAGTCTCGTGCGCTCGCCGTGACGAGTTCGAGAGAAAGAGGAAGTGGTGCGCACCGAGGAGCTGGAGGTGGTCGCACTCGAAGCCGAGCGTCTGGTCCATGTGCTGGAGGAGCCGGCCCGGGGTCGCGACGAGGATGTTCATGCGCGACAGGCGGTCCTGCTCGTCCTTGAGGTTCTTGCCTCCGATGACGAGGCCGGCCGAGAACTGATGCTGGTGGCCGATCTTGCGCAAGACCTCGAAGATCTGGACGGCCTGCGGGTTGCAAGAGGAGGGGAGAGTCAGTAGGCGAGGTTGCGTGGCTCGAGGGTGAGGGCAGAAAGAGGAGCGTCAGACGCACCAGCTCGCGGGTCGGACTGATGACGAGTGCGCCGAGGCCGTCCTGCGGGCCCCAGCGCTTGCGAAGGAGGACCTCGAGGACGGGGATGAGGAAGGCGAGCGTCTTGCCGCTGCCGGTGCGGGCTGCGCCGAGGACGTCCTTGCCCTTGAGGGACAGAGGGAGCGAGCGCTGCTGGATGTCGGTCATGCGCGAGTAGTAGGCCGACGTGAGGCCGGCGAGCGTCTGGGACGAGAGCGGGAGCTGGCCGAACTCTTGCACATCGTCGGACGCCTGTGTGGGTGAGGCCAGGGTGAGCTCGCTGTGGTGCTCGAGGACTAGCCTGACGGGCTTCGCGGGCCAGAGAGCGGGAGAGGACGGACCTCGAATGAGTCGACCTGCTGCTGGAGGAGGTCGATGGCGACGCGGTCCGAGGCTTTGGGCTGCTTTGTGCGCTTGGCCTTGTGGTTCTTGGGTCTCGACTTTGGGTCCTGGCCAGCCATGGCTCGAGCAGGAGTGAGTGTGGGAGGAGGGGCGAGGCGACTCCTCCTGTCCGTGCTGATGGCAAGGTGCACCGCCTCGCTCTCGACTCCCTCGCCCCCCTGCTGTCCCGGCTGAGCGGTCGAGGCGCACAATCCACCCATGGACGGCGACCACCAAGACTCGGACCACCCGCAATTCAAGCAGGCGCGTCCTCACTCCCCCTCCTCATCGCTCCCTCCCCACACCCGGCCTCGCTCTGACGCCTCGCACCCACACAGGCCACCGTCAAGGAGGTCTTCAAGCTCGTCACCGAGCCCAGCACCCGCGGTCCGTCCCCATTCTCTTCCCTCTCGACCCCACCGCGCCAGCTCACCCAACCCGACGCGTCGACAGTGAGCACCGCCGCCGTCCAGCTCTCGGCAGAGTACCTGCGCCTCTTTGCGACCGAGGCCATACACCGTGCCGCAGAGGTCGCAGAGCGCGAGCGCATCAACAACGGGCCCGTCGACCGCCTCGCTCCCCCCGGCTTGCTCGAGGTGCGTCCCGCCTCGAGCCTCTCCTCCGTGACCCGATCTGAATTGGATACCGCACACAGACCAAGCACCTCGAGAAGGTTCTCGCCGGCCTCCTCCTCGACTTCTCGTGACGCCTTCTCGCCGTGTCCGTTCGGTGCGCCTTCCTCCTCTCTCTCCTCGTTCTCTCGCCGACGCGTCTGACTCTTTCGCCGTCGACAGCTGTGCTGTACCCTGTCGTCATGATGCTGTCAATACTACGCACGTCCTCGTTGTCGTCCTCTCGAGAGAGAGGGAGCCAGCCATCCTGCACCGCCGACCGCCCAGCGCGAGCGGGTCGTCCGCACTCGCTGCGCCCTCGGCTTTCCTCTCGCTCGGGCCCACACGAGCTTGCTCGGCTGTCGATCCCGCTGGCAGCGCTGCCGGCTCCGGTCCTCGGTTTGCTCCGCTCTCGAGGTCTGGTCGTTCGAGGGCTCTCTCGCTCGCTCGGCACAACAAGCTCACCGATGCACGCACGCCCGCCTCGCTACGTGCTCCAGGGCCTACGCGCCATGATCTTGACCGACACCGCCTCGCGCTCGCCCTGCTTCAACTCGACGCTGAACTCGAGCACGACGAGGTCGGCGAGCGCCCTCCTCAGCGCGGCAAAGACGCCCTGCATCTGGCAGAAGCACGCGCCGCCGGACAACAGGAGGTTCAGGACGTGCTCGAGCGCGTGCGACAGCGTGGGACAAGGGCCACAGGGAGGGCCGGGGCGAGCGAGCGAGGAACGGGGAGGCGGTCTGAGCGAGCCGGCGCGGTACGCAGTTGAGGACCGACGAGAGGACCCGTGTAGCTTGAGCAATGGACAGCTCTCATGACAAGGCGCTCGATGGCATCTGAGAGCGCGTTCGAGCGAGCTGCGCTGCGAGGCAGGCGCTTTCGCTCGGCCTTCCCAAGTCGAGTGCTCGGCGTCACGGCTCGAAGTGCGACGGCCGAGCGCTTTCCGGCTCTCGGCTTGCGAGCGTTCTGCAGCTGTGCTTGCTCGTCGCCTCGCTCGAGCGGGTGCGACGGCCGTGCGCAGCCGACGCGAGGCGCAACCCGACTGCGCGCTCGTGCCCACGGCGAGCGAGCGAAGGGAGCGGGTTGCAACTTGCGAGTGAGGTCAGCTGGGCGGCGTGCGGGCTCGTCGTTCTTCGTACGATCGCAAGCGAGGCTACCCAAGCTTTATCCTCGGCCGGCAACCGAGGATCTCTGATCGCATGCACCCAACGGCCGCAACTTGGCGCGTCGAAGCGCGTTGCTCTCGAGCGGCTCGGTCGTTCGGCTCCCCCCTCCCCCTCTCACCACCACCACACCGACGCAACATAGACTGCACTCGCTAGACGCGCCAGAGCCCTCTGCAGCAACACACCGCACCGCACCGCCAACTCGCAGCTCGCCCCGCGCTCTTCCCACCCTTTCCCCCGGCCCCATCACACACCTCGACGCGCCTCGACCACACCTCGCCCAGCAGCAGCAGCAGCAGCCATGAGCGAGCGACCAGCACTGTCCCTCTCGGTCTCTCGGCGACCGAGCCTGCGCGCGTCCCTCAGCGGCGCCAGCACCCCGGCCCTCGCCTCGTCCCCGCTCTCGTCGCACCCGCCCATCACGCCGCAGAACGCCCACTTCTGGGACTCGTACTTCCCGGCGCCCGGTGCCGGCGTCGTCGGTCTCCAGACGCCGCCCCTCGGCGCCGCACAGCCGAGCCTGTACCCGTCGGCGGGCACCGGCCCCGGTCGCAAGAGCCTCCTCCGCCGCAACTCGAGCCTGAGCAGCGTGTCGAGCTCGGTCGTCGAGGACGACGAGGACGAGCAGGAGTGGACCCACGACGAGGAGGAGCAGGTTCACCGGGTGCGTCTCCCCTTTCTCTCACTCGACCGCCCTGGCCCCAAGTCGAGTCCTGACCCTTTCCCTCGCCGCTAGGTCTACGACGCCTGCCTCGCCAAGCACGCCCTCACCGAGGCGCCCTTCCCCGCCAACGGCCCGCCGCCGTCCAACTTTACCAACATGGTCGCGCGCGCCGTCCTGCGCGCCGCCGGCGGCAGCGGTCGCGCCGCCGCTCGCCGGGCGCGCTTTACGCTCGGCGCCGCCGACACGCAGGACGTCGAGCAGCAGGCGTCGGGCGAGGTCGACAGCAAGAAGTGGCCCCACAGCCTGAAGAGCACCCGGCTCAAGATTCTCGCCCTCTGTGCGTCCTCGAACGCTCTCCCCCTCCTCGCGCAGCGGCGTACTGACCCGATTCTCCCATACAGGCAAGGAGCGCCAAGCTGGAGCTCGCGTCGAGGACACGCCCAAGCAGGCCGACCCGGACGCCACGCCAAAGCGTCGGCAGCCGCTCGTCCGCCAGGACAGCATGGACTTCCTCCCCGACGTCCACAACACGAACAGCATCGCTCGGTGCGTCTTCCGCACCTCCCCTTTTCTTCTTCAAGACCTCCTACTGACCTTGCGTGCCCGCCACAGCCTCTCGAACATGTTGCGCCAGCCCTCGCAGGACGGCATCGTTGTCCCTCCCCCTTCCTCCACCACGACCTCGCGCATTCCTCCCTCGGCCCAGCTCGGCACCCTCGGCATCCCTCTCGCCCGCTCGGCGTCGTCCCGTCCGTCGTACCGCATGCAGCGCACCAACTCGCTCCAGTCGATCGCGGGCTCGCCGTCACAGCCGGCCAAGTCGCGCCGCAAGCCCGTCGCCGCCGACACGCTCGACGCCGAGCGCATCCTCGCCGCGTCGGCCCCGCCTGTCGCCGCCTCGTCGACGGGCATGGCGCGCACCGGGTCCGAGTCGAGCGTGCTCCACGGGCGCCCGCTCGCGCGCCACCTGTCGTTCTCGCAGTGCGGGCCGCCGCCGTCGGCCGCCGCGCCTCAGCCGCCGACGGTCCTCGGCGCGTCGCCGATCAAGAAGGCGCACGCCCCGTCGACCGGCCTCTTGACGCCGCCGGCATCGTCCAAGAAGCGCTCGCAGGCGTTCACGTTCGCGTCGCCGCCCAAGAACCCGCTCGGCCTCACGCTCGACGTGCCCTCGGCCGCCTCGGCGCTCAAGCGCGACGGCGGCGCCGCCGGACTCGCGAGCGCGTTCACGTCGCCCGTCGTCGACGCGTTCCCGTCGTCGTCGAGCGCGAGCTCGAGCCCCAAGAAGAAGAAGGCCAAGGTCACGACGGCGGCGCCGGCTCGCGCGCCTTCGTTTGACGCCGCGAGCGTCACGTCGAGCGAGCCGACGGGGCTCGGCCTCGGCTTCTCGCTGGGCGGCGGGCCGAGCGCCCTGAGCGCCGAGGCGAACTCGTCCATGTTCGGCGACCGCGCCCACGACGACTCGCCGTTCCTTCTCGGCAGCCGCCGCACGGCGCCGACGAGCCCGGGCAAGGAGCAGCGCATGCGCACGCCGTCGTTCGAGGGCCCGATGGGCACGTTCACGCTCCTCGACCCGTCGGCGTCGCCCAACAACCTCGCGAGCCGCCGCAACTCGCCGCCAAAGCTCACCCTGACGCCGTCCCTCGCGTCGCCCACCTTCTCGACGGCCTCGTCGTCCATGTCGAGCTTCACGTCGACCGCGTCGCTCGCCGCGTCGACGGCGTCGTCGTCGACCGGGAGCGCCGTCGCGTCGCCCCTGTCGCCCTTCTTCGACCTCAACTCGCTCAAGCTCGAGTCGCTCTCGTCGTCGCCCGTCGAGTCGGTCAACGGCGACGACGGCGTCGAGGCCATGGACGACGACAGCGACGAGGAGGACTTTGGGTGCGACGGCGGCTCGAACGCGTTCCTCAACCCGGAGTACGTCCGAGCCGGCCACGAGGCGCACGCACTGCGTGAGCGCCTCGGCGCCTTTGCGTGGGCCAAGCAGGACTAGCCTGCCTCCTCTAGACGATTCCTCCTCTCTCTAATTTCACTCTCCGTCACCCGCCGTACCCTTTTCGTCCCCTGTAGCTCGTTGCCCTTCCTCTCTCTCGTCCCTCTCTCTTATACACGTCGTCCCCTGTCGCTCTCCTTTCCGTATTTCTGTCGCAATCATCAAGTCTATATTCTGCACGAGCCGAGCCCCGTCGCGAACCGAGAGAGCGAGCGCGACAAGTCGACGCTCTCGAGGAGGCGCTCTCGAGAGGCTCGTGCCGTGAACGAGACAGAAACGGGAGCCTGCTGCATTGCGGTCGCTCGTCATGCCCAGTAGAAAGCGCGCTCGCGCACGGCCCTCATGCCGAGCGCCTCCCACTCCTCGCGGCGGATCCACATCTCCTGGGCGCCCTCGAGCCTGCCGAGCGCCCCGACGCCCTTCCACGCCAAGTTCTCGGGCTCGATCTCCTTCGGGCACGGCACGTACGCGCACTCTTTGATGACGGGTGCACGGACGGCGAGCGCCGGCGCGACGCGCGACTGGACGGCGAACCCGACGTTGTGGATGCCGCCCGTGCCGCCGACGATGAGCAGGTTGGCGGCCACCTTCTTGAGGCGCTCCTCGGCTGGGCCGGCCGCGAGGAGCGACTCGACGATGGCGACGTCGAGCGGCAGCTTGGACGACTCGCGCGCGACGTCGACGGCGGCGGCGGGAGGAGGGGGAGGAGGCGGTGCGGGCGAGGCGGCGGCGGCAGCAGCGGCGGCGGGCGCAGGAGGTGCGAGCGGCTTGGGCGTGCCACCCGCCGTCTCGGGTGCGGGCGAGCCGGCAAAGCTCGAGGCGGGTGCAGGTGCGGGTGCGCCGGCGGCAGGAGGAATAGGCGGGAGCGCGCCGCCGCCGACGACGGCAGCGACCTGCTGCTGCGGCTCCTCGACGGCCGGCGTGCCCGCGCCGCTGCCACCAGGAGCGGCGACCGGCGTGGGCGGGACGAGGAGGTGGCGGACCGAGGCACGCATGGCGTTCGTCACGTCGGCGGCGCCGATCTCGACGTTGTCGTCGACGTCCTTGCTCCACAGCTCGTTGATCGCCGTGCGCTTGGCGTCAAAGTCGATGACGCGAGGCGCAAAGAGGGCCTGCAGGGGGAGCGCAGGAGGTCAGGCCGATCGCGCCGAGGAGGGAGAGAGAGGGACGAGGGACGCACGTAGGGCGCGAGGATGCAGTCGTCGTACACGCGCATAGAGTACTTCTGCGTCAACTTGCCCGGGTGCCGCACGTAAAAGTCGTACAGGTTGAGCCCAATGTCGCCCTGCGAAAGCGCTCAAGTCAGGTCGAGTTTCGGAAATCGAGACGAGGAGAGGACTGAGCGGCGCACCTCGCTCAGGACGACGAGCCGCTCCTTGAGCTCCTCGACGACGATCCAGTCGTGCCACTTGGCGAGGTCGATGTCCTTGTACGGGAAGCTGAGGCGCTGCAGGAGCGTCATGAGGAACCGCGTGATGTCGTCGCCGCCAAAGTCGAGGACCATCCTGCGGGTCGACAGGGGTCAGGCTCGAGCGAGGAAAGGACAAGGGGTCGAGAAATAGGGACGGACCGAGTCTCGGGAAGGACGAGGCCCTCCTCGACGCAGGTGATGGTCGAGGTGAGCGAGCCGATGTCGATCACGCACGCCGACGAGTAGCCGGCGCCGAACGTCGCGCCGACGCTCTCCTGCACGCGTACGGGCAAGCTCATCAGTACCATGTGCGTGTTGAGGAGCTCCTCGAGAACGAGGAAGGGAGACGAGGGCGCACCTGGATGAGGCAGATCTGCTTGAAGCCCATGGTGCGCACGAGGAGGTCGGTCATTTCGCGCACGTACACCTCGTCGTACAGGTCCGGGATGAGGAGGATAACGCCATAGTCCTGCGTGCGCGCGTGAGAGAGTCAGGGCCCGCTCGTCGAGGTAGAGAGGCAAAGAGAGAGGGGGAGCGAAGCGCACCTTGAACTCCTCGACGGCAATGTCGAGCTCGTCGCGCAGGACGCCCGTGTAGATGGCCTCGACGTCGCCGAGGAGCTCTTGGGGCGAGTCGTACGGCGCCGTGTTGAACTTGCCGTGCTGGAACGGCCACCGCAGGTCGTACCCCGCCGCCTCGGCGTCCGGGATCCGAACCGCCTGCGCACGTGCTCGAGCGAGAGTCAGTGCCCGGCTTGAAAGGAGAGAGACAGGGAGAGGCGCAGGACGCACCTTGTTGCCGACGTGCACCTCGTCCTCGGCCGTGGTCCACTCGATGTCGCCCTCAAAGTCCTCCTCCATGCGCTGCGGGACGACGGTCGCGTTGTAGGTCGCCGCCTGCGAGTTGCCGTTGCCCTGGCCGCGCAGCTTGTACGCGCGCATGCGAGCGCGCAGGTCGCCCCGGATCGACTGGATCTTGGCCGACAGGCCGTCGACCGGCGCGCCGCCGCCGTTGGCGCCGGCCGCCGTGCGGCGCTTGCGCGACGAGGACGACGACGACGAGTCCCAGCCCTCGTCGTCGTCGTTGTCGTCGGCGGGACCCGCCATGGTCGTGTCGCCGTCGGCCGAGGGCAGCGGCGGGAGCGGTGCGCCGGCGAGCGCGGCCGTCGGGGTCGGCGCAGCTGGTTCGGGTGCGGCGACGGCGGCGGCAGTGGGCGCAGGAGCCTGGCCGTCGTCGGTCGCGCGCTCCTTGCCCTTGGTCGAGGCCCTGCCCGGGACGGTGCCGCGCAGCTTGCGGGCGATGACGTTGGGGACGGCGACGGGCGCGAGGGACGAGGCGAGGCCGATGCGGAGCCAGCGCGAGCCCGGGTGGATGACGAGGGTGCGCGACAGCGGGTCGGCGGCGACAGACTCGTCCTGCGGGTGCTCGACTCGAGTCAGTCTCGGAGGCGTGCGCGTCGAGGAAGGGAGAGAGAGAGAGAGCGCACCTCGACGGGCTTGACCCTGGGCGGCCTCGCGGCGCCCTCGGGAGCGGTGACGAGCACGGTCGCGGTCGGCTCTGGGTCGCCCTCGTCGCCGACGAGTCGACGGCGCTTTGCGTCGTGGAGGCGGTCGCGTTCTTGATCGGCGGGTCGGCGAGCGTACCACGACTGCGAGTCGGCCTTTGCGAACGACGACGAGACGTTCTTGCCGCTGTGGTTTGTAGGGGTCAGTGGTGGACGCGGAAGGGACGCCAGGCGAGAGCGGGACGGACTTGAGGAAGCCGACAGGCTGCGCGACACCAAGTGGGGTCAGCGGGGGAGGACGAGAGGGAGGGAGAGAGGGGGACGGACGGCAAAGGTGGTGAACTTGAGCTGGGGGAGGCCTGGAATGGGTGCCGGTGGTGGTGGGCGGGACGGCATGGCTGCGTGTCGGTCGCAAGGAGCGGTGAGGGAGGTGAGGGAGGAGAGCGACGAGACGAGCGACGAGGTTGAGGGGAGGCGGGAGAAGGTGGCGCACAAGGTTGGCTCGTCGTCCTCTCTCGTCCTCTCCTCTCTCCTTCTCCCACCACACCAGCTCGCGCTTTTCTTTCACCTCGAGCCTCACCTCGACCACCCGCACCTCACCTCGACCTCGCACCCGACCTCGCCCTCGCCCCACCACTCGCCATCGCCGCATCCCTCCTCGAAGCTTTTCCCACCGCCTCGAACTCGCTTGCTCCCAACCAGCACAGCACCGCTACCATGCCTTGACAGGTGCGTCCCTCGTTCCTCCCTCCCCTCCCCCCCTCGTCATCCTGATGACCTCGAGTGCATTTGGCTTTACTGGCCCCTGGCCTTTGCGTTGCCGCTCGTCGTCGTCCATCTCCTCGGAGGAGGGCGCCGACGGGTGGGTCCGCAGCGGGCTGGTGGACGCCTGGAGAAAAAACCTCGCTACCTTGCCGGGCAACCGGTCTCTTCTGAACCTCGACGAGCGGCCCTCCTCTCTCGTGAGAGTTGGGCCAACAAGCACCTCCACGACCCGTGTTCACCGAGCAGCGCACTGACCAAAGCCTCTCGCGACACACAGACCTCTACTACCGCACCCTCGTGCACCTACACCCGCTGCTCATCGGCTGAGCCCGAGCTCGTCGCCTTCGACCTCGCCCCTCGACCTCGACCTCCCCTCTTCCCTTCGACCCCCGCCTTACTGCCTTGCCCAAGGCGCTTAACCTACGCCGCGGCAAGGCCTGGTGAGCGGGGAGACCGGTGCACCCGACCTCGGCCGTCACCAGCGTTTCCTTAGCCGGACGCCCCGGCGGTCGGGCCTCTGCCTGCAAAGGCTCCTCGGCGCATGTGCCTCTCGAAAGACAGGGCTGCCTTGCAGGAGTGATACAGGCGAGGGACACTCCTTTGTCGTTCTTGCGCAATGCAGTCTCGTTCCGCCTCTCTGTCGTCGCCGTCCGTCGTCCGCGAGAGCTTTCGCCAGCGAGAGGGCCTCTTCCTTGCCTCGCCGGCCCCTCTCGGTGGCCGTAGCCAATTCGCAGAGCCTGTAGAGATCGGTCACTGCCTGTGCGACTGCAAGAGAGCCCGACGAGAGCGACGCCTCCGACTTGGTCGGCAGGCTTCCTCGGCCTCGACTTGGTCGCCTCGCTCGTCCCCCACACACCGCTCATCATGTCGACAACTCCCGACACGCAGCAGCTCGCACCAGGCGTCATCCTCGGCCCCGACGGCAAGCCCTGCAAGGTGCGCCCTCGCTCCCCCAGCCTCGCCGGCTCACCTCATCTGTGTCGGCGAGCCCTCACTGACGACGCCTCTCGTCCTCGCGCGCAGCCATGCATGGCGTTCCGCAGCTTTGCTGGCGTCAATAAGAAGGCGGCGGCCCAGCAGCAGGGCTCGTCCTCGTCGAGCGGCGGCGGCGGCAGCAGCACCGCCTCATCGGCTCTCGCGGGCGGCGCAGGGTCCGCAGCAGCAGCAGCAGCAACAGCAGCAGCACCGTCGACGTACGCCGAGCCAGTGCTCCCCGCCGACTGCCCACCCGACGTCGAGCGCCTCGGCCGCCACACGTGGACCTTCCTGCACACGACGGCGTCCTACTTCCCTCCCCAGCCCTCGCCGCACCAGAAATCCGCCATGCTGTCCCTCCTGCGCGCCCTGCCGACCCTGTACCCGTGCGGCACGTGCGCCGACCACCTCGGGACGTACCTCTCGACGCACCCGCCCGAGCCCGAGGTCGACAAGGGCCGCGACGCGCTCGAGCGCTGGCTGTGCGGCGTCCACAACGAGGTCAACGAGCGGTTGGGCAAGGACAGGTTCGAGTGCGGCGACGTGCCGCAGAGGTGGCGGGACGGGTGGGCCGACGGGCGGTGCGACCCGTGAGGAGGGCAGGAGGGCGTCGAGAAGTTTCGAGGGGACGAGCGCTTTCTTTCTCTCGTTGTAGCCACCATGCACAGTGTATCGCAGCTCTCCTTCTCCATTCCATGACTGCGAGAGCGAGCGCGCTACGCGACCATGGCGCCCTCGACCTGCGCCCCGCCGTCCTTGCTCGCCTGGGCAGCCTCGTCCTCCATCTCGCGCACGGCCGCCTTCTCGCCCTCGGTGAGGCCCTCGCCGCCCGGCTGCGCGCGCAGCTTTTCCTTGGCCTCCTCGTACCGCTTGAGCGTCTCGGCGCGCCCGATCGCCCGCTTGCCCACCTTGAACTTGTCGTGCAAGCCCGCCGCCGCCGCACCCGCACCCGCGCCGCCGTCGCCGCCCTGGCCCTCGCCAAACGAGCTCGGCAGCGCGCGCTTGATGCCGCGCCCGCCCTTGGGCTTGCCGTCGCCGACGCCCGCCTGCGCGAGCGCGTGCGCGTCGGCGGGCAAGTCGTCGGTCGCCGGGGCGGGCGCCGCAAACTCCTCGTCGCCCGGGTGGTGCAGGAGCTGCAGCGCCGGGTACAGGCTCGCGACGCTCGCGACGTTGTTGTGCGCCTTGGCGCCCGCGGCACCGGCGGTGGCGCTCGAGGCGCTGCACGCCTGCAGGAGCGCGACGGCGTCGGTCGCGAGGCTCGGGACCGCCGAGAGCTGGCCGGCGCTCGACAGGGCGGCGCGCACGATCGGGGTCGCGGTCGGCGTCGCGACGGGCCGCGTCGTGTCGAGCGAGACGAGGAACTCGGCGAGCGAGCCGGCGACCGAGGGGACGGGCGACGGCGCAAAGTCGAGGATCGGGTGCGCAAAGGGGAGGAGGCTCGGCGTCGGGGCCGTGGCGGGGTCGGCGGTGGTGGACGGGTAAGGGAGGAGGAGCGAGAAGGGGATGTAGAGGAGGGCGGTCGAGCCCGCGGCGAGGACGACGACGCCGCCGTCTGCGCGCGACGCGCCGACCGACACGAGCTTGACGACGGCGAGGCCCTTGGTCAACTCGCGCCCTGCGCCGGCACCGCCCACTGCGTCCTGCTCCTGCCCCTGATCCTGCTCGCCGTCCTCGGCTGCAGGCGTGCCCTCCTCGGTCTCGGTCGTCGCCGCCGAGGCCGCGTCGGCGAGCTTGCCCTTGCCCTTGGGCCCGGTCTTGCTCTTCTTGCGCCCAGACGGGATCGGGATCGGCGCCTCGGGCCCGACGGCGAGGTACGGGAAGACGAGGTCGTGCACGGGGAAGCGCGCGACGAGCTTGGCCGACGGGAGCTCGAACACCTGGAGGGTCGAGTCGGCGCCGCCCGAGACGAGGTACGGCGGCTCGTCGGTGGACGTGGTCGAGGACGAGGCCGGTGCGGGGAGGTACAGGAGCGCCGAGACGAAGCTGCGGGAACGGCGAGGCGAGTCAGTCACGGCGGGCGAACGAGAGAGGGTGCGAAAGCGAGACGCACGCCTTGCTGCCCCAGCCAAACTTCTCGATGACGTGCCCGGCCGGGTAGCGCGAGATGCGCACATGCTCGTCGCGGTCGCCGGTCGCGATCCAGTCGCGAGGGATGCCGTGCGCCGGGTCGGCGGGGATGAGGGCCATCGTGTTGAGCATCGAGACGTGGCCGAGGACGGGTTGCGGCTTGGGCACGTCCTCGGGCTTGGTGCCCTCGGGGATGACGGGCGCGTGGAGCGGGAAGCTGTGGCGCGGCGGGGCAAGAGTCAGAGCGTGTCGTCGACGAGGGAGAGAGAGAGAGGGAGGGACGGACATGTAGACGTCTCCAAACTTGTCACCGACGACGACGTCGCCGTTCGGGGCGATGTCGAGGGCGTTTGCGCGCTTTGGGAGCTCTCGGGAGCTGACGAGGTCGAGCGAGGGGAGGGTCGAGACGACGAGCTGCTTGTCCTCGCCGGTCGAGACGAGGTAGGCGGTGCCGGTGGCCGGGTCGACGCAGGGGGTGATCAGGCGGACGAGGGCCGTGTGGTGGGCCTTGGTGGCAACGAGCGCATTCGTGCTGTAGATCAGGGAGCGAGGTGAGCCTGGGCAGGAAAGTCGAGGCGAGGAGGAGGAGGAGGGAGAGGACGGACGCGGCATCGAACACGGACAGCTGGCGGTCGCTCGCAGCGACGAGGTGGGTGCCCGTGGTGGCAATGACCTGTACCGGGTGCACAGTCGCTGCCATGGCTGGTGGTGGTCGAGGTGAGCAAGCGCGAGGCGAGCGAGCTCTCCATCTTCATCAGCTCGTTGTCGGCACCTCTCGCTCTCGCATCGACCGAGTGCACGCGACACTTCGACTGGCACCTCACACGCCTCAGGACCCGCACCCGCCTCGAACAGCCATCCGCGGCGGTCGTCTCGCTCCCCCTCTCCTCCTCCGCCCAGCCCTCCACCTCGCCGGCCTCCCCACCTCGCTCGCACTGCCGACCTCGACCCAGGCGCCATGTACTCGCTCCACTACTCGCTCCCGCTCCTCGGCGTCGTCCTCCTCGCCGCGTTCGTCGCCTGGCACTACCGCCACCTCTACGTCGACCGCCTCCCACGCTCCGTCTCGTCCCGCCTGCGCTACTACGCCCCCTTGACCACCTTCGAGGACGCCGCAGAGCAAGGTGTGCCTCCTTGTCTTGCCCCCCTCTCTCCTCCCGTGACCCGGACTCACCTCTCCCCTCGCCGGCCCACAGGCTTCTCGACCTCGCACTTTGACCTGTCGGCCAACCTCGGCGGCGACTCGCGCGCCGGCCTCGACGAGCGCACCCTCACCGACATCCGCCGCATCATGGAGCGCGAGAACGTCGGCTTTGACGAGGCGAGGGCCATCCACACGACCCGCATCTTCCGCAAGAACGGTGAGCTCCCGGTTCTCCTCCCTCGCTCTCCCCAACAGTATGGCCCCACTCGTCGCAGGACACTGACACGAACCTTGATCCGCTGGACGCAGGCGTCGACGCCAACGGCTTCCCGATAGGTGCGCCCTCGCTCTCTTTCCCTCTCGGCTCTTCCTCCTCGATGACCTCGCCTTCCCGCCCCTGCAGATCCCAAGGCCATCACCTCCCTCTCCTGATCGTCCACCTCTCCCCATCTCTGCCTTCGTCCCGCCGTGCCTGTTGTGCTTCTCGTCATCCGTCCTCGACCGCAATTCAGTCCCGCCGCCGAGTTCTCTCGAGAGGCTGGCCTCGGCTTCAGTACTCAGCTCTCGGGCAGACGTCTCTGCGCTCTCTCCCTGTGCCTCGTCGCCTTGACGTGGCCCTCGACACGCTCAATGCGCTTGCTCGTCTGCGACCACGAAGCTGCCATCGCGCAGCTCGCCTCGCGACGGCAGGCTCGGCTCCCTGCAGGCTCCGCTGCGACCTCCTGCGCACTCGAGCATGGCCTGCGACACTCGTCGGGCACATCTGCCATCGTCGCCTGACTCTTGCGGTCCCTCGTCGCGCGCGACGTCCACACTCGCTCGGCGCACCCAGGCTCCTTTCGGCCCTCCTCCTGGACTGAGGTGCAGGGCCTCGTCGCTCGTGCATCGTGTCGGGGCCGTTCGGCTTGCCTCGGGCTCTGCGGTCCGCGCGACAGCTCTCGGCTGAGCCCAAGCGAGCAGGCTCGAACGAGTCAAACTCGAGGGCTAGCGACTCGCCGACGAGCCAGGGCTGCTCTCTCAAAGGAGTCCTCTCTCGCCTGACTCTCGCTCGTGCTCGTGCGCGTGCTTGGGACTGAAAGAGTCTCGTCGTTACAGTCGCAGCTACGGGTGCTCTTCGACGCTCGCTCGTCGTCCGACGACGCCAGAACGTGTGACGGAGAGGCGGGGCGTAGCGCTGTGCGCATCGATCCAGGTCACCTCGCGCGCCGTGTAGCCGCGTTCGACGTCTCGAGAGCGAGCGAGAGAGGAACGGACCGAGGACGAAGAGGTTGAGCGAGGAGCGAGCCCGCGGTGACCACAACGCGCGAGTCCGGGTTCCTTGGGCGGTTTGTCACACGCCCCAGCACTGCGGCAGACTGGGCAGCTTGCGCTCAGAGCCGACGAGTGAGATGGCAGAGAGCGAGAGAGCCGACCTCGGCCGCGACCTGTGGACGACGAGGACGAGGGGCCAGCTCTCGCTCAGACTGGACGAGCTCGCAGCCGCCCATGTCCTGCACACGCCGCTCGACACACCCGCAGGCTCAGCAAGATCGGCCCCGGTGCGTCGCGACCGCCTCGCCCACTCCTCCCCTTCCCCCGCACGTCCTCAACCACCGCCCGCCCGCCCTCGCACACGCCTTGGGGCTCACGTGCGGTCACTCAAGAGTCCTGGCTGATCCTCATCCACCCCGTAGACGCCCTGTCGGCCCCACAAGAGCGCACCTCGGCACCCTCGCTCCTCGTCATCGACCTCATCTGCTTCAACGACCAGCTCCCCAACGCAGCCCCCTATCGGCACCGATACCCGCCCAACGTCACCTCGACCTCCAGATCTCTCGACTGACCCCCGCGCAAGCCGTCGTCAAACGCTTTCGGTCGTCCTCGTTCCTCGGCGGCCAACTCGTCCTCGTCGATGTCGCGACAGCACCGGGCCTGCGCAGCCTCGCAGCATCTTGCGACACCTCATCAACGTCTCGAGCCGGCGCGAGTGTGGGCGTGGCGGTCGCACCTCGTCGAATCGCTCGGTGAGCCCGCCCGCTCCCTGCCCCTCTCTCATCCTGCTCGTAATTCCCCAGCTGACATCCTGCACGCGTACACGCGCAGCATTATCACGTCGACTGTCACGGTCACTCGATGGACTGCTTCTACCGTCGACACGACCTTGGCGGCAGCACCTGTTCTGCGGCAACCCTTCCGCCAACCGGCCGGCCTCGTCACGCCGTCGGCTCTACCTGCAAGACCTACACGACCGCATATTCGGCACCCGCGTCGTCTTCTTCAAGCGCCCAAACTCGTCGGCGCTGTACCGCCGCCTGTCCTCGTCCACCTCGACCGACCGGCCGGTCGAGAACGCCCGACGGCCCGACCCGCACGACTCTGCGCGCCGGCTTTGCGCCAGCTCGCTCACGCTCTTCCACGACCGTCACGACGGCGCCCACTTGCGGCGTTGGCGCCTTGGTCCCTCGAGGTGCGCTCGGCCGATTCTCTCTCGCTCTCTTCTCGTCCTCGTCGAGCTCACTCGCCCGTCATGGCCCCTCCCTGCAGGCTCTTCTACCTCGAAATCGGTCGCCGTCTGCTCCAGCCTGCCGCCTCGAAGCGCTTGGCGCAGTAGCTCGATCGCCCGAGCCTCGTCAACTCGACTTTCGCCTCTCGCCGTCACACGTTCCGCCGCCGACGACGTCGTCCTCGCCCGCTCCAGCTCTGCGCCTCGTCGAGCACCTCGAGTAACGGCGCAAGAGTGCGCGCCGTGTAGCGCTTCGCGCCCGCACCGCAGTCGGCCTCCTTCGCTCGAACTTTCTTCCTTCTTGCCTCTCGGCTACCCCGACTTTCCCTCGAGTTGCCTCTGACCTTGCTCTCCCCCTCTCAGTCCTCTTCGACGTCCTCGATGGTGCGAGTGGCCTGAACGCGATCGAGCGAGCAAAAGACGGTGAGCACCTCGGCTTCTTCCTCCTCTCCTTGGCCTCGTCGTCGACTGCCCGAGACGAACCTTGACGCGCTCTCCCCCCTCTGCAGACACCTACAACCTCGCCGGGTCGCCCCTGTCGACGATCCCGACGCTCTCGACCCACCTCCGCCTCATCATCCGCCTTCCTCCCTCGACCTCCTTCTCCTCGTCGACCTTCTCGCCGACCTTGGCCAACCTCGACCTCGACTCGCTTCAACGCGTCAACATAACCTCCTTCTTCGCCCCTCGTCACCTGCCGACCGTCCCCGACTTGCAGCCGCGTTGCCCTCGCCCCTTGCCGCCGTGCTCGCGCCGAACGAGCCGCACTCGCCTCGCCAACCTTCCCGCACGTCGACCGAGCCCCAAGCACGACCAGCAGACACGGCCCGCGAGCGCCGCTTGAGCGAGGGAGCTCACGGTGGACCGGCCGACGCGGCCGGCGTGCAACATGGCCAAACATTCCCCTCGTCGTCGCGCGACAAAATTCCGTGCCTCGCCTTGAGCGAGAGAGGCGGCTCGACGGCTCAGCTCGTTCTCGCGCCGGCGCTTTCGAGCGGCGGTGCTCGCCCTCGCGTCTCGACGGCCCTGGCCCTGCGGAGCGAGAGACGCTTGACCCGAAAGAGCTGTTCTCGGACGCTTTGTCTCGTGCCGACGAAAGGGCCGACCTCGCTCGCGAGGGTTCTGCCGACGGGCGCATGGCCGAGAGATCAGTGTCGCACAGAAGCAGGCCACGCGAGTCGAGTCGGCGACATCTTTGATCGAGAAGAAGCATACGCTCGTTCTGTAAAGTCGGCCTCCGCACGTCGAGAGAAGAGCGGGGAGGCGGCGATGGAGCTGCCGCCCTCGACACCGCCGCAGGAGCGCGTTTGAGAGGACAGAGCCACTGTACACAGTACTCAGAGCTCCTGCAAGCTAGCAGACCTGCCCCACGAGAGCGAGAGCGAGGTGCAGACTGTCGGTAAACAAGGTCGCGCCATCTCTCGCCTCTCTCTCTCTTCTCTTCAGAGTACACCTACCCTCCCGTGCCAACCGCTACCAGCACCATGGCAACCTCCTCTACCTACAACATGGGCGCCCTCACCGACGTCCTCCCTCCCCTCCCCCTCGTCCAGCCGCCGCCCCCGCCTGCCCACCGTCCCGCGCCGCGCCGCCGCCCCAGCCCGCTCGAGCAGATGCCGGCGAGGGTCGTCGCATGCGTTGCGAGGTGGCTCGAGCCCGACTTGCGGGACGACGACCGCCTGTTCGAGGGACCGTCGCCCGACCTCGTCCACCTTTCGTCCGCCTCCCCTGACCTTCGGGCCATGTTCAACAGGGAGCTGTGGCACAGCGCCACCTACGTCGCCCCTCCTCTCGCCGGCCCCGCGCCCCAGGCGCCCGCTCGCGACCTCATCGCCCTCCACGACGTCGTCTCGACCGGCCTCGTCAAGCCGGTCCACAACCTGTCGCTCGTCGGCATCGTCAGCGAGGTCAAGGTCGTCGAGCAGGCGGCGCACAAGGTGTACGACGCCGAGGTGCAGGGCAACGCGCTCGCAGACGTCGTCGGGCGGCTCGGCGGCGTCGACGGGTCGCTCGAGGCGGTCCGGCTCGAGGAGATCGTCCTCTTCCGCGACGTGATGGAGCGCATCCTCGCCAGGATGACGCTCAACGACCGCCTCAAGTCGATCTCCATCAAGAACGTCACGTCGTTCGACCTGCCGGACGACAAGAAGGACCCGTACCTGTTTTGCCCTGTCGCTTCCCTCGCTTGCCTCCTCGTCGTCGACAGCGACCCGCTTTTCGTGCGTCCTACTCTCTCTCTCTCTCCTCTTCCTTCGACCCTGTACGTCGATCGGCGAGGTCGGTGAGCTCATCAGCCCCCTCTCGCGCACCTCTCGCAGATCCTCCTGGCCGGCCAGTGCCCGGCCCTCACCACGCTCGCCGTCGCCTCGCCCGCCACGCTGAGCAAGACGAGCCTCGAGAGCATCGTCTATGCCATGCCGAACCTCAAGCGCTTCAGCATGGTGGCCGGCTCGTGCGGCACGACCTCGCGCCTCCTCCTCCAGTCGCTGCTCGTGCGTCCCGCCTTCCTCTGAGTGCGTGCTGCGCAGGGTGGACAGTCACTGATCCTCTCGGACTCCTTCCACAGCCCGCGCCGACCACCGTCGACATCCCGCGCGACCTCGCTTTGCAAGAACTCGTCATCGACCTCGGCAACTCGAGCCTCGACATCCTCGTGCAGGCGCTCGCCCTCATGCCGCAGCTCGTCAAGCTCGTCATCCTCAACGCCGGCCCCGTCAACCCGGGCAACTTTGCCGGCTTGGTCCACGCCGCGCCCAGCCTCACGAGCTTGATCGTGCTCGCCGGCGACGGCTCCTCGGGCGTGTCCTGGACTGGCTCGATCGTGAGCCTCAGTCTCGCTTTCCCTCTTCCCTCTTCCCTGACCGTCTCTGACGTGCTCTCCGTCCGTCGCAGAACACCTACGCCGCCCTCTTGGGCCGACTCGACGAGCTCGAGTACTTCGCCTGCGACTTCCTCGTCGGCCCAACCCGCCAGAGCGCCCGCCAGTCGGTCGTGCAGAGGCCCGTCAGGGCGACGACTTACGCTCCGCCGCTCAGGGCCGTCGGCAAGGCCGCCATTTCCCTCCAGTCGATGTTCATCATCAACGGCAAGGAAGGTGACGGGTGCGTCGCCCTTTCTCTCCCTTTCGCCTACACTCTCCCCTGGTCTCAAACTCACTAACCTCTGCCCCCTCGAGCAGAAAGTGGACGGGTGCTGCTGCCAAGTACTCGCGCATCGGTCCTTACCGCAACACGTCGGTCACCGTCACCGACCCCGAGTCGTTGAGCGTACGTCGTTCGTTTCTCTCTTCCTCTCTCTCTCTCTCTCCTCTACTACGGCGCTTCGGACCTGACGCCTCACCCTTTCCTTGCAGCTGAGCGCCCTCACCGTCGGTCGCTGGGAGCGCGACGCGTGCCGAGCCTAGCCGGCGCGGCAAGAGTCGACTGCTCGGGGCCGAGGCGAGGGCGAGTCGAGGAGGGGCGCGTTTGTTCGGTATTCTCACTATCTAGCGGCCCGCTTGTACTGTACGCGTGCCGTATGGTCTACTACTGCGACTCGCGTGAGCGAGAGTCTCGATGTCGGTCGCTCAAAGTCGGCTCTTGCCTAGTCATCGAGGTGCTCAGGAGACCGCCCTCAGCTCGTCCTCGTTCGCTCTGCTTCGAGCCTGAACCTGTCGATCGACTCTCTGTGCGCGCGTCGAGCAACTAAAGCGAGAGGTGGGTGCGAGAGCGAGTGAGCCTGTTCTCGTTCTGCGTGAGCGACCTTCTCACAGACAGTCGAGCCTGCCTCGCTCCTTCCTTGGGCTCACGACGGTCGGCCGTCGCTCTCGAGTCTCTCTGAGCATCGGTCGTCGAAAGCGAGAGCCGAGTCGAGCTCGAGAGGAGGAGCAAGGAGAGGAAAGCTTCTCACGCGAGCCGACCTTCTCAACTCGACCCGCCGCCAGACCGAGGCTCGACCCGCCGCCAGAACGAGGCAAAAAGGGAGGCCAACGCGAACAAAAGATGAGCGAACCTGGCCAGGTTGCGTAAGGTGGTGGGTTGACGGCGGAGTACCGAGCGCGAGATACTTCTTACCCCGGGGCCACCATAAGCCGACTAGCGATACTTCGCGCTGCTCGTACTCCTGTGTCGTTGTGGCGACGAAGATCTGTAGGCAAGACTAGGCAAGGCAGAGACGTCGTGATTCCACGGGGCGGTGGCATTTGAGTAGAACCGAGCCAAGGCCTGAGCCGGTTCGAGCAAGGAAAGGTCGACTTTGCTAACGCGCGCAACACGCATTCGGGTCGTCACTATCTCGGTCCTCCTGCTTCCTCCTCGCCTCGGATCGCTTCGGGGAGAACACGAGCGACTCGGGCCTTTTCTGCTGCATGCCTAGAGACCGACGGCGCACCATAAGTGCGACGAGGCGAGGCGAGAGCGCGAGACGAAGCGACGCGAGTCGGGCGCGCGCGCGGCGGCGCCTCGGCTCCTCCCCACCTCGCTCTCCTCCTCTCGCCTCGTCACAGCTGCACAGCGTCCCTGCGCAAGCTCGAACGTGTCGTTGACGCACAGCTCGGTTCGGCCGCGAGCGTGTGAGGGTCAGAGAACTCGACCAGTCGGCGCTTCTTTCCACTGAGAGGGCAAAGCTGCGCCTCTCTCGGGCTGAACGCGCCCCAGCTCTCTCTCGCGACAGTATGCGAGGCTGTGCGTCGAGTCTCGAGAGCAATTCAGGCTCAGAAACAAGGGCACCAGGCCGTCAGGCGGCGGTTCTCACACGGCGACCTTCTCAAATCGAAAACGTCTCTGTTCTCTCTGTAACGGTCGAGCGCCGGCGCCGCCCGTCACGTGCGCACTTACTGAGTCGTGACGGACGTCAGGAGAGTCGCGAGTGGCATGCTAGATCGAATGTCGGGAGGCTGAGCCGCGCAAACGCCTTTCGCAACCGCCTCTGGGCGCGCACTCCCTGCTCGCCAGTTGCGCCGGTCCGTGCGAGCGTCGACACATCAAACTCGCGGCGAGCGTACAAGCGCAAAGCATGAGGCGTCCCTGCCGAAGTGCGGCCGCAGGAACCCGCGTCGCACGGAGACTTCTTGGTCGCGCGACGAAGCCGGATACGAGAACGCAAACCGGACGAGGCGGGCCACGTAACACAATTTGCGATGTGATGTAAGTTTGTTGCCGATGCTTTCATCGAAGATCGTATCGTCCAGTGGTTAAGACACCACATTGTGGATCAAGCCAGCTTTGCACTGGCCAACTTCGCTGTGGAGACCCGCGTTCAATTCGCGGTACGGTCATCTTTTTGCCGTCTGGCGCGTTCGCCGGTAACTAGCAGCTGCGGTCGAGCGGGACGGGAGAACAGGGGTCCGTGCGCGTGCTCGTCCGGTTTTCTCTCGAGGGGGTCTTTTGCGCCGAGGCATCGCGCGAATGGCGAGGTATCGACGAGCTGCGACACACACCTAGTCGGTGCACCACGCACAGTAGGTGCGGGCCAAGCGGTGAACGACGCACTCGAGCGGATTGGAGCGCTCCTTTCCCCGGCTTTCGCGAGGCCAGAAGGTCGACTGCGAGCCTTTGCTCGTTCGGGCGTAGTACATAACGCAGCGCGCGCAAGGTGGAGACGACCGCCGCTTGATGCACGGACCTCTCTCTCCTCTCGCTCGAGTCGCTCTCTGCGGACACCGAGGGACGGAACACGGCGCAAAGGGGTTCGCTCGGTCACCGTCACCGTCGTCGGCTCGACCGGGCGATCCTTTCATTGTTGGCCCTTGAGCGTCTCCCCACGCGAGCCCGCGTCGCGACGGTCGGCGGGGGAGGATTTCTCTCAGGACGAGGGGAGGCCGATGCGCTGCTTGCAAGGGGTCGCCGGACCTGCAGAGTGCCCTGAGAGCGTCGCCGAAGCAGCCTTGGGCTCGCACAAAGGCGACAGACGCGAGAGGAACCGCTTCCGAGGGACGGCCGGTCCACGTCGCGCTCGTGACTGCTCCTCGCTCCCACCACAGCTCGAGCGCACTCCGTCCCACTCGCGCCAGCCGACCCAGCACGCGCCGAGGGGATCTGGCTGCCAGCCCGACCCCGACCACCACGACCACGACCCGCTCGCGGTGCCACCCCGCCTCCTCTCGGATCCCCATCCCCTCGACCTCGACTACGCGCCACGCCTGCGCAGACGCACCACCAGCGGCAGCAGTAGCCATGTCGCTCGCACCACCGTGCGTCACCCTGTCCTCTCCCTCTCTTCTGCGCCGTGCCCCGTCCGCTGACCCCTCGCTCCCCCCCCTCAGTCCGCCCGGGATCGCCTCGTCGCCTTCGCCTGCTCGCACGCCACGGTCGGCGGGCCTGTCGCGCTCGGCGTCCGTCATCGTCACCTCGAGGCGTCCCTCTGTGCACCTCGTCGTCCCGCCGGCCCAGCCTCAGCTCTCTCGTCGTGCGTCCCCTGCTCGCCTGCCCTCCTCAGACTCTGGAGCTTACCCCGCCGTCTGCGTTCCCACCCCGCAGCGATCACCTTTGCGCTCCCTCCACCGACCTCGCACGCGCACGGCAACGGCGCACTCGCCTCGCCCAGCACCCCGTCGCACGAGCGCGCCAACCCCTTGTCGCCCTCCTCCGCCAGCGCCAGCCCGACCTCGTTCCTCAACCGCCTCTCGCGCAAGCTCTCGGTCGGCCGCACCCAGCTCGTCCGTCGCGTCAGCAAGGGCAAGAAGACGAGCCCGTCCGCGTCCAAGCCCGTCTCGGTCCACGCCGCCGACAAGGAGAACCGCGCGAGCTCCGAGGCCGCCGCCGTCGCGCCCGCCCCGGGCCCCTCGCTCCAGCGCGGTACCCGCGTCACGGCGACGACGATGCGGCGCAGCAAGAGCGAGGGCAAGCGCGCGCCGCGCCTGCCCGTCGAGGAGCAGAAGATGCAGGAGCTCATCTCGCGCACCAACGGGTTCGTCGAGGCAGCAGGCGGGGCGGGCACGGTGGCGGCGGGCGACGGGCGGTCGTACGTCGGCAGTTTGGTCTGGTCCGAGTCGCTCGGGCTCTGCTGGGATGGGAGGGAGGAAGGTGAGCCCCGGCCTGTCCACTTCTTGCGCCACCGATGCCTCTTATCCGCCTCGACGATGAACTTCTGTAACTGACTCTCTTCTTCCTGCCTCGCAGTTCGGCCCGACACGACGTTCGCCTTCCAGCGGTACACGTCCGACGACGACGAGGTCGCCAAACGCGCCGTCTACGCCTCGACCCTGTCGTCCTTCCCACCTCGCCCGCCTCTCCGCCCTCGCACGCCAGAGCTCACGCCGGCTCGCCAGATCATCGCCGAGTACCGCGCGACGCACAGCCCAATCACGCCCGGCACGCGCTCGCGCTCGAGGGCCATGAGCGACGCCGACACGGCCGTCGGATCGCCCACGCCCAACTCGCACCTCGTTACGCCGCTCAACATGGACAACCTCACGACTCGTCCACCCTCGCCGACCGCCCTCGGCCCGATCGACCCGCTCGTCTCGGCTCCCCTCGACGAGGCGACTTCTCCCGCCTCACCCTCGTCGCCCACGTCGCCACTCTCTGCCGCCGCCGCGCACGCCGCACGCTCGTACGCGTCGTCGTCTGCGTCGTCGGTGGCGAGCGGCGCCGAGGAGCGCTTCCGCTTCGGCAGCGGCAGCGAGACGAGCGCCGGCGGCGGCGGTGGCCCGTTCGTCCTCTTTGCGCCGTCGCCGATCGGGCTCGGGGCTCACGGGCGCGCCGACAGCGCGACGAGCCTCGAGAGCATGGGCGGCGCGGCACCGGTCGGCGTCGGCACGGGCACGCGCCCGCTCGCGGCAGGGGCCAAGCTGCACGCCCCGAGGGAGATGCAGCGGTTCCAGCTCGTCGACGACGGGCCGGTGCCCAAGCCGAGCGGGCCGCACGACGACGCCGCGAGCTCTATCGTCGACGTCGACGAGTGGAAGGACTGCGAGTGAGCGGGACGGCGCCTCTTCGTCCTCGTCCTCTCGCCAACAGACACTCTTCGCCTTTCGCCTCGGCCTCGTTCGACCCTCGACGACTTGACCAGCCTACGTCGCCTCCCCTGTCGCCCTCCTCACCCTAATGTCCCTCGCCACGACCCGCCACGACCCGCCGCACGCGCCCGTCCGCACTCGCAGACACTCTCCGTCCTCCTTCCCCAGAGACACTCTTAGCCGCTGTATCCTTCGTCCCCTCCCTGTGCACCCCCTCTCTCTTCGTCGACCCTGTGTTGTCGACGTCTGTAACCCCTTTTGTCGGTGCACTCGAGGTCGCCGTGCCTCGTTCGAGAGAGGGAGCGAGCGAGTGAGAAAGTGGAGCTGCCTCTCGCCGAGTGGCGGTCCCCGATGCGATGCCGCGCTATGCTCGCTTCCAGGTGCGAGTGAACGACTCGAGCGCTGTCTGCTGGAGTGCGCCAAATCGGGAGTCGGGTCGCCAACTTGGCTCGGGAGGTCGGCTCGCGCGTTCGACCAACTCGGGGCGGTTGACTCTGCTCTTCACTGCTCCCGCTCCCTTTGCGGTGCACAAGCCCTCAGCACCCCGAGTCGACCTCTCTGCACGTCCTCGACAGCGTACCCGCCACGCCGAGATGAGCGCCATGCTCGGAGGCGTTCTCCGAGGAGGAGCGTCCGGCAGCTCGAGGGGCAAGGCCACCTACGCCGTGCAGGGCTCAGTGCGTCCGCTCAGTCCTCCACGATTACGTCCCAGATCACGCACACTGACGCGCTCGTCGCCTCGTGCCGCCGCCGCAACAGACTCGGACCCTCAGCTCCGGGCGAGGTCACCTCGGCGAGGCCAAGAAGCGCTCTGTCGAGCTTGAACGACAACGCGTGCGTCCTTCAGTCCTCCCAGCCGAACCTCATGGCCGTGCGCTGACCTGGCGCGTCCTCTTTGCAGGACCTCATCCTCACCGTACTCGAGGCTGCACCCTCTGCCCGCGACTCGCGCTTCTACCTGCGCAACTTCGACCCGGCGACCCGCCCGAGCCGCCAGGAGACGAGCGCCAAACCCGCCAACACCGAGTCGGACAAGCCCGGGTTCCCGCTGTTCGACCAGGAGACCCCGACTACCGCCTTCTCGCGCTCTATCCCGACCGCCGCGTCGTCGTCGCCCTCCCCAGCCGCCGCCGCGACGCCCCAGAACGAGCACAAGGGCAAGACGACGCTCGCCGACGAGCTCCTGTCGTCGCCGGCGAGCCGGCACACCGGGCTCGTCAAGGTCCAAGGCCCGTTCTCGGACCGCCAGCTCGAGTCGATCGCCGAGGGCATGGTCTACCTCAAGAAGCTCGGCCTTGTGTCGATCATCGTCCTCGACAACGAGCAGTGGCGCGAGGACGAGCTTCGGATCCACAACCTCGCCATCCCCGAGGACGAGCGCAAGCGCCACATCGTCAAGCTGCGCGCCCGCATGAAGCGCGAGACGATCCGCTTCACCGACATGCTCGAGGCCAAAGGCGGAGCCGCTCGTCCGCTCCTCGAGGGCGTCCTGTGCGTGACGGGCGCCGCCTTCGAGGACACGTGGACCCCGATCGCGTCGACGAGCGCCAAGCCGTACGAGGCGGCCGACACGCACGACCTGTTCGTCGACTCGCTGTCGAGCATCCGCAACGCGGTCCGGCAAGGCGAGATCCCCGTCATCCCGCCCATCGCGCTCGACGCCGCGTGCTTCTCGCTGTGCGTCCCGGCCAACGACGCCGTGCGCGCCATCGCCTCGGGCCTCGCCGATGCCGAGCGCGGCGCAGGCCTGCGGTACGAGGCCGACGCGAGGCTCGACAACGACGTCGACCTGACGCCGGTTCGGCTCATGATCATCAACCGCGAGGGCGGGATCCCCTCGCCGGCGCGAGGCGGCGACCCTCACCTGTCGATCAACCTCTCGAGCGAGTTCGACTACATCCACAAGACGTTCATCTGGCAGGAGACGCACCCTACCGCCCTGTCCAACCTCGCCCTCATCCGCGACTGCCTCTTCCACCTCCCTCGCACGGCGTCGGGCGTCCTCGTCTCGCACCGCTCGCCCCGGTCCCTCATCGCCAACCTCATCACCAACAAGCCGGCGCACTCGCCCTCGCTCGCCCACGACCTCCTCCCGCGGCGCAACATGCAGCACCAGCCGACCATCGTCCGGCGCGGCTTGCCGATCCGGGTCTTTCGCTCGATGGCCGACGTCGACGAGGACAAGCTCACTCGCGTCCTCGAGGCGTCGTTCGGCAAGACGCTCGACCGCACGCCGTACTACGCGCGCCTCGCGCGCGACCTCGACTTCTGCATCGTCGCCGGCGACTACCAGGCCGTTGCGATCGTCACCAACGAGCAGGCGCTCGACCCGGCCACGGGCGCCGCTCTCGTCGACGCCGACACGGGCGCACCCGTCCCGCCGATCGCCTACCTCGACAAGTTTGCCGTCCTGCCCTCGCTCCAAGGCGACGGCACGGTCGACTTCCTGTGGGGCGCCCTGCGCGACGAGTCGTGGGGCTTGGGCCTCCTCGACGCGCTCAACCCGAACGTCGGCGGTCTCGGCGGCCAGGGCATCGCGCGCGACCTCGTGTGGCGCTCGAGGGCCAACAACCCGGTCAACAAGTGGTACTGGGACCGCGCGACGGGCTTTTTCAAGATCCCGCCGCCGCCCGGGAGCGCCGTCGGCTTCGCCCTGTTCTGGTGCGAGAGCGAGGACCGCGTGAGCGAGTTCATTCGCGGCGAGAAGGAGGGGCGCAAGGTGCCCGCCGCGCCGGAGAAGCTGAGGAGGTGGGCGCCCGTCTTGAGCCAGATTCCCTCGTGCTGGGCGTGACGTCGAGGCCTGTAGACAGTTAGACTCTCTCTCATTTGCATCGCATGGCTCTCGGACACTCTCTCGTGCGTCGTGCCCTGCTTGCGAGTGAGCGAGCGAGAGCAGATCTAGCGAAAGCCTCTCCTCGTCGTCGACGACGTCGCTCGCTCGGGCCGCGCCTCACTTTCGCCGTCGCACAGGCTTCCGACAGTCTTTCTCTCCGAGCCTGCAGCAGCGACCGCAAGAAACAGAAACACCCCGCAGCGTTGCAGCTCGACCCCCTCCCGCCCGCTCGCGCGCCCCACTCGCTCTACATCCTCGCGAGCTCGCTCCCGACACCGCTTACTCCTTGTACTTGGACGCGTCGGTGCCGTGGAACGGGTGGCTGCGCGAGGGGATGAATGTCAGGACGGGCTGCTCGGGCCGGTACGGCGCGAGAAAAGGAGGACGAGGGGGAGGAAGGAGGACGAGGGAGCGAGGGACGCACTTGACAAAGTTGAACCAGGGCATGACGCCAAACTTGAGCTGGCTCCACATCGAGTTGCGGTGGGCGACGCCCTGGATGTACTCGGGGAGGTCGCTCTCGCCGTACAAAGGCTTGCCCTCCTTGGCGAGCTGGCTCAGCTCGGCCTTGTCCTGCGCCTGCTCGGCAGAGTTCTCCTTCCAGCCCCACATGCGGACTGTGGCGAGAGAGGAAAGGTGAACAGGAAGGGGGGGCGGCAAGGAGGAGGGAGGGGGGCAAGAGGGAAGGAAGAGGAGGGTGAGCAGCGCGTTCACGATAGGGCGAGGGACGCAGACGAATGGGACGCACGCGACACGTTCTGGTACGCGAGGAGGAAGCCGCCGGCGAAACCGAGCCAGGTCGCGAGCCTCAACGACGAGCGCATGAGGACCCGGCCCGTCTTGGTCGGGTCGGCGAGCTCTGCGAGGGGAGGACGAGGTCAGTTTGGTTCGCTCGAGGGGGAAACACAGAGGGGAAGCGAGGACGGACCCATGCCGTACAGCGCACCGGGCGCAAAGGCGGTGGCGCCACCCCAGAGGATGTAGTCCTGGGTGCGCAGGTTGCGCAGGACGCGGCTGAAGTGCGGGTCGGCGTCGACGACCGGGAACGGCGCGTTGAGGTTGTTGACGTCCGACGAGATGGGCATGGCGGTACAGGCTGTTGCGAGGGACCAGAGGTCAGTCTGGTGTCGAGTGCGGGTTCTCTGCGGGTGTGTGGGACGAGGGCCAACGGCGGGGAGAAGGTGCGAGGAGGAGCAGGCCCTTGACGCGTCGCTCCAGGCCCACCGTGCCGCTCATCGGGCTCCATGAGATTGTCCTCGGTGACTGGACGGCAACCGTACGCCCGCAAGATGAGAGGAGAGGCGACTCACAAGTCGGGAGATGAAGTCGAGACGAGGGAGGGCTGAGGAGAAGGCTGGACGGGCTCTGGCGGCGCTGCTGCGGCGTGCGTGTCGGCTTGGAATGCTGGACAGTCGACTAGGCGGGCTGAACGAGGCTCTGGTGCAGCGCGAGCGGGTGAGAGAGAACAATTCCCGGTCGGCCAATCGCCCTCTCCCTCGCCAACTTGCTCTCGCTCTCGTTCGAGTGCACAGCCGATGGGCCTGTGCTTCGTTCGAAGCTCTCACAAGCCCCGGCGAGAAACGGGCGAGGACCCCAGTCATTGTCACCGTCCGCCGCTCTCGGATCCTCTCGCGCGGCACGCTCAAGTCGACCGCACAGACCGACATTGCACAGACGAGCCCGAGAACCGCGCGCACTACCTCTTCCTCCACACGAGCATGCCCCACATGAGCAGGCGGAAGACGATGATGATGATGACGAGGATCCCGACGTAGAGTCCGTCCGACACGCCGGCAATGTCGAGGTCCTGCGCGACGCTCCGGCTTGGTCAGTGCCTCGAACGTCGAGCAGAGGGAGAGGAAGAGGTGGGAGAGGAAAGGCGAGGCGCACCTGCAGCACGTCGTGGCCCGAGATGGCGCACTCGCCCGTCGTCGCGAGCAGCGAGCTCTCGATCGGGCAAAGGCACGCGCCCGCCGCGTCGACGCCGCAGGGGAGGACCCGACCAGAGAAGTCGTTGCGGACGAGGAGGTCGAACGAGAAGGTTTGGTAGTCCTGCGAGAGCGTGAGGGAGGTTAGGAAAAGGTTCGGGGAAGACGAGGGGGACGGCGGAAACGTACCATGAAGTGGAAGGTGTAGTACCAGAAGCGAGGCAGGCTCGTGCTCTTGATGAAGTAGCCCATGTTTACCATCCAGAGTCCGTTCGCGAAGCTGGCCAAGGCGAGGGCGGCGACGAAGATAGGGACGGCGCTGGCGAGGAGGAGCGACTGGCTCTCGGCGGCGAAAATGGCGAGGAAGAGGTACAGGAGGAAGCGGAAGAAGTGCGTCGCCCCCGAGTTCATCGGGATGGCCCAGTAGCTGTTAACGCGAGGGAGGTGAGGTGAGTTTTGGGCTTAGGAAGGTCGACAGGACAAGAGAGAGAAGAGGAGGGACGCACATGATGAGCGAGTACACGAGCGTGCACGCGAACAGGAAAGGCACCGACACGAGCGTCGACGCGAGAAGGTACTGGCCGGGCGAGTAGAGGCCGTTGGCCCGCTCGCGGATGAAGACGGCGCGCTCCTGAAGGTCCGGACCGTCAGGCGCTCTCCTCACGCGCACGACCCGAAAGGGGAGAGAGAGGTGGACGCACCTCGAGGAACGCCGGGATGCCGGCGACGCTCATGAAGCCGAGGAAGGCGACGCTGAAGAACGAGACGCTCAGGCGGTCGTTGAGCTTCGACGCCGACCAGCCGAGGTGGACCCAAATCGTCGCGAGGAGGAACGCCATGCCGATGTACATGCCGACTGTTGCGGGAGGTCGGCGAAAAAAAAGTCAGGAGCTGAAGGCCAAGAGAGAGAAAGAGAGAGAGAAACGAGCGACGCACGGCGGATGCCGTAGGCGAGGAGCGAGCGGCTGTAGTTGAGGACGTTGCGGTGGCTGAGCGCGAGCGTCTTGCGCAGGCCGACGAGGGCGGCCGCCCGACCGTGCGACCTCGCGTGGAGGTTTTCGTCGCCGGCACGAGACGGCAAAGGCGAGCGGACGAGGTCGTTGCGGGCGGCCCAGGCGGCCCACGTGGCGGCGAGCCCGTCGACGCGCTCGTCGGCAGTCGGGAACATGTGGTCGGGCGCGAGGTGGGAGGTGGTGGGCGACGAGGCGGCCTTCTCGCTGATGGCGTTGCTGTGGGCCGGTGCGGGGAGGAAGTCGGTCGAGACGACGTCGACGACCTGGTCGACCGGGTTGACGTGCTCGGGCGTAGGCGAGCCAATGTCGACGAGGTACCGGTCGAGGTCGGTCGTCGGGCCGTCGAACATGACCTTGCCGCGCGCGAGGAGGAGGAGGCGGTCGAACAGGGCGAAGGTTTCGTAGGCTGGCTGGTGGATGGTACAGATGACGAGCACGCCCTGCTCATGCGCGAGACGCTGCACTGTACGAAGAAAGAGGACACGAGTCAGTCGGGGCGCCCCTCAGAGCGAAAGAGAGAGAGTGGGACGCACGGAACGCGACGACCTCCTTGCCGCTCTTGGCGTCGAGCCCGCTCGTGGGCTCGTCGAGGACGAGGATCCTCGGCTTGGCGACGACCGAGCACGCGATGGTGAGGCGGCGCTTCTGGCCGCCCGAGACGCCGCGCTGCAAGGGCGTACCGATGCGCTGGTGGGCGACCGACGAGAGGCCGAGCGAGGCGAGGGTGGCGTCGACGTGCTGCGACAGGTTCGGGAAAGACGGTCCGAGCCTGCGAGGGGAGGTCAGTACCCTGAGGGACCGAGAGAGGATGCAGGGAGAAGGGACGCACGCGAGCTGAGCGGCGAACGTGACTGTCTCGCGGACCGTGAGGACGCCGAGAAGGGCGTCGTCCTGCTCGACGAACGACAGGAGCGCCTTGACCGAGTAGTCGGTCGTGCCGTTGATCGTGACCTGCGAGGCGTGTACGAGTGTGAGCCGAGTGAACGAGGGCAGAAGACGAGGCGGGAATGTGGGCGCACCTCGCCGGATGCTCGCGACGTGCGCTGGCAGATGGCGTCGAGGAAGGTACTCTTGCCGGCGCCACTGGGACCCATGACTGTGTCGGACAGGCGAGAGGGTCAGGGAAGGTGGAGGTGGTCGAGGAGAGAGAGCGAGAGGGAACGGACCTGCGAGGAGCTCGCCCGAGCGGGCCGTGCCGCTGACGGACGCGATGATGGGCTTGAGGCGCTTGGGCGCGGTGACGCTTAAGTTGGCCCAGGCGAGTTCGAGCGGGCCCTCGGCGGTGAGGGGAGCGGCCTCGCAGTCGGCAGAGGCGCGAGGGGAGCGGGCGGCGTCGTCGTTGGGCGCGACGCGAGGGTAGCTGGCGTAGGCGAGTGTGGCTGGCTGCTGCATCGTGTGCGGGCGAGTAGGTGTGCGGAAGAAGAGAGGCAAGGAGGCTCAAAGGCGGACGAACCGGGTACAGACGTACGGGAACAGACAGGTGATCCCGCTGCCGCCCCGGCAAGAGACGGCCGCGCGAAGCAGACAAGCTTGATCGCATCTGCGGATCTGCGGCTCGGTAGCCGACCCTTGTCGAGCGAGGGCAGTGGCGGCTAGCAAGGCGATGGGGGGAAAGAGCGGACGAGGAGAGCAAGTCGAGGTCGCAGCGGGGGACGCCGCTAGGCAGCTGTGCGCGCCCAGCAGCCAGTGCTCGTCCATCTGGCAGGCAGCGTGCCCTGCACAGAGAGAGGCGGAGGTGCGTGCCGCCGACGAGGGCGAACCGCTCGCTCTCATCGCCGAGTCGCTCTCTCTCGCTCATCTCGACGCCGCCCAGGCTGCGATCAACCCGGCCCGTTGCGGTGCAGCACTCGCTCCAACATGGACCCGAGCGAGCTCGAGTCGACCCGCGTCGTCCCCGTCCCCGAGTCGGACCTCGCCCCACAAGTCGACGTCAACCCGTTCCCGCCAGGCGGCCTCCCTGCCGTCCCTGCGCCCCTCCCCAACTACCAGGACTTGACCGACGAGTCGCCCGATGACTCGGACGAGGACTGGGACGCCGTCGTCGCCGCCGCCGAGGCCGCCTTCTCCGAGCAGGACATCGAGGCCATGCACCGCTTCCTCAAGGAGCGCGGCCTGTTTGCCTTCCTCAAGGAGCACCTCGAGCACCGCGCCATCCCGCCCTCGACCCTCCTCCTCGCGTTCGGCGTCATGATCCGCCACGACGCCCCGCTCGCCGACCAGCTCCGCATGCTCAAGGTCGCCTGCTCGCGCGTCCTGCGCAACCGCGACAAGCTCGACGACTACAACACGCCCGACGACGTCGTCGACCTCGTTCGGCGCAGCAAGCGTATCCTATTTCTCACCGGCGCCGGCGTCTCGGTCCGTCCTCCTCTCGCTCTCCCCTCCTCCTCCCCTTCGGCCCGTCACTCGTCGCTGACCAGACTCGATTTCGCCCAACCAGACCTCGTGCGGCATTCCCGACTTTCGCTCGCCGACCGGCCTGTACGCCCGCCTTCAGCTCGAGAACAACTACGAGCTCGACGACCCGCAAGACATGTTCGACCTCGCCTACTTCAAGCAGAAGCCCCACGTCTTCTACTCGTTCGCCAAGGAGATCTACCCGAGCGCGTTCGTCCCGAGCCCGTCGCACCGGTTCGTGCGCCTCCTCGAGAAGGAGGACAAGCTCTTGCGCAACTACAGTGCGTCCCGCCTGCTCCCTTCTTCTCGCCTCGCCCAAATGGCTCGACGTACTGACGACCTCGATGTGCCGCCAACAGCCCAGAACATCGATGGCCTGTTCGAGCAAGTCGGCGTCGAGCGCATGCTCAACTGCCACGGTCCGCCCCCTGCCCTTTCTCGCCTTCCTCGGAGCTCTCGGGCGTAGACGAACGCTCACAGCTTCTCCTCGCGCACAGGCTCGTTCGCGACGGCATCGTGTCTCCTGTGCAAGCGCCGCTTCCCGGGCGCCGCGATCGAGGCCGACGTCTTTGCGTCGCGCGTTCCGCTGTGCCCGTACTGCACGCCCGAGCTCGAGGCGCTCGAGCGCGAGAAGGAGCGCGAGAAGGCCGAGCGCCCGAGGAAGAGGAAGAAGGTCGGGCGCGACGAGTGGGACGAGGGTGGCAGCGACGGGAGCGACGACGAGGCGGACGAGGGGAGGAGCGAGTGGGATGGCAAGGGCCTCGTCAAGCCCGACATCGTCTTCTTCGGGTGCGTCTCGTGCTCTCTCTCTCACACAACTTCTGCGTGGGCGAGGAGGCGGGCCTGACGTTGCCTTGCTCGCTCGCAGCGAGGCCCTGTCGGACGAGTTCGACCACCGCCTGCTCGAGGACCGCGAGGAGGTCGATCTCGTCATCGTGATGGGCACGTCTCTGCGTGTGCGTCCTCGCCCGGTCTTTCCCTCCTGTCTTGCGCCCCCTGTACTGACGCTCCCCTCCTTCCCTTGGCCCCTTCTCTTCCTCCTCGCCTGCAGGTCTCGCCTGTCGCCCAGCTCCCCTCGCACCTCCCGCACTCGGTCCCGCAGATCCTCATCAACCGCGACCCCGTCGCGCACCACCAGTTCGACGTCGTGCTCCTCGGCGACGGCGACGGCATCGTGCGCTGGCTGTGCAAGGCGCTCGCGCGCGCCGAGGGTGACTCGGCGAGCGGCGCGAGAGCGGGAGGCGGCAAGGTGCGGCCGGGCGAGAAGGAGGGCGTCAAGGCCGAGGTCGACGAGAAGGAGAGGGAGCGCGCGAGGGAGGAGACGGCGCGCAGTGGGACCTCGACCGCCGCGTGCCGGTCCAGCTGCCCGTCCACGCGCGCTCGGCGTCGCCCGCCAAGTCCGAGCTGTCCACCACCACCAGTAGCGTCGGCGCCACGGCAACGGCGCGACCGCACCCGCGCTCTCGCCGCACGAGCCCGCCTTTACCGCCGCCGCCGCCGACCCGTCGACCGCCGCCGTCCCCTCCCTCCCCTCCCTCCCCGCATCGGCTCACCCGCCCGCCTCGGCCGCCTCGACGACCGTGCCCGAGCGCGTCGGCGACTCGCACGTGTGGCTCTTCCCCGGCGCGAACCGCGAGAGCCGGTGGGTGCGCGCCGTGCGGGAGGCGTACGGGCCTGACGGCGAGGGCGGGCGCGAGGGTGCGGGCGCGGTGGGAGGCGGCAGCTCGAGCGAGGACGACGAGGAGGACGAGGGAGGAGAGGCCGAGCTGCGCAGGGCGCAAGAGGGTGACGAGGCGCCCGTCGAGCTGCCCGCGAGCTTGGCGCCCGGGGCGGCCGAGGGTCTGCCGTCCGACGAAGAGTCGGACGCGGCGGGTCTCAGCGATGACGACGACGATGACGAGGGCGAGGGCAGGAGGGGCGCTCAGGTCTGAGGAGGCGCGCGAGGTCGAAAGGGAGGAAGGAGGACGTCTCGCGCTCGGTCCTTCTCTTTTGTTGTTGTTGTTCTTGCCTCGAGCTTGAAACTCGCAGACTTTCCTTGGCCACACATTCTCTCGTTACTCTCTTGGCGAGGAGCCGACTGCGCGAGCGAGAACTGCCTGTGTTGCACTGCTGCGCCTCCTCTACTCCTTGCTCGCCCTCGCTCGCTCGACCGCCGCCAACGTCCCTCGTCGCTCAAGCGAGGTACGGGAACATCGCTGCGCGCACGTCAATTCTCGCGGTCAGTCATGATCTCGTGAGGTACTCCCGCTACAGCACCCGCACGCTGCGGCGCAAACGCGCCACCGAGTGCAGGTGCGCACGCTCGAGCGCGCACGAGAGCGAGATGGAGAGACGCGCCGCACCCTTGCGGCCCCTCGGGTACTTGTCTCCGAACTCCTTGCGGTACCGGCGGTGCTTCTTGAGGGCCCAGATGTACATCTGGCCGATGGCGACGGCCGAGAAGAAGGCAGCTGCGGGCGGCGAGGAGCGAGGAGGGGGACAGAGAGGAGAGAGTCAGTGACGCAGGCCTAGAAGAGAGGACGAGAGACGGAAGAGGCGAGGGCGAGGGAGGAGGATGGGGCGAAAGAGGGTGGGATTCTCGGGGGGGAACGAGGCGACGCACCGGCCCAGTTGAGCGTCAAGCCCGTGTAGGCGAGCCATGCGACGCTCTCGAACCAGTAGTTTGCGCAGCTGACGCTGTCGAAGCCGTAGCCGGTCGGGATCGCGCGCGCCTTGGTGCCCTTGGGGCGCAGCGACGCGAGGTTGAGGTGCGTGACGAGGTTCGACAGCTCGGCGTACTGCGGAGCGCGAGAGGGAGGGCGTCAGGTGTCGTGTACGGGTCCCGTGCGTGCGCCGAGAATGGGGAGGCGAGGGACGTACCACCCAAAGCGCGGTCCAGCCGTACAGCCACGCGTTGCCGTCCTGCACGGTGCCGGCGAGCTTGGCGGCGCCGTTCCACGGGCCGTACAGCGGGACGGCGAGAAGGACGCCCGACAGGCCCCAATAGTGGCCCGAGCTGCACGCAGAGAGTTCGCGTGAGCACCGGCGTGCGAGAAAAGGGAGGTGCGAGTGGACGCACTTCTTGAACAGGTTCAGGATCGGCATCGTCGCCGACGAGAAGCGGTGCACGCTGCAGAACAACGTGTCAGTCCTGCTGTACAAGTCTGAAGAAGAGAGAGAGGCGAGGACGTACAAGAGCGTCTCGAGCTCGCGCTTGGCGTAGTGGAGGAGGACGAGGACGAGCGCGACCCTGCGCGCTCCGTTCATGGTCAATGTCTCGCTCTGTAGACATGGGAGGGGGACAGGTCGACGCACTGCTGCATGCGCGAGTGCTGGAACTGCTGGCGGTAGAAGAGCTTGCTGCCGAAGAAGAAGGCCGGGTGGATGAAGAGCGGGCCGAACTGCAGGAGCGCAAGTCGGTCGGTCAGGACGGCGTGCGAGTGGCGGTCGGCGTCGAGGAGAGTGCGCACGTATTCGGTGAGGAACTGTGGGCGACGAGGGCAGGCGAGGTTAGCCGGGCTTGAGTTGAGGGAGAGGGGCGAGGCGACGCACGACCGTCTTCCAGGCTGCGACGGCGGCGAGGTCAGCGCGGGCGAGAGGGAGAAGGAGAAGGAGGCGGGAGAGTGGACGGACCGACTTGAGGTCCGAGGTCCTTGAAGTCGAGCGAGTCGCCGTCGCGGACGCCATAGTCGGCGAGCGAGCGGTCGTCGTCGTCGAGGACCTTCTTGTCCGAGGTGGTGATGCGCTGGCGGTGGACGTTGACCTGTGTGTGTGCAGTGAGTCGCGTGCGCTGCCAGGCGGGCCGGGGAGAGGGCGGGAGGGACGGACCTTGGCCTTGTTGGCGATGGCCGACTTGAGCGAGCCGACGGTGGGCTGGGAGCCTGCGAGGTCGAGCGAGAGAGGGAACCGGCTCGAGGGCTTGCTCGAACGGGGCTTGACTGTGACGCGCATCGTAGCTCTGGTCCAGGCGAGAGGGTGGAGAGGGCGAGAGGAGGAGAGCGAGAGGCCGGCTTGACCTCGTCCTCATCTCACCGGCTGCAGCTCCCACCTCGCACACTGCTTGCCTGCCACTAGCTCGTCGACCCACCTCACTCTCGACCCGGCGCACCCTCGTCGTCGCGCCGCGCGAGGCCCCGTCCTCGTCGCCATGGAGGCCGCCGAACTCGCAAACCAAGCCATCCAACACAGCTACTCCAAGGACAAGAAGGTCGGCGAGGGTACCTACGCCGTCGTCTACCTCGGCAAGCAGCTCAAGACTGGCCGCAAGATCGCCATCAAGAAGGTGAGTCCCTCCTCCTCCTCTCCTCCCTCCCCCACACACCTCGCGCGACTCACCCGTTCCCTCCCTGCCGCAGATCAAGGTCGGCCAGTTCAAGGACGGCCTCGACATGTCGGCCATCCGCGAGGTCAAGTTTCTGCGCGAGCTGCGGCACCCAAACGTCATCGAGGTGCGCCCTCTCTCTCTTTCCCTCTTGTTCGCGTCTCGGTTCCCTCTTGACGGCTGACCCGCCTCTGTTGCCCCACCATCGACAGCTCCTCGACGTCTTCTCCAACAAGACCAACCTCAACCTCGTCCTCGAGTTCCTCGACACCGACCTCGAGGCCGTCATTCGCGACAAGGCCCTCCTCTTCCAGAGCGCCGACATCAAGTCGTGGATGCTCATGACGATCAAGGGCCTCGACTTTTGCCACCAAAACTGGATCCTCCATCGCGTGCGTCCGCCTCTCGCTTTCCCTCGTCTCCCTCTCGCGCCGCCGCCGCCGCGTCCGACGGGCCTGACCCTCCTCTCGTCGCCCGCTCGCAGGACATGAAGCCCAACAACTTGCTCATCTCGGGCGACGGCGTCCTCAAGCTCGCCGATTTCGGTCTCGCGCGCGAGTACGCCGACGAGGCGGCCAAGATGACGTGCCAGGTCGTGACTCGGTGCGTTGCACTCTCCCCGGCCATGTTCCTCGACTCTGTCGCGCCTCGGGCGGCAGAACCCGAACTCGGTCCTGAGCTTCGTGCCTCCACAGGTGGTACCGGTGTCCTGAGCTCCTCCTCGGCGCCCGCTCGTACTCGACCGGCGTCGACATGTGGGCGACCGGATGCATCTTTGCCGAGCTCATGCTGCGCGTGCCGTTCATGGCCGCCGAGAGCGACATGGAGCAGCTCAACATCATCTTCACCGCGCTCGGGACCCCGACCGAGCAAGACTGGCCGGTACGTCCGCCACCTTCCTCCCTTTCCTCGCCCTCCTCGACCTCGTGCGGGCGAGCCTGACTCTGTCCCCTTCTCATGCAGGGCTTCGGCAAGCTCAGCAGCGGCGCGACGTTCGACCCGAAACCGCGCAGCGACCTCGGGTCGCTGTTCAGCGCCGCGTCGCCCGAAGCCATCGACCTCCTCCACAAGACGCTCCTGTACGACCCTCGCAAGCGCATCACCGCCCGCGAGGTACGCCCGCCTCTCTCTGCCCAGCCCCCCTGCACTGCAATCGAGTACTGACTCGACCTGTCGTCGTCGTGCAGGCGCTCCACCACCCCTACTTCCACACCTCGCCCCGCCCGACCCCGACTCGGCTCCTCCCGAAACCGACGGCCGAACTCGCGCCGCGCGCACTCCCGCCAGAAGAAGTCGGCGCTCCCGTCGGCATGGGCAGCAAGAAGCGCAAGGGCGAGGGGTACGACGAGATCCCGGGCGCGAAGAAGGTCGCGAGGCGGTTGGACTTTGGACAGGGTTAGTCGTCGTCGTCGGGTCGAAGGAGGGGGCCGAACGGCTGGGAGGCCCGTGTGTTGTACTTGATACCCCCCTCGCAATGTGCATCTCTCCCTTGCTCGTCGTTGCGCGCTCTCGTGGGACGCGGCGAGGCTCGGAAGCTTGTCGGCCGGGTCGGCGCCAACCTTCTTCTCGCTCCTCTCCCTCGGTACCCTGCTCTCGCCTGCACCGTCCGGCACAAGCTGCCGGCTACTCGGCAACGGCTGCGAGTCCCTGCCTGCCCCGCCAATCGCTGCCCGCGTCCGTCGGCGCCCGGCTCGCCCTCATCACCGCTCGACCCCTCGCGGCTCGACAGCAGCAGCTCACGGCTCTCAAGATGCCGCCCGACCAGTCGAACAGCAGCAGCAAGCCAGCACACTCGCCCTACCATGCCTTTCCCACCCCGTTCGACCGTGCGTCCTCGGTTCCTCACCTCCCCCTTCCCGGCACCTTCGCCGCGCCTCGAGCTGACTCGCCGCCCGTGTACAGAGATCAGCGGCGACTCGTACGACTCGCCCGGCTTCTTCGACAGCCCGCACACCCTGCAAGAAGTCGACATGTGCGCCCTGTCGTACGCGCTCCGAGCCAAGGCGGGCTGGGCGCTGAAGGTCGGCGACCCGGTCATCCGCGCGAGGTGGCGCGCTGAGGCGCTCGAGGCGGTCAGCGGCGAGACGAGCATGGTGGGACGAGGCGAGGACGCCGAGGGAGGGGCCGGGCACGAGGTGGTCGAGGTCGAGCGGCCGAGGTTGACCGAGAAGATGGTCGACTACGTCCTCGACGAGCTCGCCCTGCACGCCAAGGAGCTCGACGACCCGCACGGCATTCGAGTACGTCCACGCTCTCCTCTTCGGACGCCGCACGGGGTTTCCTGACCTGAGTTTTTCGCGCTCGCAGGCATCCTGCTTCGACCGCATCTACGAGTCCGACTCGCTCGTGCCCGACTCGCTCCTGTCCCAGCTCAAGGAGCACGTCGCCGACCTCGAGGCCAACCCACCGTACGGCTCGCCCGACTTTCACCCGGGCTCGAACGACCAGGTCCTCGACCTCGTCCACCCGTCGCTGTTCCCGCTACGGTACGGCGTCACGCCCGTTCGCGACGTCGACGAGGACGGCCTCGTCATGGCCAACGCCGGGACCGCTCCAGAGCCGAGGAATGCGGTGCACTCGACGAGCAAGAAGTTCCAGTGGCTCCCGAGCGACTTCGATAGTGCGTCTCTCTCGCTCTCTCTCTCTTTGCGCCTCGAGGCCTGGCCTGACGTACAACGTGCACCCACAGTCGACGAGTCGGGCAAGACGACAATCTCCTCGTACATCAACGGCCTGCACCCGGTGGACCACGCGCCGCTGTACCTCGTCCTCGCCCGCCTGTTCGAACACTTCCTCCCGATGTTTGAGCGCGTCGTGTCCGACCTGCAAGCGCCCCCGCCGCGCCGCATCAACGTCGACTACAACGTCGTCGGCTCGTGGTACGGCGAGCTGCCCGACTACATGGACGACGAGCAGTGGCACGAGTGGGAGGAGAGCAAGGTCCTGTCGCTCCCCGAGCCGGCGCCGTTCGACCTCGCCGTCAAGTCGGCCGAGCTCAAGCGTCGCACAGAGGCCCCGGTCTTCCCGCTCAAGGGCCGCAAGCTCCAGGTCATCGTCAAACTCGCCAACATCCAGCTCTCGCCCGACAATCCCGACTATCCTGGCGGCGTCTGGCACGTCGAGGTGCGTCCGTGCCCTCTCTCTCCTCTCTCCTTTGTCCGTCTCTGACACTTGACTCGACCTGTCGCGGTGTGCAGGGCATGCAGAACGAGGAAATCGTCGCGTCGGTCATCTACTACTACGATCAGCTCAATATTGGCGAGTCGAGGCTCGCCTTTCGCGGCACCTTTGCCGACGAGGAGCTCCCGTACGAGCAGAACGACGTGCGAGGCGTCAAGACCGTGTTCGGCATCGACCCGTGCGTCCCTCTTTCTCTCGGTCGGTCCCTCGCGCGAGCCTTTCGCCGCTCGGCCACGCCCGCCTTGTCGCCTTTCCTGACCTCTCCCTCTGCCTCCCAACGCGTACAGGGAAGGCCCGTGTCTGCAGTACTACAACTCGGCCAACACGTGCGGCGGTCGCGCCTTGGCCTTCCCCAACATCTACCAGCACAAGGTCTCGCCCTTTTCGCTCGCCGACCCGACCCAGCCCGGGCACCGCAAGATCCTCGTCTTCTTCCTCGTCGACCCGCTCAAGCCGATCGTCAGCACGAGCCGGGTCCCGCCGCAGCAGCGTGCGTGGGTCGAGCGCGAGCTGCCGCGCAACGAGCGCACGGACAAGGTGCCCGTCGAGCTGTGGGACCAGGTCCTGAGCGACGTCGAGGGCCTCATGACGTACGACGAGGCCAAGGCGGTGCGCGACGAGCTCATGAAGGAGAGAAAGTTCCTCGTCGAGGAGAACTCTCAAAAGGTCTTTGAGTGCGTCGCCTCGTCTTCTCTCTCTCTTTCTCTCTCTCGCCGTGCTCGGCCGGCGTGCTCACCTCGTGCTCTTCTCACACAGGCGAGCGTTCTCTCTTTGCGAGCACTGAGGACGTGCCCCTTGCCTCTCTGTCTCTCCTTGTTCGTAGTCGAGCTGTCGCTGGTCGATGGCTCGTTTGCAATACATTTCTTATACAGCGCGCTCCTCGACGTCACAGAAGAACTCTCGCTGGTGCGCGAACCATTGAGACTCGCAGAACCACGGCGCGGCCTCGTCAACCTTGCCGTCGACGGTGCGGCCGGGGAGCTTGTGCGGCGACGATGGCGAGCGAGGGGTGAACGAGAACTTGAACCGGTACAGGAGCGACGGCGCGAGTTTGGTGAGCTCCATGAGCGCAACGTTCTGCAAGACAGGCGAGTCAGGAGACGTGCTCGTTCGCCCGCGAACGAGAAAGAGAACAATGAGAGGAGAGGTTCGAGCGCACCTTTCCGACGCAGACACGGTTGCCCGACCCGAACGTGAGCAGGTTGCGCTCGAGCGCCTTCTTCTCGTCGTCGCTCGCCTCGAGCCATCGCTCGGGTCGAAACTTGTGCGCATCGGGCCCGAACGCCTTGGTGCGGCGGTGGAAGACAAAGGGCGACATCCCGACGTTCACGCCTGCGGTGGGCGAGTACGTCAGTACCGTGCAGAGTAGCTGCGGCCGATGCACGCATTCCTGCGCAGCGAATGCGAGTGCGCCGAGTGGCGAGAGAAGGGAGAACGTGCGGCTCACCTTCCGAGAAGAAGCGCCCGGCGATGACGGCGCCGCCCTTGGGCACGACCCGAGGCAGGATCCAGGGCACCGCAGGATGAAGGCGAAGCGTCTCCTTGAGGCAGGCCTGTGTGTTCGTGAACGAGAAGGTGCGTGAGTCCGAGGAAGGCGGAAAGCCGCCGTTTGAGAAGGTCGAGACGAGGACGCACTTGGAAGTACAACAGCTTGGACCCTGCAGCGTGCGAGATCGGGAACTCGATGATGCCCTCGTCGAAAGCGTGTTCGAGCTCGTCCATGACCTTCTTGTAGACGGCCGGGTCGGCGACGATGTAGGCGAGGAGGGCGCGGAACGTGATGCTCGTCGTGTCGGACCCGGCGCCTGCACTCGGCGGCCTAGTCAGTACACGGATGCCGAAAGAGAAGGTGGCAGAGGGCGTACCGAGAGCGCTGTTGGCCTGGACCTTGACCTGCTCGACCGAGAACGGCGACCCGTCGGGATTTTTGGCGGCGATGAGCTTCGAGAGGATGTCGCGGCGGATGCTGTCGGCGTCGCCCGACTCTTGCGCTTGCTTGAGCTCGTCGAGACGGAGGGCGACGGCCTGACCAGCCTTCTGGCCGAGTGCGACGTTGCCCGAGGAACCGAGACGGCGCGTGAGCCACCAATGCAAGACGCGACGAGCCCAGGGCTGCGTGCCTGTGAGAGCGAAAGTCAGGCGATCCACACTGAGGATACCGAGAGAAAGTTGAGCGCACCCGAAAGACAGGACGAGGCAGTGTAGGCATCCAACATGGGGAGAAAGGCGGACGTGTCGAACCCGGCCTTGGTCAAGCCGAACGAGCGGCCGAACGCGAGCTCGCCGACGACGTCCATCGCGAGGAACTGGAGCAGGTCGCCCATGTCGACGGTCGCCTTGCCGCCGCCCTTGTTGATCTGGCCCTCGAGCTGAGCGCACAGGTCGTCGAAGCAGGCGTCGACAAACTCCTCGAGCTCGACGAGGAGGTGCATCGAGAAGGCCGGGCTGACACCTCGTCGGGCCAGGGCGTGCTCGTCGTGCGAGAGGGTCGCGAGGAGCGAGGGCTTGGTGACCTTCTGCGGGACGAGAACGGGACCGAGTCGAGGGTCAGAGCCTGTCCTGCGACGCGCCGACGAGGTGCGAGACGGCCGACGCACGAAGAACTGGTAGAACGGCGACTTGTCCTTGATCGGGCCACCGTACTTGTAGATGTCCTGCACGGCGCCTGGCGCGACGACCGAGACGTCGTTGCGGCCGATGCGGACAAAGTCGCCGTAGCGGTCGTGCAAGGCCGCGAGCTTCCACCCAAAGTCGCGCTTGGCCGCCCGCACGGTTGACCATCCTCCGAGGCCGAGCCGAGCGCGTAGAGGTCCTGGGACGCTCGCGAGAGGGTGCAAGAAGAAGGACCAGGCAGCGTACGCGACGACCGCCGCGGCGAGCGAGCCCGCGAGGGCGAGGACCGTATCGCGAGGCGAGCTGAGTAGCGAGCTGCTCATGGTACAGCCAGGTGCTCGAGCCCTGCAGCGATGCAGAAGAAGAGAGAGATGCGAGCCGAGGGAAGCGGGGAAGGAGAAGGGGCGGCCGGCCACGGTCCGCCTCGCCGCAAGCCAGAGACAATTGTCCGCTCGGTTGCCGATCTTTGTGCCGAGCAAAGCGCGCTGAATTAAAGTACTGGAGCAGCGGACGGTCGGCGGACGTGGGGAGGAGCGACCAAGTTGGGCGCTCGAGCAAGCGCGGCAAGGCGGCCCAAGTTTCTCGCGAGACTCGGTCGTGCAGCTCTCGCCGGGCGACAGGAAGCAACAGAGGCAAATGCGTGTGACAACATAGTACAGACTCGAGAGCTGAACGCGCTAGGCGGTCGCCGAGACGGCTGAAGAAGCTCCATCGACCACCAACCCGTTCGACCTCGAGTCCTCGCCGGCCGGCGCACCCATGACGACGTCCTCTGCCGCACCGCCTCCTCGACTCCCACTGCCGTTGCCGCTGCTCGAAGCCGATGGCGCTGCGGCGAGGAGCGCCTCAAGCGGGATCTTGGACGCGATGAACTCCTTGATCTTGGGCATGCTCGCGTGCAGAAGGTGCGTCGGGCGAGACTCGTCCTCGGCGGCTGCGGGCCAAGGTGCAAGGTCAGTCATGAGTATGTGGGCCGAACAGAGAGGACGACAGGGACGCACTGGCACGATGAATGTTGCCAAACTTCTTCTGGTGCTTGCCGGCCCGACGAGCGTCCTCCTGCAGCACGTGGGTCGCCGGGAGAAGGACGAGCGAGGTCTGCGAGAGGTGCACGTGTCAGGACTTGATTCAGAGGGAACGGTCCGACGACGAGAGCTCACGTTCTTGTACCACGGGCGGACGCCCGACGCGGCGTCGAGGATGGGCGGCTCCTCGTGCCCGAGGACCGAGATGCAGGCACGCACGCGCTCCTTGAGGGCGTGACCTGCAGACGAGAGCAAAAGGGTCGGTGCTCGGCGTCGAGAGGCTCGTCAAGCAGGGAGAGAGAGGCTCGTGCGCACCTCGGTGGCGGACCATCTCCATGAGGGCGCTGCAGCCCGCGCCGCTGCCGAACAGGATGACGTGCTGCGCGCTCGAGAGCCTGTCGACGACAAGGGAAAGGCGTGAGGCCTCGGGACATGCTGCGAGAGCGAGGGAAAGGGAGAAGCGACGTACGAGACAAAGTTGTCCCAGATGTAGAGAGCGAGTTCCTTCTCCCGCGCCTTGTTGCGGTTGACGTCGGCCTGCGCGCAGTCCGAGACAGTCAGGGATTGGACACGAGGGAGAGGGAGAGGCGGCGAGAGCGAGGGCGCACAGGTTGACCTTTGACCGTCGCGAGGTGGGCGAGCAGGTTGACGTCGATGACGCCGAAGCCGTGGTCGACGAGCGCCCAGTCGAGCACCTCGCGACTCGTGTCGAGCTGCAGGTGGACGAGAGGGTGGTCAGTTAGGGCGCCGAGAGGTGCGAGAGAAGGGGGCGCACGAGCTGTGTCCGCTCGAGGTCCGTGTCGAGCGTTGCCGCCGTGTACGCCGCCTTCATCGAGCCGAGGTCGTGCATGAAGACGAGGAGCACTTCTGCGTCGTAGATGTTCTCCCTGCAGGGTGATGTCACGCAGTGTGAGCGCCTGTGCCGCTGGCACGAGTTGCGCCCGAGAGAGAGGACCAGACCGACGCACGAGATGAGGAGCTGGTCGTGGTACGCCTCCTCGAGCGACGCCGAGCTGAACGCGACGTTGAAGAGCTCGTACTCGTGGAAGAGGTCGTACAGGCGGTGCGCCTTCAAGATGTCTGCGTGCGGGGCAGGACGAGGTCAGGCTCGTGATGGGCGACGAGGCAAGGAGAGGAGAGGGCGGCGACGCACCGGCCAGCGACTCGATCTTGCCCGCCTTCGTGAGCTCTGCAGGGTGTAGGACGTCAGGACACGTCGCGGTGACACGACCGAGGGGAACGCCCACGCACCGTCTTGTCCCTCGACCGCCTCGCCCATGCATCGCCAGTGGTTGGCCTGCATCCTCTGCACCTCGTACACCGTGTTGGTCGCCGCGAGCGAGGCACTGCCCAGGCTCGGCATGACGGGGAGCTCGTCGCCGACGAGCGTCTGGACGCAGGCGTGCGCCGACTCGGCGATCGCGTTGACGTTGTACCCGCCCTCGAGCGCGACGAGCACCTTGCCGCCGGCGAGCGACGACAGCATGTGCGTCATGTGGGCGTAGCCGTCGGGCGAGACGAGCATCTTGCCGAGCTCGTCGCCTTTGGCGGCGTCGAAGCCGGCCGAGACTGCGTGAGGCGAGGGTTGGTCAGGGCCGGCTGCACCCCGAGCACGACGAGGGCGAAAAGCGGGACGTACCGAGGACAAAGTCGGGCGCGAACTCGAAGGCGATCGGCATGACGATGCGCTGGAAGGCGTACAGGTAGTCGGCGTCGCTCATGCCCTCGTTCAGGAACGGGATGTTGACCGAGCTGCACGATCAAAAGGCGCCGTCAGGACCTGTCGAGGAGCGCGCTCGTAGGCGACACCGACCGCGAGAGAGAGAGAGAGAGAGAGAGAGAGAGAGAGAGAGAGGAGGGAAGGAGGACGCACAAGCCGCGTCCAGCGCCCGAGCCCGTTGACTCGAGCGCGCCGTAGTCGCCACCGGGGTAGAAGCCGTTGCCGTGCCGGTGCAGCGAGATGAACAGGATGTCGGCGTCGTCCTCGAACGCCCTCTGCGTGCCGTTGCCTGCGGGAGAGGAACGTGCCTTGAGGTCAGGTCCGGGAAAGAGTGGCCGGCGGGCCCAAAGGTGGCGAGGAAAGAGGGGACGGACCGTGGTGGACGTCCCAGTCGAGGATGAGGACGCGGTTCATCTTGATATCGCGCCCGTTGACGTCCTTCTGCGTGCCCGAGCCGTACACCGTGCGCAGCCACCTCGCCGTAATGGCGACGTTGTTGAAGAAGCAGAAGCCCATGGCCTCCTCGGGCTCGGCGTGGTGGCCTGGCGGGCTGCGGACGCAGACGACGACGCATGTCAGTACCTGCACCCTCACACAGGGGCTGAACGAGAAAAGAGGCGACGCACCGCACGATGGCGAACCCGTTCCGGATCTGGCCCTCGGCGACCGCCCTCGCCATCTCGATCACGCCGCCGCACGACAGGCGAGCGCAGAACGCCGAGTCCGGGTTGACGTAGAGCGAGAGACGCTCGAAGAACTCCTTGCACGTCTCGAGGTAGTCGATCGTCTGGACTGGGCGCGAGGAAAGGGAGGACCGCGTTTGGGAAGGTCAGGTCGACGCTGATTTGGGGAGGGGGAGAACAGGCAAGGGGAAGGAAGAAGGACGTACAGCCAGTTGCTCGGACACGATCCCAGTGACCCTCCGAGTGCACGAGCATGACCTCCTCGCGCAGGACCTCGCGCACAGGCACGCGCACCATCCTCGCGACGAGACCGCCGTCTGCGACGGGCACAAACTGTGAGCAGCACGCCCTCGAGCGAGGCTGAGAGGAAGTCGAGAACGCACTCAGGAGCTTGTTGTAGATGCCCGTGATGCGCGCCGGCTGTTCGGGATGCGGATCGTTCTCGTTGACGGTCCTCGGCAGTGGCGCGTGCAGCGTCATGCGCGCCGAGAAGCAGAACCCTGCGGACACACGCACACGGTCGTCAGGTTTCCTGCGAGGGTAGGACTGAGGGCGGACGAGGGACAGGAAGAGACGTGGGCGGGCGCACCTGAAGGAACCCTCCCGAGGCCCATCTTCTTGAGCTGCTCGACGCTCAGGCTCTGCACCTCGTCGTCGTGCACGACGCCCGGCGTGCGCACGAGGTCGTTCATGCCGTTGGTCTGGCTCGCCTTGATCTCGGCGTCGCTGATGAAGCGTCGTGTTGGCGGGTCGCGGCTCAGGCCGGCGCCGAGCTCGACGGCGGGCGGCTCGTATGGGGTTGGGCGCGTGTAGGGCTGGGCGTTGGGGAGGACGGCGGCGCGTGCAGGCACGCTCGCGAAGCCGGTGAGGGGGAGGGCGGACGGGTCTTGCTCGGGGAAGGGGTGGAGGAGCGACTGGCCGGGTTGCTGAGGTGCCGACGATGAGCTGACGACGGGTGGCGGCGGCACCGAGGGCGGAACAGGCACGACAGCGGCGGTGACGTGCACCGGCTCGACTGGAGCCGCCGCGACGAGAGACAACTCGGCGGAGGAAGGCGGTGCGGGTTGAGGAGCCGGCGCGGGCTGGGAGGGCTGCGCGGGCTCGGCCGACTGCGCCTGCGTGTACACCAGGGGCTGCGAGAGGCCGTCCATGTCGCGCGCAGACGCGTTTGGCGCGCGTTGCGATGAGGGTGAGGGCGAGGAGTTGGCGGAGACGGTTCGCCAAGTCGGTGTGGTCGAACCGCAGCGTAGGAGGCTCTCGCTGTGCTGCAAGCCTCTCAAAGTGCTCGTATTACGCTCGCCAGCTTCGCACAGGCCGCGAGCGCTCCGGGTGCTGGGGGTCTCGAGGGTGAGCTGCCGCAGCGACAGGTCAAATCAGCTTACGCTTATATTCATGCTTGAACGGGTTGGCCGCTCTAAGCAAGGTTGCATGGTGTAGTCGGTCATCACGTCAGTTTAACATCTAGTTCACTGAAGGTCCTCAGTTCAAACCTGGGTGCGATCATCTTTTTGCTCGGGGCGAGGATCGTCCACAGGCCGCCTGGTTACCTTTTGCCTCGCCAGACGGCTTTCAACAAGGTCTGGGAAGCCCTCGCCGTCGTTTCTGAGGCTACCGGCGAGTGCGCTGAGGTCGACACCGCGAGCTGGCTTCTGCCAACTCGACTGAAGACGCGGCCACAGCTTGTTGCTGCGGCACTGGGGGACGACGTCTCGCACGCTGTCGGACAGGCACCCAGGCTTCGTCCAGCTTTCCGAGAAAGAGACGAGGAGGCTGGCCGGCGTCGCTTCCCGCACTCCTCCGCACGCTTCGGTCGCGTTGCCCGCGACGATCTGCTCCGTCCAGGCCTGGTCCGGGTCCGACAAGCTCCAGAGCGGGCTGCACCCGCCGCACCACCCGCCTGAGCCAGGGGCGAGCCGGCCACCCTCCTCATCGTTTCGGACAACCGCCGCCTCGTCCTCGACCTCGACACGGCACCGAGGCTGCGGCGTCGAGTGTGCGAGTGCACCGTTCGCCTTCACCTCGGCCGGGCACAAACCCCCATCGGTCCACCGTCGCCCTTCGCCCTCGCGCACACCCGCCTCAGCACCGCCTCCTTGTTCTCCCGCCCGCTCGCGCCTGCCCTCGCCCGTCACCGCCCGACAACCCGACTCTCGGCGCAGCAGATGAGCACATCGTTCGGCACCGTCGCAGGCGTCGCAGCCAGTCGCGAGGGCGGCGCGTCCACCGGCCTCGACCCGACCTCCTCGCCCACGCTCTCGAGGCGCCCCATCCCGAGCGACGACTCGTCGACGACGTCGTCGTCGCAAGGCGCACCTTCCGCCTCGTCGGGCGCGGCCTCGACCAACGACCTGTCGCAGCTCCGCCGCCGGTCGAGCGTCACCAACCTGCACTCGGCCCTCCTCGTCGTCGACGACATGGCGCCGGCACCAGCGTCGACCGCGATGGAGCGGGTCTCGTCGCTCACGACGTTCATGAAGGGCGGCGGCGCAGCAGGGTGCGACAAGGCGGCGGTCAGGGCGGGACCGGGACTCGGGCGCGACCAGTCGAAGCGCGCCAGCACCCGTCCGACGCCATCGCTCCTGCCCATCAACCGTCGCCGGCTCTACACGAGCCTCGCTCGACTCGGTAGCCTCGCCGCTGCCGCCCTCGTCGCCGTGTACCTCGCCAAACTCGTCGCCGCGCCGTTCCTCCCCAAGGTCCGGGGCGAGCGCATCTTCAACACGCTCGAGACGGTCCCCTACCCTCTCGCGACCCACCCCCGCACCCCTCGAGCCGCCGAGCAGCGCACCCTCGCCTTTGCCGACTACCTCACGACCCGCCTCGGCTCGCACTTCTCGTCGCCGGCCGGCAACCTCCCCGGCCGCACCAAGCCCGGCAGCCAGCTGTGGCTCACGACGGCCACAAACCAGTCGGTCGCCATGGGCGCGCGGCACCTCGTCGCCTTTGCCGAGCGCCTCGAGGCGACCGGCGGCCCGTCGGCGTTTGCGCCCGTTCGCGCCGAGGTCAACGGCTCGGCCACGCCGCTCGAGGCGCTCGAGAACCGCGAGCAGCGCGACGCGAAGCGCGCCGTCGTCACGCTGTGCCAGGACGAGGCCTGCATGGAGTACTGCCGCCGCGACCCGCAGCTGTTCTGCTACGGCGGCTTCTTCGACGGCAAGGGCCGTCGTCCACGCGTCGCGAGCCAGGTCGGCGGCGGGGCATCAACGTTCGCCGAGATCGCCAAGCTCGCGGGCACGATGGAGGCGCTGCAGAGCGGGAGGCGCGTGTTCTGGGTCGACGAGTGCGTCCCTGTCCTCCTCCCTCGTCGGCCGGGTCCAGTACCGAGAGCGCAACTGACCTCATTCCCTTTTTCTGTCCCTCCCGCAGCGGCACCTACTTCAAGGAGGACCCAGTGCCGTACATGGGCGACCTCGGCTTGTTCGACATGCAGATCCCCGAGAGCTGGACGACCGGTCGCCCAAACTCGGTCCGTCCTCATCTCCCTTCCTTCTCTCGCCCGGCCACCGAGCTCACCCTCTCACACGCATTCAGGGCTTCTCGTTCTTCGCTCCGACACAGCGCGTCATCTCGCTGTTCGACCGCCTCCTCGTCATCTCGCGGCACATGCGCCAGAAAGACCGCGAGGGGTGGGCCTCGACCAACCTCCTCCTGGACCCGTCGGGCGAGCAGCAGTACATGAAGCGCGTGCCTCCCGTGCACAAGACGGGCCTCGACGAGAACCTGTACGACGACGAGCCCGACACGGCGGCGGCGAGCTACGGGTCGGCGTCGTTCGAGAGCTCGTGGGACGGCGGTATCGACGTTCGCGTCCTCGACCCGCAGCGGTTCAAGACGAGCGAGGGCCGCCTCGGCCGGCGCCTCTTTGCTTTCGAGAAGGAGCGACAGCGCGAGACGCTGTACTGGCACTGCGCATGCTGCGGCGACTCGGTGCGTCTCCTCTTCCTCCTTGCCCCTTTCCCTCCCCTCCTTCGAGCCTCTCTCTTTGCCACCCCTTTCTCTCTCTCGCGCCGACTTTCGCCTCTATTCTCGTACGTGCAAAGGACCTCCTCACTGAGCCTCGACGCCCTCACAGTTCGACAACGACTACATCAGCGGCGCCCTCGGCTACCACCAGCCGTCCCTGACCTACTCCTTCCCCTCCAACTCGACCTCGTCCTCCAGCTCGACCCTCCCTTCCTTCCCCCTCGTCCTGCGCGTCCCCGAGCTGCGCGGCAAGCCCGCCGAGATCCAGTTCGCCATCTCGCTCCTCCTCCAGATCGCGCACGACTCGGGCCGGGTCCTCGTCCCGCCTTTGACCGGGTTCGTGCGCAAGCGCGAGCACGGTCGCATCGCCGAGTCGGAGAAGTACGTGTGGCGCATCCTGCCGGCGCCGCTGTGGGCGCACCCGAATCGCGCGGCGGCGACGACGGCGCTCCGAGGCGTCAAGCGCCCGCCTGCGGCCGTCCAGGTTCGCGAGCCGGGCTTTGTCCAGCACGCCGTCGAGTACCTGTGGGCCGAGCACGTCGGCGACAACGCGGCGCGGCAGCTCGTCAACGAGCTTGAGATGCCGCTCGTGCTCGACATGCGCGAGATCGACTCGCTCAAGGCGCTCGTGACGGGCCTGACGCAGCCGTTCTGGAGCACCGAGCGCGTCGTCGAGATCGAGCAGCTCGAGCAATTCCGAGGCAAGCAGGGGTGGGAGCTGCGCAAGGAGTTCGAGGGCTTGAGCATGTGCCAGCTCGAGGGCGAGCGCGACGACGAGGAGTCGGCGTGCGCCTCGTTGTGCCCTCTTTGATGGCGTCTCGGTGGTCACGGTATCTCTGCATCGGTCCTTTGCATTATCATTGTCGTTGTTCCCGCTCGTCGTGCGACTGCGAGCGGCTGCGTCGGCGTCGCGAGAAGGCTTCCTGTGACGACGAGCTTCTCTCCTGCTCTCGAGCTCTCGGCAGGACGGGGTGCGAGGGTACTGCATCGTTCTTTCAGTCGCGCTCTCTGTCTACAGCTTGGCCTTGTCCGGCGGCGGGTACTGGCCGGCTGGCTGGCGGTTCTCGCCCGCTGTCTGCTTAAGCGTCGGTTTGGCCGGGTCTGTGCGCGTCCGAGCCTTGGTCAGCTTCTCAGTGCTCGTCGTTCGTACGTCTCGAGAGACAGAGGAAAAGCCCGGACGCACCGCTCGTGTCGGCCATCATCCACCACACCGCCGTCGCTCCCACCGCTGCGAGTCCGCCAAAGACGAGCGTGTTCGAGTGCTCCCGCGCCTTGTTCTGCAAGTCGCGCTTGTCGTCCTGGATGGGCGTCTGCGAAGAACCGCCGACCGAGGCGTGGCGAACCGTCTGGCGGAGCTGTGGTCGCGAGCGAGAGGTGAGTTGTTGGTGGACGAGGCGGTGCACGGCGCGAGTGCGGCTCACGCACAGTCGGGAGGAGGCGCGCAGGGCGAAGAGTGTGTGCAAGCATGGTGTCGACAAGATGCGGATGTGAGAGTACGAAAGCCGCGCGCGGCGTAGCCAGCGAGAGGGAGAGCGACGCGGCAACTACGTCGACTCGGGCTCGCGCGCGAGGTGCGACCTTCGCAAAGCGCTCGCAATGACAGCGCGTCTCTCGAGCTTTGTGTTACGCGCCAATCGGGGACGTGGACAGCTTAGAGCGCCCTCGGACGGCTCGCCAGATCGTAAAGCGAGAGAGAGGGTCCGTGCGCAGCACAGCCTCTCGCTTTCAAGGTGCGGCACTCGGACAGCTTTTTACTGCAGGCTAGCACGTCTACTCTAGTACGGGTACTTCTCGTCGGTCGTGCCCTTGTCGTTGAGCTTGACGACGCCGGCGACGACCTGCTCCTCGTGCTTCTTGTCGAGGAAAGGCAGAAGGACCGGGTTGAACAGCTCGCCGCCCTTGTACCACGTGACGCTGCGATCGCCCTGTGGCCAGCTCTGCGCGATGAAGAAGAGGTGCGTCAGACTCGGTCGGGCGAGGAAAAGGGAGGTAGAGGTGGGAGAGCGCGAGCGCACCCTGATCCCGGACGCCATTCGGCCTGGCACGCCCGGCTCGTCGGCGAGCTGCGTGACAGGAATGAGGTAGGTCCTGTGCGAGTCGAGGACGCAGTGCGTCAGGACGAGGAGAGGTCGGGAGCGGAAGAGGCAGACAGGCGCACCTGACGGTGAAGAGGATGGCGCGCGTCTTGGGAAGGCGACGCAGCGTCTGCCGCTCGGTGCGGAACCAGACGTCCGAGGCACTGCGAATGCGGTCAAGAATGAGTTCGGCGCAGGAGAGAGAGCGAGAGAGAGAGAGAAAGTTGCGGCGCACCTTGTCGCCGCAGTCGGGTGAACGACCTCTCGAGCCTTGTCGACGAGGTCGGCCTGTGGGCCCTTGGTGAAGTGGTCGAAGATGGCCTCGGTGCCGTTCGTCTTCTCGCTCCAGCTGAGATGCTCGTCGACCTGGAAGAAGTACTGCGGGCGCGGCGGTCGCGAGTCAGTCCGCGCATGAGTTTGGAGGGGAAAAGGGACGACGGCTCACGTTGTTGCGCTCGACGAGCTTGTCCTCGCGCAGGTTGCTGAAGAATCGGTTCATCGACTTCTGATACTTGTCGGCGTAGTTGGGCACGGCGCCTTTGAAGTGAATATCGTCGAGCGTGAGGCCGATCTTGTCCTTGAGGCGCCAGAAGCCTGCAACGGGGTGCGGTCGAGTGAGTGGGCGCATCCTCCTCGTCGACATGGCGAGAGGCGAGGAGAGACGAACCGGCGGTGCAGATTGAGCCGGCCTGGAACCGGTACTCGCCGTTCTCGTCTTCGACCATGACGGCGAGGTCGTCCTGCAAAAGATCTGCGCGGACGGTACAGGGCGAGTCAGTGACGGCTCCTGGATGTAGACTGAGTCCCGGACTGTCGACTCACGGCCTACGACCCGCATCGGGTTCCACTCGGGCCCCTCCTCGCGCTCGATCGCCTCGAGGTCCCAGACGTCGCCCGTAACGACGTTGCGGATGCCCTTGATGGCGCCCGCTTCGGCGCCGGCGACACTGTCGCCATGCGTCTTCGAGTCGGCGGCGTTGTAGGGCGTGCGGTCGACGACGAACAGCTTGGGGAACCGCTGCGACAGGAACGAGGCAATCTCGACGAGCGTCTCGAGGGCGTGGGCGTGGTAGCCAGGTCGGGTGTGGCTGCTCATGAGGGAAGGGTCGGCCATGCGTGCTGCACGGAGCTTGATCGTGTTCTCGTACCTGCGAGGGGAGGCCGTCAGTCGCGAGTTTGGGAAGGCTGGACGACGACGACTCACTCGTTGTCGAGCTGGAGCCACTTGGCCGACTCGACGATGTTGCGGATACCCACTGCGACGAAAAGGAGGATCGTGTGAGGTTCTGGTAGGCGAGGGAGGGAAGGCACGAGGAAGCGGACGCACTGTGCTGCGGGTACAACGGGCCCCAGCGGAAAGGGCGGTACGGGAGAGGCTTGGTCGCTGTGAGCTCGTCTCGACCGTAGTTGTGCAGCACGTCGTTCTGAGAAAGTGGCCATAAGCTCGAGACGGGTTTCTCTGCGTGGGCAGGAGGGTTAGCTCGGACCGTCGACGGGAGAGGGAAGGAGGGAAGAGGACGCACCTGTGGCTGCTGACGTCGGCTGGGTGGCTGACGTACGGGGCAGTCTCTTTGTGCCGACGAAGTAGCGGTACAGGGCGAGTGCAACAAGCAGCGCTGCCGCGACGGCGAGGTTGGCGAGCATGGCGCGAGGAAGCCAGGTCGAGGAGGAGACGCCGAGCGAGAGAAAGGAGTGGATCGTCGGCAGTGCCGCCCGGCTTGGCCTCGAGGCCGCAGAGCGTGCTGCTGATAGACGCTGCGCATCCCCCAGAGTCCCTGGAGCGAGTGGACAATCGCGAGGCGGCGAGGGAGCCGCGCCGAGCCGACGAGGCCACGCAGCCGTCGCGGGCGCACGTGCGGAGAGCGGCAGGTGCTTGGATAGACCGCGAGAGGGTACCGCAGCTTGCACTGGCCCAGCAGGCGGGAGCAGAGGAGCGTGAGGTGCTCGTGGACGAGCGGTTCCCGCGGTTCCTCCTCTCCTCCTTCCGCTCCCTCCTAGCTCGCCTCGCTCGATTGGCAGCCTGACTGCACCACGAGCCGCCACCGGGGCATGCACGCGCCGCAGATGGCAGCGCGCCGCTGCAGGTCGGCCGCTCGCTTGCCGACGGCTGCTCGCCCCGCATCGCCTTAGCCGCAGCTTCGCGCACTCGCTCGCCAGCGGCTCTGGACCTCTGGGTCTCAAGAACGCTCTCGTCCTCCTCTGCTTCCTTGTATCCGCCGTCTCGCCCACCTCTTTCGTCCCGCACCGCCCTCCGCCTTCGCCTCCGCCTCCTCGCCTTGCCGACCTCGACCCTCAGCCCCACGCCCACCATGCCCGGACTCGAACTCGCCAAGGACGCCGTTCACCAGCACAAGCTCACGACCTTGACCGCGACCGCCGCCATCGGTGAGCTCCGCCTTCCTCCCGCACCCCTTCCTCCAGGCGCCTCAACGATTCGCGAGCTGACCTTGCCTTGCCTCCTTCTAGACGACGTCTTTGCGTCTGACGACGCCGTAAAGCCCATCAGCGGCGGCGTCTTTACCGTGACGGCCGGCGATGACCTGCTCAAGTACACGTACCACTACGACGAGGTGCGTCGAGACGTCCCCTCTCCTCGTCCTCCCGCACGCCGAGAACTCATGTGCCGCACCCTGTTCGTCTACCAGCTCAAGGTCATTCTCGAGGGCACGATCGTTCTCGAGGACGCCGACTCGGGCAACAAGCTTGAGGCGACGGCCGGCGACATCATCAACAGTGCGTCTCTCCCCTTTTGTCCTTCTCTCCATCGCATCTCGCACTGACTCGTGTCCTCTCGCCCGCAGTCAAGAAGGGCACGACCGTCATCTTTTCGTCGCCCGATGCAGGCCGAGCCTTCTACGTCGGGCAGCGCAAGTTGCGCGACTTCTAGATCGGCGCCTTGCTCGAAGATACTCGAGCGGGACGAGGAGGTGGAGCGCACGCTCGTGGCGACCGGGTCGTCATCTCTGTATCTGTATCTGTAACTCGCAGTCAGTCCCGTTCTTCGCAATCGTCTTGACCGGCGCCTGCAGCTGTGAGAGATTGTCCGCCGAGTTTGCCCTCTTTCCGGCGCTCGACGTCCGGTTCTTGCAGCTCTGCTCCTTCTCAAGAGTGAGGCACGAACGACACAGCTTCGTCTGCGCACGAGGGCAAGGCAAAGGCCCGTCACTCGAGGAAAGAGTCTGAGTCGCGCGAACGAGTTGCATGCGCAATCAAGTGCAGTACAGGGCCTGCTCCAAGGACATCTACGTCCATACTCGGACCGACGACAATCCGCCGCCGACTGCGCGCACTCGCAGAGAGCCGCCCGAGGCGCCCAGGTCGTGCAGGACACCATCGAGGCACACGAGGCGCGACTTGAGGTCGTCGTCCTTGGCGACCTGTGGGCACGGCAAGGAGTCAGGGACGACGCGAAGGAAATGCGAGAAAGAGAGAGAGAGCGAGAGGAGGACGCACCGGGACCCACTCGACGCGCTCGGCCCTCCAAACCTCGCACACGGCCCGGCCCTCGGCTCCCTCCTCCTCCGCCGCCTCGCCCTCGCCATACACCTCGTCGACGTGACTCCCACCGTCGTACATGCCGCCCGTGACGCTCCACACGCGCTCGACAAAGCCCTCCCTCGCCCTGCGCCGGTCCTCCTCGCTGCCGCGCGCGAGCGCCGCCGTCGGCGCGTGCCGCAAGGGCCGGATAGCGACGACGTCGATGCTCGGTCGCCCGCCGTCGCGCTCGGGGTGCGGGGCGAGAGGGTGCGACGGGGAGCGGAACGGCGCGACGACGAACGAGGGCTCGAAGCGGCTCACGAGGGCGGCGACGAGGTAGGCGAACGGGCCGCCGATGACCGTCCTCGCCCCGTCGCCGTCCGTGGCGCCGTCGACGGCGCCGCTTGAAGCTCGAGGTGAGCCGGCAGCCGGCACCCAGGCCCTCGTCGCCGGGTCGTACCGGCGCAGCCGCCCGCTCAACCGCACCTCGCCCTCCCACCACCGGTCGACGTTCTGCCTCGCGGCGATCTTGAAGCGCTCGACGCCCGGGTGCGTCGCGCGGAGCTCCTCGGCGTCGTGCAGGAGCGCTGCGTGCAGCGCGGCGGACGAGACGACGGTCGTGAGGGTGCGGCGAGGGCAGGGCGAGGGGAGGGCGTTGAGCGCGAGGGGGAGCGGGAGAAGCGTCGGTACGGGCGAGGACGATGTCGAGGATGGCGAAGGAGGAGACGAGATGGATCGGAGAAAGGAGAGGAGCGAGTGGAAGGGCGCGGCGGGCGCGTCGGGCGGGTACGAGGGCGACTCGGGCGGGAACAGGTGGTGGTACAGGGCGTTGGCCGTGCCGGCCGGTCTGTGACGAGAGACTAAGTCAGACGACGACGAAAGAGTCGTGCGAGAGGAAGCTGCGACGCACACGAGGATGACCTCGACCCGACCTGCTCCCTCCCAGAGCGTGTCATCGTCCTCCCCGCCGCCGCCGATGCCGCCGCTGCCAACGAGCAGCAGCCCGTTGAGCACCTCGTGCACCGTTCCGTCCCCACCGAGGACAACGAGGACCTCCCTCCCCTGAGCCCGCTCGCCGTCGCCGCTCCACCGCTGCCTCAGCTCCCGCCCGATGCGCTCGCCGTCCCCTGCCCGCTCTGTCCTCGACACAGCCTCCTCGTCGACCGAGAGTCCTCGAGCGTGGAGCAAGGCCGCCGCGGTGCGCCACGAGGCCTCGGCTTGACGGGCGCCGGCGTGCGGGTTGAGGACGACCGAGAGGCGAGGGTGCGAGTGGGCGGGTGAGGATGAGGTCGAGCGTGCCGTGTCGGCGAGCGACGAGGTAGGAGGAAGTAGGGAGAGGAGCTTCGAGAGGAGGGCATCGTCCTATGCGCGTTGGCAGAGTCAGCGAGGAAAGGCCGAGGGCTGTGGGGGAGGGGGGGAGGAGACAGGGGGCGCACCCCGACGTCTGGCTTGCTGACTGCCGCCATGGTGTAGTACAGAGTGAGGCACAAGGTCGTGGGCCGCAAGGGCAGCGCCGAGTGCGCTGAGTGAGGCGCGAGAGATGGCGCAAGTTGGCGAGCCGATGAGGACGAGGTCGAGGGCGCGACGCGACAGGGGCGGCGTGGGCGGCTGAGCGGCGGGCGGCGGGCCGCGCTGTAGCGTGGGAGCGAGCTGCACTGCGCTACGCCACGCGGCTGAGCTGTGTCGAGTGCGAGCAAGAGGACCGCCGAGAGCAAGTCGGAGGCGCACGTGCAGCTCGCCAACACCTGCGGCGCGTCTCTCAGGAGCAAGGCCGGCACACATCGAGCCACAGGTACCGCACTGCGACTGCACGAGCACGAGCCCGTATCGAGCTGGACCTCGGTATCTACAACCGCTCGCTCCTCCTCTTCCTCCTCGCGCCCCGCCTCGCCGGCCCGCCCGCCCTCGCGCCCTCAGCCAAAGTACCGCAGGATCATCCAGAAGCACACGAGTGTCGCCATGCCGCCGCCGACGAGGATGTAGTAGTCCTCCTTTGTGCGCCGCTCGATGAACGTGATGGTGGACCGGCTCAGGCCGAGCGTGTTGGCTGCGCTCAAGAGCCGGCGCTGGGTGCCTGCACAGAAGGAAGAGGCAGTGTTAGTGCACCGCATCGCAGAGAAGAAGACGAGAGAGAGAGAGAGAAAGCGCGGGCGCACCCTTCATGACGTCGCGCTGGTTGGCCAGGTTGCCGAGGACGGCCTGCCCCTGGGCGAGGTAGGCGTCGAGGGTGGCGCCGGTCGACTGGACAAAGTCGTGCTCGCGCAGGGCGTGGTTCGTGCGCGCGTTGTTGTGGACCGACCCGGCGTAGTCTGCGCTCATGCCGCCGCCGGCGCCTGGTGGTGGTGGTGGTGGTGCGCCGCCGGGCATGTGGATCGAGACATCGGCGTGATGCCGTGCTTGAGGGCGCGAGGACGAGGTGCCGTAGGCGTGTTGGGACGAGAAGGACGAGGCAGAGGCAGAGGTGGACGCGGCGTACGGGTTGGCGGCCGACGACGACGAGGCGAACAGCTCAGACCGGTTCGAGGCGGTTTCCTGTCGAGCGCGAAGGTCAGTTGCGCGCATCTTTGAGGGAGAGAGGCGGGGACGCACTTGTTGTCGAGCGCGGAGCTTTACGCGGTCGTACTCGTTGCGGAACTCTGCGAGGTCTTGACGGAAGCGGGCGACGCGCGACAGGGCCTTTTCGCGCTTTGCGTCGATGATCTCGCGGCGGGCCATGGCGTCATAGTCGTCGACGGTGCGCTCGAGGGCGGCGAGCGAGGCGTTGACCTGGCCGTGGAGCGACGCGGGCGGTTTCGACGACGAGGAGGAGGCCGAGGCCGGGTCGGCGAGCGAGTCGAGGTGCTTGAGGTCTGCCGAGAGTGCGCTCGACTGGCGCAGTGCGAGAGTGTAGAGCGAGTTCATCGCGGCCGGCTGGCGGGAGCGGGACCGCGGGCGACGACGACGACGACGAGGAGGGGACGAGGAGGAGGGGGGAGACGGGGTCTTGGCGGATGGGTGTGGTGCGGTACTCGCAGGCTGTCGAGTGAGGAGGGCTGAGTGCTGGTGTGCTTGGTGCGCTGTGCGGTGTGTCGAGCGCGAGGAGGAGAGGCGCGCGGTCCGGGACGAGGAACAAGGCCACCTCGCTCTCGCACACACCGCTCAAGCTGCACAGCGGCACAGCCAGACAGCTCCACCGTACCCCAAGCTTGACCGAGGCCCTTTCGAACCGGCGCCGCGCCCCGCCCTCGTCTCGCGCGAGCCTTGCTCCTCTTCTCGCGTCAAGCCTCCCCACACACACCGCGTCGCTGTCACACCCACCTCGAGCACGCCCGTTCACCCACCAGGCGGCGTTCAACAATCCGCCAGGCCCTGTTCATCGTGTGCGCGCTCGCCTCAGACGCCGACGTGAGTCCCCCGTCTCTTCATCTCTCTCCTCCTCTCGGTCTCCTCTGCGGTCTCCTTGCGGCCCACTCGGGCTCGAAAACGGCCGGAACGTTACACTGGACCTTCTATCTACGTAAAATACCGCGCCGTCAAAGCCCAACCACTGACATTCACACCCACCCTCGCACAGACGCTCCGCCCGCACCCGACATGGACTCGCACCCGCAAGACTCGGCGTCGCCTGCGTCGTCAAGCCGAGCAGCCGCCGTCGCCACCCTGAGGCGAGCGGCGTCCAACCGCGGCTCGCCCGCGACGTCGCGCACCCCGTCGCCGACCGTGTCGCGCTCGCCGTCGCTCTCGGTCAAGGACCGCCGCCGCTCTCGCTCCATCGGCGCCCTGTCGGGCCCATTCCCCTCGGCCCACGACAACGGCGACGACACTTCCCTCTTCCCTCCCCCTCTCCCCGACTTTCCCGCGTCGTCGGCCTCGTCCCTCGAGCGCACCGCCTCGCTCCTCGCCCGCCAACTCGCCATGGCCCGCCTCACGGGCACGGCTCCGCCGCCCGTCCCGGCCACCCTCCTCGGCAACGACGAGCCCCTCCCGACCCTCGCCGAGCTGCAGCACCGCGCACGCGCAAAACTCGCCGCCGCCTCGGCCGCCTCGGCCGCGTCGGGCTCGAGCGGCACGGCGGCCCTCGCGCGCAGCGGCACCCTCCTCCACGCGCCCCCGCCGCCCTTGTCGGCAATGCCTGCGCCCCTGCGCCGCAACAACACGGTGACGGGCGTCGGCACCGCCTTGCTCGAGCACGAGCTCGTCCTCGCCGCGTCCGCGCTTGCGCCCGGCTCTGCGCCTCGTCCTGCGCCACCGCCAGCGAGCGCCGACGCAGGCGACGAACGTGCCGCAGCGCGCGTCAACCTCATGCGCAAGCTGTCGGCGCGCAAGCTCGCCGGGCCGACGGTGCCGCGAGGAGCAGGTCCCGGCCGGCCAGCGCTCGATGTCGTCGGCGTCATCGGGCGTGCGAGGCCGAGGAGCGCGAGCGTGAGTGCGCTCGACTGGCGGGCGGGAGCGGGAGCGGACGAGG